TGTGTGGAAGTGCATTGGCGTCACAGGGAACCATTCGAAAGTGGAACATGTTGAACATGGGATGAGAGGTTCTGAGTAGTGGTTCACCAACATACGCGGAAATTGTGAACTCCAACACTCTACTATTCAGAAACTAATGTTTCGACTGGATTCTCTTCGTTCACTCTTGACACCATGATATCCATGACTAACCAATAGAATGATATTCCAAAACACTTCTGAATTTCAAGTCCTTTGTTTTCATTTCTTACTGCAATATAGAACAAAGAGGCAACGTCCTTTTTAGAGAGATTTGTGGAAGAATTTGAAACCATTATTTTCATACTCTCCTTATGGTAGTACTTGGTGAATTGCATAACGATATCACTAATTTCCAATCGAAGTTTGTAATGATTTTTTCCACATTTAACTTCCAAATCTTTGGCGTTGAAAAATCCAGCAATTAATTCATCTTCAGAATCAATGTAGTACTGGAACATTAGTTTTCTCAAATCTCTCTTATAATTTTCATAATTTTTTGTCACATCTGCAAATTCCTTCAAAATATCTTGATCAAGATCAAAAAAGTCTTCGTTATAATCCACAAAAAGCTGTTTCAAAGGTTTGTATGTGACGAACAACTTGTCCAGTATTTCAAAATAGTGATCCAATGTGTCATAGCCATATTTCTCTAAGCCCAACTTCATCTTTTTTCTTTTTTGTTCTTCCCATTTAACTCGATCATAAATTTTCCCCAGAATATCGTCAGAATGATAAATTGTTTTACCGAAAACCTTTGGCATGTAATGAGGTCTACTGTTTGAAAGTAAATCCAGTGGTAATGCTTTTCTTACACCTGATTTGGCATAGTCAACTTGATAACTGTGGTACTTGGCTAAATCCAAGCAAACGGCGCTTTTAGCACCTTCTTTTTCTTGGTCATAATGTTCCAAATGCAAAAACGCTACCACTCCTAGGTTGTCATTGACAACATATTCCGTTAAAAACTCTCTAATTGCTTTGTAATCACATCCTCCATGCTTCTCTACAGGTGGTAAAGGTTCATAATCCATTGGAGGATATTCTTCAAAATCCAATAATTTTGGTTCCCAACACACATAGAATAAATCTCCATCCAAGTCACCTCCTGATAGTTTGTTTGGTTGAGATCTATTTCCTCTCTGTGAGAAAACGACAACATCCTTCAAGTGTGAAAGATATTTGATCTTTTCTGGGTCATTCACAGCCTTAAACTTGCGAATGTCACCTGGATGTAAACATGGATTTCTAGAAATTGCTACATCCCCAGTAACAATTCCTCCATTCTCGTAGCAACCTTCATCATAAATGCCGCAATTCGCTTGATCTAAAGGTGAGAGTTGAATGAACACTTCATCTTCTTCCAAGACGTTATAAAAGTCAACAACACTCATGAGTAGAGATGATTTGTCCACAATCAATCGCCCAGATTTGAGGTCAGAGAGTCTACTTTTCAGCATTCTACTGACGATTTTACAGAATAAGGGTTCCACTTGAAAGAAATAATGTATCGATGATCTGGCATTTTCTATCGAAGAGATATCTATTTCCTTATCAAGGTAATTGAGACCAATAATTTTCTTCAAATTATTTCCGATCGGATTATCATGAGCTTTTCTCAGCATTCGCTTCACATACTTCTTATTGTCAAATAAGTGGCGAATTTCATCTAATTGCTCCTCTAAACAATTATTTCAAACTCTTTTGAATTTTCTGTTGTAAATTTTTGCTGACTTTGCGAGAGTAGCAAATCCTTGTCTGTGAGTGTTTCAATTAAGGGATCTACTTGTACGAATCTTGTATCCTCCTAATCTAAATTGAAATGCACTTGGTACATATTGCTTTCCACAATAACCGATTTGAAACTTTTCAGCAAGTTCCAAAGCAAACTTTGGTGATATACTACCAATACCATCTGTAAAGATTTTGCCATTTCTAATAATATCTGGAACAACATCAAAATCCTTTTCAATGCCTTCATAGGTATGAGAGAAACATTGGCCAATTCTTGCTGCATATTTTGCCACCACTTTGATGTGAGAAAAATTACCAAGATCTGCAATAATAGATTTGGGAGAAAGGTTATCGATTGGAGAAACAAACCAAGCGCTGTGGGTCCTAAGTTGAGAGTTGCTGTAGGCCAACATTTCGTATAATCTATTGTGTACATAAAACCCTTTTTTAACGAAAAATTCTACTCGGTTGTGGAGGTTGACAAACTTTTCAGCACTCAATTTGGTCTGATCTTCGTCACAGAAGGTCACTCTTAAAAAGTAGTCCTCATACTTGTCTTTGTATTTCTTCAATACTCTGTTTCCACCTTCTACAGTTATGTCAAGAAATTTCACTCCTGTGGGGGTAATCATAATTTTTCTAATATTAAACATGTTGTTATTTTGATCAGAAAATTCAGGTTCAGTTTGTTTGAACTTGTGTTTCTCTACATTCTGTTTGAAAATATCCATAAAGCTGTTTGGGTAAATATCCTTGTCGTTGATAATGTCACGAAGAGCAGCATCGATCCACTCTAATGCATAATCTTCATTGACATACTGAATAATGGTGTCACGAATTTGTTCGAGCCTCACCATGCTGTTCAATAGACCTGGTACTTTTGTTGTCACACAAAACAATAAATACACAATATTGAAGGTTAGATCTTGTAAATGAAAATTCAAAACTCCGTCTTCTAAATAAACGTCCATCCCAACATATTGAATTTTTTCGTCTCTGTACAATATTGGATATGGGTAATGGTTACCCTCAATAAGGGATTTGATGTTCGTTGATGGTAATTGTATCACAATAGATCTTCCAAACTTAAAATTGTTCAACCATAAAGACGAGTAACTGTCTTTCTGTGAGAAAAAGGGTGCCGCCATTCTTGCTGTTGGAATTTCAACATTGAAAAACAAATGGAGTATCAATGAATAGAATCCATAAGTGCTTACCTTTGATTTTCTCATCTGGTTTTTTTCTGTACACAAATGGTGTGTTGACTAGCTCAATGGCCATTTCAGACTTGTATACGATCACTCTCTTAATATTACTTCTTCTAATATCCATCCAATATTCATGTTCAGAGGATGAAAATACAGCCTGCCATTTCATGTCACCATTTAACTTCCAAAATAGCTTTGAAAGAGAACGTTCTGGCATTATATAACCAGATATGTTGTCCTTTTTCACAATTCTAAAAGTGGTGTGCTTACTTTCTTCAAAATTACCAATCTCTGTGGCCATCCATTTCAAATCTATGGTTCCAAACTCCACAATTTCGTTGCTAGTGCTATTGTTCGTTGACGATGATGATGGTGAGGAAATGCTTGATATTGTTGATGATGACAAAGAGGAGATGCTGGACACCGTGCTCGGACTACTTGCTCTCGATATGGATGGAGATAAAGGAGTTCGTTGTTGTGATATCACATTGGAAGAAGAAGGCTTATTGTTCTTTGAAGTGCTTGTTTTTGGTTGAGAGTGTGTCGGAACAAATGCTTTGCTGCTACTTGCCATAGTATTGCCATTGCGTACGGTTGATGGCTGTGCTGAAACAGTGTTAGGTTTTGAAGCCTTGGTTTTTTGTCCCAATGCAGGGAAGTCTTTGTCCAAATCAAATTTTGTGTTGGTAGCCTCACCACCACCATTCGTCGTTGTTGAATGCCTTGTCGTTGTACTGAGGTGTGTAGGAAGGGGTAGATGATCATGGGCACGTTTTCCGTGTTCGGAATTAATTCTTCGTGCACGTTGATGCATCCGAGTATGGGATGCTCCCTCTTGTTTCAAGTGTTGTTCCTCGAGTTGATGGTTGGGAAGTAGGTTGTCTGCATGTCGATGTTTGAACATTTTATTTATAGGGTTAAGGAAAAAGAAGTATAGTGTTGAAACAATTCATTCAAATGAATACAAATATCACACAAATATTTGGGAGTGGTTTGGAGATGCTAATTCTGATGTGAAGTTTTGATTGTTGTTGATTTATACCAAACAAAAGATGTTGGCAGCATTTATGCACATTGTATTCACTTCCCATTCTCTTCCAAACAAGACCCAGCTCATCATTCTGCATAACGAGCTCTCTCTCTCAGCCCTTAGTAAATTACCTGTATGAAAGATGTCTCTTAGTTCATATTTTTCAAAAGAAGAGACAAAGAAAGATCAACTCTTTTGACTGTAACTTCCCCTTTCAAGAGTTCCCTTAAAAAATATTCTTCAACCTTTCAATGAAGATTCGATTCTGTTTGTATGAATTTGTAGCTTCCTCTGAGGAAATTCATTTTAAGAAGACCCTTTTTGCTGCGTGTTATGATCTCTTCTGCAGGAGAGAATCCCACGGAACTGCAAGCAATCTTTTCAGCGATATATTCATACATACCCAGAGGAAAGGATCTTGCATATCGGAGAAGAAATGGAGCAACAACAGCACAATCACAACAAAGGACTGGATATGTATTTCGGAAACAGTGATCTGGGAAGATTTGGGAGAGAAACTCTTCATCATTGCCTCTTTTCATCGAAGGCAATTCAAATTGTATAGTTTAATATGTGCACAGTTATTAAGGCAACTCTCCATAATAGGAGGCTCCAATAACACCCACATTAATTGCAACGCCATTGACCCCTCTCAAGCAGACACTATTATTGATATTGATCTTCCTCGTTTCTATCCTCTCATGAATCGATATCATTCCTATACTCCCATCAATAGAGAGTTCTTTTCCAATTTTCATGCATGTTTCTTCGGAAATGAAAGAAAAAGCTTTCTACGGGAGAAAGAGCTCAACTATTTAAGCTCAAAACGAGTGGTCATTGATTTGGAGAAACGAATTCCTTGCGAAGCCTATCAAAAAGCAATCATGCAAGTCAAAACTGTATTGATGCCAAACGTTGATCCAATCTATGAAGATTTGATGCAGTACTTATATCGGGCAGCAGCCAGAAATCACGACAAAGCAATAACCTCTGGCGGTTCTAACCTCAGTCCCATATTTCACAAATCCGTCCTTGAATGCATTGCAGATTTGGAGAGCCCAGTCCAAATGTTTGGAGACACCTCTCAAGGAGCTTTTCGCAAGCATTTATCATGCATTTTGACAATGATCGAGAACGAAGACGATCATTACAAGGGGTGTGCTTCAAAGGCGAGAAAATATCTACCAACCCCAATTCCTCACTCTGATTTTTACTATCTCTCGCAAATATCTCACTTCATTGAAGAGCCAGAAAGGCTTCTCAATTTAACAATTCCAAAGAAAGCGATGTCAACTTATTATGAGGCTGGGTATGCTTGTTCTAAACTTGTTGCTAACATGGAAAATACGGATCGATTTTGCAATTACTGGATAGCATCGGAATTGAGGAGATGCATCAAAGTTATAGAGAATATGCTTAAAGCCTTAAGTCCTGAAACACTGAGCACGAAACAAATAGAGGCTATCAAGCGATTATTAAGCAGGATCGTTGACGGCAGAGATCAAGTGATTGGAGGCGGAGATGTTGTAATGATCAATGTCTTTCCGGAATCCAACTCATGGATAAGACGATTGAAATTTTGGAAACGTTAGGAGTGTATTTGGTTCGACGTGTCTTCTCACGAGCAATAAAGGATTATCTCATTAGCCAGCTGAGCGAGCCTGTCAGCTTTCGCTTGGGCAGAAAGAACACAAAAAAAGTTTGTAACCTTACGTCAGGTAGGTCGATCAATCTTTCCAACAAACTCTGCAAAAGAATCCTGATCTTCATCATCCGTCCTCTTCACCACTACTGATGATGTTATTCCCATAACTCCATTGGAACACCTATCAATGAATATATTGTATGGGTTGATCATCGCCAACTCTCGTTATTCATCATTACCACGAATACATGTACTATCAACCTATCATATATTATGATGATCCAACACACATGATGAATACAATTAACGTTAATTGGTTTTTGGATAACGTTCATTTCATCATCCATCCGATCGTGGTGTGGCTCGGCTGAATACATTCGAATCAAACAAAAAACATCAACGACTCCCTTCTTGTGTTGATTCTTCCACAACATTTTTCATCACTGATTCATCATCAATTACAGCCTCATCATCATCACCACCACAATTTATCAAAATGGTCAGAGATAGTTACTTACCAGCCGGAAGAGATGAAACCTATGGAAAGGCTCCTGAATCAGCCAAAGCAGCCATTGTTTCTCCTCTCTCTAAACTTACTCCAGAACAAACCAAATTAATGGGAGAACTCCGTAAAATTGCTGAAGGGTGGGGACTTGATGAGGAGCAAAAGGCTTTCATGGATGAGATGTGTTTATTCCGTTATCTTTCTGGTTTGCAATGGAATATGGAACAAGCCAGCAAACAATTGAAGGAAACTATGGAATGGAGAAAGACTTTCCGTCCACAAGATATCAGATTGAAGGATTTGGAACCAATTGCCAAGCAAGGATTTTTGTTCCATTACGGATACGACAAGGTGAGTGTGGTTTATCATATATATATATTAGATAGATTCATCATCATTCTGTGTGTGTACAATATGTGAATTTCATCTCATCCAAAATAACACACCACTCTGTGGTTAATATCTGCTTCTGAAACACATGACACTTTGCCGAAAATGTATCATGGGTGATTATAACTCTTTTCGCCGCGCATTGAACTTTTCAATCACAAAATCATAATCCATGGTGCCACAAAATCATGAATTTGTCATTTATTTCATGAATATGGTAGCAATGTCGTCCAGTCATTTATGTTTTGATGGGTATGTACAAAGATTGGTTGAGCAGCACAATGATCTAATGTGGCCATTTCTAGGCAAGGATACCGCTGAAAACACTGAGGAAAACAAAAAGATGAAGTTTAAACTTTTTGTCTATATGATGGAAAAATGTATCAAGAGAATGCCAGAAGGTGTTCACAACATTGTTTGGTTGGTTGACTTGAAGGATTCTTCACTCTCAATGTCATTGGTCAAGGAAATGAAGGATACGTAAGTTTCGATGAATCATATGACATTTCGGTAATTATTTTATTTGTCCATTTCTTCACATCAATTAGTTTCGTTCAATTGGGTAACTACTACACTGAAAGATTGGCTAGAACTCTTGTTCTCAATGCTGGTTGGACAATTTCTATGATTTGGAGTTTCGTAAGCAACTTCTTAGCGAAGGAAACTGTCGAAAAGTATGTCATGGTCAAAGGTAATGATAAGACCATTGCTGAAACATTTGAAAAGTATATTGAAAACGATTTATTGGTGAAAGGTTTCGGAAATGGTACTGCCGAATACAAGTATGATATTGCTCAACTCATTAAAGAAGAGATGGAAGATGAAGAGGAATTAAGAAAGAGAGAACAATAAGCATCATACTCCAATTTTGATATTCTGATAATCAATTTATTTATGTGACGACAGTGTAACAATACATTTGCGAGTTTTTGAAATTTTGAAACCCTCTTTTTATTGATTGACATGATGGTGATGATGGTGGTGTTGGTGATTCATTGGCAAGGGCTCTAAGGTGAGATGACCCTTAATTCCCTCTCGATCTAAAATAATTCCTGACAACCTAAATTCATTCACATTAAGATTCACACTTGGTGGTTCCAAACAAGCAAACGAATCACGACGATTATTTGGATAGATAATCTTGGAACGGAGAGCGGACTTGGTTTTTATCTTACTCTCCTGTTTCATATGATCGAATTGACACCAAGCCAAGAATATATGTTCCCCTCTACTCAACATGTTAAATGAAATGTAACTATCCATGGCATTTCCAACAATCTGAAAATGAGGAGCATGTTGTTGTTGAGAAGGACCTCCCTGATGAAGATGCGGGTCCATTCCATGATGATGATGGTGATGACACAATGCGGCTTCTCCTCTCAAATAAGTGTCACAATCAAAAGTTACATTATATTCTCTCACTGCATAAGAGTGTGCATGTTGCTGTTGCGATTGTTGTTGCATGGCATCTCTATTGCCGTCAGCACTACTACTGCCAGTACTACTACCACTACTACTAGTTGATAAATTCTGCTGATGGAGATTCCATCCTTCCTCTTCCCTATAAGATGGCAATCCTAAGGAATAATTCACAACCATTCTCCAATACTTGAATGCAGTCATTCTCGAAAACATTTTCACTTCATTCTCTACACTATACAATCTCTTATAATTAATATCATATAATTTACTTCCGAGAGTACTCAAATCAAAGACAGTCGTGGACCAATCAATATTTTCACTTGTGAATAAGCCACATCGTTCCTTGTTGTCACTCCAAACTCCATGAATAACCACACTCACAGGTGAATCATGCTTTTGTTGTTGATCCCATTTATCTTCAGTGGGTTGACTTAGAAACAAGTATTGAGGAAACACATGATTGAGTGGACACGAGGATGATGTCACTTGTTGAATTTCCTCATCTTCATCTTGCATGAGAAGATCATGATTGGAAGGACTCAACATTGAGGAAGAACTTTCATGCATATTGTTGGTGTTGTTGGTGGTGTTAGTAGCAGTCATGACAGCATCCTCATCTTCCATAAGGAAATCTGTATCATCGTCTCCTTCTTCGTCATCACGATCTGCTTCATGAAGAAGCCAATGAGGATGATGATGACGAGGTGTTGAGGCAAATAAGGGAATTCTTTTAAAAGATCCTCTCATCCTCATGGGTCGATTCAATGTTGTTGTTGTTGAGGTTGCAGTGGTGGTATTTGTGACAGAGGAAGGACATGAATGACTGCCACTACCACTCGATGATGAATCATTCCATAAAGGTGCAGCATGTTGTTGCTGTGATTGAAAATTTGTTGAAGGATAGGTTCGAATGTGCAACATGTTGTTGTGGCGGTGGTGGTGGTGGTCCAGGTGATGGTGGCTCGAAGGAAGGTTCGTGTGGTCATGATGATTCTGCTGAAGATGATTGAGATCATAAGTCTCCACCATTCGATGATTAATCTTTCTTCCAAACACATGAGCTCTCAAATCATTGCTCATCCACTCTTGAAACATGACAAAATAAACTCCCACTACCAATCCAAATACTCCATAGTATTCACGAGTTTCATCGTCATGGAGTGCACCCTTCTCTCGAGTGCGTCCTCTAAAAAACTCAACACCTGGTCCCACTTGTTGTCCAAAGAATTGTTCAATGCATCTCAATTGATCATGTTCCAATTTCACACTTTCAAACATGTCGATCAAATAATAATAGGTAATGTGATGAGAGTATTGATCGCGTTTGTAATTTCCAGAATTCAATAAACGTTGTTTGCTTAATTTCCCTTCCACGTAGAGAGTTCGATATAAATCTTTGAAACTCACACTGAGTTCATCGAGTGAGGGATAAATTCGATCTTGATGTGCGGTATTTAATGATGAAAAGTATCTTCGAGTCACTTCTGAATGGTAACACTTTTTCCAATAGATGGGATTGTTTTCGAAAAAGTCAAATTGGCTGTAAGGAAGAACCCTAAAGAATCGTTCTTTCCATATATGGTTTTCATCCACCAGTTTTTTCAAATAACTGGAAAGCAGAAAGAATTTTGAACACAATGTTTTTACATCCATATAGGGCGCAATGTGATATTGAATAATTTCATCTGGTAAGGGAATTTGTGAAGAATTGTGAAAGGTATGTTTACAACGTGTGAGATCGTGTGGAGTGTCAACACCACTCAAAGAAGATGAATTCAAAGTTTTCAAATGTGTTTGTTGTGAACAGAAGGAAGAGGTGGAAAGATCGGACTCTTCATCTTCTTCTCCACGAATAAGGGATGATTGTTTTAGAAATTCGTTCACTCGGGCCATGTTTGAGTGTGTGTGTGTGTGAGTGTATGAATGTGTCCGTTAACTACTAGTGTCGACGACGATTCAATCAGTATGATGGAATGTACGATGAAATAAATTCCTTCCGAATAGAGAGGTAAAAAATATAAAAAATGATCGAGAGTGGAGATCAAGGAGTGTGGAGAATGGTTTTTTCAATAGTGTTGAGGGTGTGTCATAAAGAATGAATATATATGGATATTGAGTTTAAAGTCTGGCTTTTCTAGATTTGGATAGTTTCCAAATACGATTTGCACAATTCCTAGAAAAAATAATTAACAGAAAAGGCAATGTCAAGAGAATGTTGCGAAAGCTAGAAAAGCTAACAACTCTTAGTATTAAAATATTGGTGAATGCAATTATCAATACCTTAATAATTTCTTTTGCAATTTCAACAAATTTTTGTAACGTGTGAAAAATTTGATGAAAAAAAAGAACATGGATGCATCACCAGCTATCAATCATGATTGCGACCATGAATCATCAAAGAGTTCATCATCCCCTCATTCTGAAAAATTAAATATTGAATCAGCAAGAACTAAAAATTCCGACTCGTCTTGTCCGAAAACTCTTTCAGCATTCCGATCCTATTCCATTTCAAATTCAAAACAATTTTTAAATTATTTTAGAAATGAATTTTGTAAACAATTCCCTCAAACGCCTTTCGTGAGCTTGGAGGCTCAGAAAATTTTCTATCATGAAATTATACATAATTTCCTTTCTGAGAAATTTCCCATTCCTTCCCAATTTATTTTAAATGTGATCAAGTATTATATTGAACTTATCGAAAGTGATGAGAGTGGTGCAAATCACGAAGGAATTTATGATCCATTAATTGAGGAATTTTCACAATTGATGATCCACCACAAGGAATCCGAATCCCACCAAACAAAAAAGGAATTTTTTTATGACTATCGAGTAGAAGAGAGTAGTTTTCGAGTCTATGATTTCTTAAAGACATGGATGAGTGAACATGAGGATCAACCGATTGTGGTTCGAATATGGCCACAATTTGTGAATGTTGGAATGTCTCTTTGGTCTGCTGGGTTTATGTTAATTGAATATATTTTGTCACATTTGGGTGAGTGTCACTGTTATGGATATGAATTTGGAATATTTCATTCATCCAAAATATTTAAATTGATGAAACTATTCATTTCAATGTCTGAAAATAGATGACTTTAAATACAAGAATATTACTGAGCTTGGAAGTGGAGTGGGATTACTTGGATTGATCCTCATGACTTGCATTGATAAGGAGCATCGTGGTGAAATTACTCTCACTGATTATTTGCCTTGTGTGTTGGAGAATTGTGCCTATTGCTTTTCTTTGAACAATATTCCTTACAAACTTTGCAATTTAGATGCATTCATGTACTTGCCCACCAACACCATGACTCCACATGATTCCAGAGACTTTGTTCGCTTGATGAAGTTAGATTGGTGCTCCTTCACACAGATTGAAATTCAGCAGTTAAAAGATACGGACATTTTGGTAGCGGCTGATGTGACCTATGACATTAGTGTGGTGGAGAGTCTTGCAGAAGTCACTCATGCATTATTTGAGCAAAATCACAATCTGACCATTCTCTTCGCCATTACAAAAAGAACTGAAAAAACATTTGAAAGGTTTGTGAAGGAAATGGACAAGCGAAACATGTGTTTGAGTAGAGAAATTGAAACCAATTTTCCATATATATTCCAGGTGAATGATAGAGAAACTGTCAAGCTCTATGAAATGAGAGGGGAAAACATCACCATCTAGAAGATTTAGCAACGAATGCGTTCAAAACCTTCCATCGGAGCTCTTGTCGTTCATCCTTGTACTCACGCTTGAATGTCATGAGAGTCGTTTCCAAGACAATATCAGTAATGAGCACAATAAAGTAAATAAACTGATAAGGACAGTTCCAGCCACAGTAAAACCAATGACCATAAAGTGATAGTGAGATATGGAAAGTAGAGGACCATCATCCCATGGATCTTTTGATTGGAGGAATTGTTCGATGGTTGTGTTAAATTCGACACTGTTAAACAAAGTTTTCTTTGCGTTGGACAAGTTATATTCATCCAAGCACTTATCATAAATAGATGTTCCATTTGTTTTGATAAAGTTGATCATCAAGTTCAAGCTGCACTTCGTTCTAAGGGTAATCAAATGACCAACGAATGGAAATAGAACAAAATAATGTGTTCCGTTGGATTGAATTGGAGATTCAGAAAATGTAGAAAGATTTGTTCCAATATAAAAATCCTTCCAATGTAAAGATCCATTCAAAGGAGAGATGGGATCTAAAGATCCTTGCATCATTAACAAAGGTCTGGTGAATGTGACAAATGGGTGGACATGGTAGTCCTCTGTTGCATTGATATTATACTTCTCTCTTGCTCTCTTTGCTCTCAGCATGTATAATGACATTCCAGTGATGAATTGATACTCTGCAAAATTGACCAAGTCACTTTCTAATTGTGTTTCATCAATTTGATGAAAATTCTTAATCATCTCATTACATCCAATATTACGCTCTAGAGCATAGTATGGAGCTTCTCTCTCATCATACTTTTTATGTATGATCGGCGAGTGCAATAATCTGTAATAAAAATTGTTGATAGTATTCACATCTAAAGCATTGCATCTTATCACTCTAAATATGAAAGGCATAATTAAATTCTGAAGATCACTATGATAAAATATGTAACTTAACATCACTCTTGTTGCTGAAGCATCCATGGATGAACATTTCTTTAGATTTAAAATATACAATCGTATTAGATAATTTTTGACAGGCGTTTTAACCTCACTTAATTCTTTAAATTTCTTGGAGCAAAATTCATTCGTGTCACACTCAGCAAGGTATTGATTTGCTACAGCATTATAGGTCATATCACTTGCAAGTAAATTCAATTTAGTAATTGGTGATATTAAGGAATCAAGAATGACCATATCTAAATATTTTCTTATAGGAGACCTTGATTGTACGAGTAACAGTTCTAGTCTCATCATTTCATGAATCAGGAGAGTGTTATATCCATATCCATAGTGAATCGAAGTGAATTCAGATCCATCTCCTTTATATCTTGATATGTTATTCATGTGGTGATATTTAGTGAGACCAACCACATAGAGAAGATCCAGTGCTATTTTCTTAGTTCGAAAATAGAATCCATATCTTTCAGGAAAGAAATCTTTTGTCATTCGATCTCGTGCGAGACATGACACAAGATTTTTGTCAGTTGAAAAAAGTTTCCTGAGATTTAACCTCCAGCTGGCATTGATAGAGAGGTTTTGACCCAGGGCTACCTCTAATATTAGGAATGAATACATCGTACTCTCGATTGAGTTGCTGAAACATGTCAACAGCAACTGTTTCAAACGACAAATCAACTGATTTGTCAAATTCAAAAAGAGGACAAACATGAAACCAAAATTGTCCCTTTCTCACAGAAGCATCTGCTGAAATTCTCTTCAATCTAATAGAAATTAGGGCCTCTTGAGAATTTGAAGGATTGGCGCCTTGCTGTTGTGTAGATGACGGCGAGAGTGTCCAATTTAATGGTACCTCAATGTAGGCACAGTCAAAATGGTTAATCGGCCTTGGAGAATTATTTTCATCCTGGTTATCGCCATCAATATCTTTGGAGCATTTCGTCCACATGATCGATTTGTCCTTGTTTAATTCAAAATAACGATTAAATTCAAAACAATTCACCCAAACTAACATGTCCAATATCAGATATAAAAGCAAGACGATCGTTATTGTGATCCCGATGGATCTTTTAAACATTTTTTGGAACCATATTGTTGATGAGAACTCTCAAGAGAATAGGATGATAATGTGCTTGAAGTAACTTGAAGGAATCAACTCCATCTACGAACAAGGAAAGATTAATTGTTTTAGCTATTTTCCAATTTTGATCAGCCAAATCAGAAGTGTTCGTATAATGAACCTGCAGAAATAATACCATTCATATCATGAGGAAAGAAGAAGAATTTGTTTGCTCTCCATCATCATTCATCTCTCATTGCAATGAATACCTTCTTCCCGAGAGCAAGAACAAGCGAGCTCTCGAGATTTCATCAAACGAAAGATCTAAAGGGGAATTTTTTCAAAAGGTTATTGTAAAGTCTCTGCATCGCCAAAAAAAATGCTCAACCAAAGCTACAGAATTAAGACCCTTCTCAACGCCCCAATCAAAAACTTAGGCGCATCTTTGACAGGACACAAGGCATGTGCTGGTGGTTTGTTGAACAAGACCATCTCTGCTTTTGATATTCAATCTTTTGATTTTGAATCTACATTCAAAGTTTTCAATTCCGTATCTAACACCACTTCCCGTCCAGAGCGTAAACTCCAACAAATCTTCTCGAATACATGCACACTAAACAAGTCATTCCGTCATAAGACATTCATGACTGGTAAGTTTCAGGAGAAGATAATCGCAAGTCCTCATAGTAATATCAATCAAAATTGGTTGTATTCCAAACTGATGCTCTCTAAACAACTGAATGATGATGACCCGAATTATCGTTCCTATTATTTTCTTTATGAATTCTCACCACCAACAAAACCAACAACATTTAAACATAATAATGGACATTCATATCATACGCACAATATTCTTTGTATTTGGATAAACTCTCTACCCAATTTTGACGGTTCTATGTGTATAACAATTAACAACAACAAATCTTAAACTCAACACACATTATCTGATACGGATTCCACTTTATACAGCCCAACCAGTGAGATACTACTCCACTTCGCAAATTGAAGGCGAAAAGACTTTGAAGAGAAATGAGCTTCCAGAAGCTGTTCAGAGACTTGTTGATAATGCTCCATCAACAGGATATCACGGAGACAACATCAACGAATACCTCAAGCAAGGAGATTACGACAAACGTCAATTCGCTTACTTTGTTGCTAACAGCAGTCGTTTCATTGTTGTTGCTGGTGTTCGTTTATTGGTTTTGAGATTCCTCTATTCTTGGTCAGCTGCTGCTGATGTGTTGGCCGTTGCCAAGATTGAAGTCGATGTTTCAAACGTACCAAAAGGAAAGACAATTACAGTCACATGGAGAGGTAAACCTGTCTTCATTAAGCACAGAACTGAGGACGAAATCAAGTCAATCAATTCAATGGATCTTTCTACTTTGAAGGACCCACAATCGGACGCTGAAAGAACAAAGGATGAGAATTGGTCTGTCTTGTTGGCCATTTGTACCCATCTGGGATGTGTTCCAGTTACTGATGCAGGTATCATGAATGCTTTCTTCTGTCCTTGCCATGGTTCTCACTACGACGCCTCAGGAAGAATTGTTAAGGGACCAGCTCCATTGAACTTGGAAGTTCCAAAGCATCAATTCATTAATGAAAGCACTATCCTTTTGGGTTAAATCCGAACACACACTAACACAAACCATTTTGGGAGTTATTAGGTTTTGTAACACTGAAGATGATGAATATAAATCAAAATTAATTTCTAATTTCTCATGAAGATGATTTATTGATTGGATTTCAATTCAAAAAAATGAAGCAACACTCGAGACATGCCTTGTCTCTCATGATTTCCACATCTCCAGTCGTGTTCAATCACAAGATGAATAATTATTCATCAAAGAGTCTCATTGTTCATAAGAATAACTCCAACACTTTATCGATCATCTCCAATAGACAATGCGAAAACAAGTATCATCAAAAACTCGGAATTGGAGAATATTTTTCAATTTTGCAATCATCTCTCAATAATCATCAATCCTCCTTGCTTTCCTCTTTTAATCATAATGATCATCAATGTTTTCATCATTGTTGTAATCACAACCTTTCTCAAACACGAATAAGAACGATTGTAAAACAGCCTTCTCAAAACAATTCATCAACAACAAATTCTTCCACTTCAACAACTTTTACACAACAACACGATACCAAAAAGAATGATTCATCCAATTGTGAACCCCAACTTTCGGATGACTATGGTCGAGAAACTGTATATGAAGAAATGCAAGAAGAATCAGATCATTACCATGCAAACAATGAATCTGATTCATTCAACACATTTGTTTCAAATTATTACAAAATTAATGAAAATGACATTCAAGAATTTCTCACTCGAAAAGGACTCGCTTTCAGAACCGTCATGAATGAAATTATCATCAAAGATTGTCCATTTTGTCATGACACAAAAGGAAAAATAACAAACTTGTGGAAGCTCTATATTCACAGACATACTGGTGCTTATTTTTGTCATCGATGTGGCTCCAAAGGATCATGGTTTGATTTCAAGACTAGTTTTCACAAAGATTCGATTATTTCCACCCTTCATTCCGAATCTTCGTCTTCTTTACGACAATTTCAGAACTCGAAACAAAATGGTATCTCTCCCACCACAAACACACAACAAAAACGTCGAGACAAACCCACGAAGAAAGAATTTGAGTTTTTTAGAAATAATTTTGATGGACCTGATTTTCCTGAAGCAGTTCAATATTTGGAAAAAGTTCGTGGTATTAAGAAGGAAGTTGCAAAACTGTATGGAGTTGGTTGTGGAATCTTTCCATTCATGAAGACTGTGAAACGAACTCTAAAAAATACTGACACTCATAATAATACGAGTAGTAATCACACAAAAGAAGAAACTCCTGATTTGGAAGAAGTTGAAACTTTGGAACGAGTGAATGAACTTTGTTTCACATTTCCAATGTATCGACCCACAAAAACCACCACTGAACCTTCTCTTTCTCGACACAAATTTAGATCCATTCAAGATAAGACATGCATGAGATTGGATCCTCCACAGACCAATCATTGGGGACTCTTTGGATGGCATCTCATTGAACAACAATTACAAAAAGAAGACAAGTCTCTCAGTAGTAGTAGTAGTAGTAGTAGTAGTAGTGGTAAAACATTGGCCAATGATGCACGCTTGGGAGGAAGAAAGGATCCCAAACATGAGAAACGAATCATTATTACAGAAGGAGAATTTGACGCCATGGCAGTCTATCAAAAAACAGGAATTACAGCCGTGTCTCTTCCCAATGGATGTCGATCATTGCCCATTGAGGTCATTCAATGGTTGGAACCTTTTGATAAGATTTATTTGTGGATGGATGATGATGTCCCAGGACAACAAGGTGCTGAAATGTTCTCCAAGAAACTCGGAGTTGGACGATGTTATATTGTTCATTCAAGTTATAGAGAGGAGGAAGATCTCGAGATGATGAATGATGGCTCTGAAGATGGTTTCGAGGCAAGTGCATTAAAGAAAAGAACGCAAAAGAAACCCAAAGATGCAAATGATGCACTTTTGGCAGGTTTAGATTTCCATCGATTACTCGAAGAGGCAGCTCCCATTCCACACGAACGCATTCTTTCCTTTGATTCTTTCAAACAACAAGTGTATCGAGAGTTTTTTGACAAGTCTGAACAAGTGAATGGTATTCAATCTCACTTTTTCCCAACCCTGAACAAAATTTTGAAAGGTTTCAGAAGAGGAGAATTGACCATTGTCACTGGAGCAACAGGTATTGGTAAGACCACTGTTCTTTCACAACTTTCACTGGATTACTGCAAATATGGAAATGTACCAACGTTGTGGGGATCCTTTGAGATTAGAAATCATCGATTGATTAAAAAGATGATGTGCCAATTAGCAGGAAAGGACTTGTCGATCAATCATGCGATGGAAAGAGAGTATAAAAAACAAGAAAAATTGCAATTACAAGTTTTAGAGCAAGAAATAGAAGAAGAAGAGGTGAGCATGTTTGATAATTTTGATAACCCTGATGGAGATCCTATGAGTTTAATGACCAACAATGAAGAGGCGCCTCTAGCACCTTTGAAAAAAAAGAAAGCAAAACCTCAAAAGTTAACAACCTCATATCCACCAAAACAATATTCACCTGAGGAACTTAAACGTGAATTTGAGCTGATCAGTGAACAATTCTCAGAACTACCCATGTATTTCCTTAATTTCTATGGGTCGACGGATATTGATGAATTATTGGATGCTATGGATTATGCAGTTTATGTGTATGATGTTGGACATATTGTGATTGATAATTTACAATTCATGATGTCCACCGCAGATGCAAACTCTTTCTCGAATAGATTTGAAATGCAAGACAGAGCGATTGAAAAGTTGAGAAAATTTGCAACAACCAAATCAGTGCATGTGACTCTTGTAGTCCATCCGAAGAAGATTGACGAGAAGGAACAATTGCAAATATCAAGCGTATTTGGAACTGCTAAGGCCACCCAAGAAGCTGACAATATTATCATGATTCAACGAAACAAGTATTACAAGTATTTACAAGTTAAAAAGAATCGATTTGACGGTACTCTTGGAATTATACCGTACAAATTTGAGAGACATCGAGGAGAACGAATTACAGAACTTTCAGAGAAGGAAATTGAACTAGTTGAGAATGGTCAGCTTGAGATTGACTATGAATAAATGGCTGTGGGTAATGACATGACTCAATTTATTCATAAGGTGGTGTATCGATGAACTTGAATTGACATGAGCTAATCATGATTCGAGTCATGCTTGCCTCTGGGGTAATGAATCCACTCATTTAACTATAAATGGCGGCTTGAGTCACTTCAGAAGGAGAGTAAGATGAACGAGAGTAACCAGGATCATTCACAGTGAAAGAATATCCGTCATAACCGGTTGCGAGAACCCAATGACCTCCGTTTCTAAGATTTTACAGCAATCAAATTTGATCAAAAGCAGACGATATGCACGAAACGAATCAAGTAATTTCAAACTTACCTGACATTCAAAAAGACGACATTATCATTGCAAATATTACTGACGATAGAACTGGTAGAGCTAACCTTTCCGTTGTAGCTGAGTCCGAATGGTCGAACGGATCCCCAAACAAAGAGATTACCAGAAAGGCCTCCATTACTTTTGAGCCAACTCAAGAATTGTCCTGGGTTAAATGAAGCCAAGCCTCTTCCGTCTAAGGCCATGGTCATGGAGGTTAAAAGGCATCCACTCTTGCAAATGGTGTCAGTGTAGATAATGTCGCTAGACCAGGATTGTCCGCATTGCTTGTAGAGAGGGTAATCATATCTTCAAATGCATATATATGCGTGTTGCCAAAACTTCCATCAACTTACTGTTGATAACATGCTCCGCCCTTGAGTTTCAAACTCTTAGCCTCGCTTTGCGAGATGAATAAGGCGATCACTACAACCACCGACAACAAATAAGGCACAATTTTGTTCATTTTTTTTGAATGAACTCTCAAACTCCGCGTTTACAAAAGTTGTCTTTTACTTTACATTCACTAATCTCTTAAATAAACTTTTCAACCTTCACTTGAATATTGCATCGAGGTTTTTGCTGTTGATTGTTGTTGAGAACATTCTTTGAATCATTGGTTCTCTTTTTCAAAGCTCTAATTCTAATTTTCTTATTAATAAATGCAGTATTGAGAGGTTGATACATGGTTGAGATGACATCTGTTTTACAATAGGCCACTAATGTTTCAATTAATTGATTTCCAAATTCTTGTTGTTGTTTCCTATTTGGTTTTTCAACAGTATAGATTGAAATTTTGAAATATAATTGCTCAATAAGGAAATGTGGAAATGGAAAAGTATAACACAACGCACAAATTAATTCATTTCTTGGAGACACTGATTTCATGTTCATACTCGATGAGAGAACTGTTGATTTCTCTTCAAAAATCATATCAAATAAATTACTACAAATAACCAAATGATTATTAGAAGTGTTAGAATTGAGTAAATTCGAGTTGGCAGTTGTTGTCGTGGTGGTAGTAGTGGTAGTAGTGGTTGTGGTGGTTGTGGTCGATGATGAATGACTCTCAGAATTACTACTCGAGCTCGGTGCCAACACAATCGATGAATGACTCGTCGTCAACGATGAATTTGAAGAATTCAACTGTGAAAGGACTACTTTACAAGATCTCACTCCATTTCGTTCATTACTACCACTCATACCACTACTGAATACAGAATCAATGGATGAATGCGATTGAACAAGAGATCCATTCACATCAAAGACATAGCTATCAAAAACATCATCTTGTGATGATGAACCATTATTCTGTTGAGATTCTTGTTGTTGATGACTCAATAATTCTACACGAACTCTCCAATTCGAACAAAATGGATTGGTGATGGTGGCAGAATCGGAGGCAATTTCAATGGGTAAAAATTGAAAACTTAGAATTCGTAACAGAACTCGACAATCGTACGTGTCGTGTGAATATCGGGATGAAAATTGACTGGACATGTCATCACCAGTACGTTCTTGTCGATTACTGCTGCTAGAACCACCACCACTGGCACTTGAAAAGGTAAAGAAATCATTCACATCGGTGGCAATGTCTGAGACACGACTGAAATTTGCAAGTTTTTTGATATTTGACATTTGAGGTGTGAAATTTTGAATTAATTATTTTAATTATTATAATGGACAAGGTGTGTTACCAGTTGGTAGTATAGTTGTACAAGATGGTGAGATGATAATTGAGAAGAGAGAAAAAGAGATCGAGCTATTTTTGAAGATGATTAGAGTTGTTTTATGATGACGATGGAAAGAGGTTCCGATCTTTTTTTTGTCTGTTCCAAAGCTTTCAAAGTGGAGAATGGTGATTGAAATGGTCGACAAGTGACTCGAGTGCCTTTTGAGGAAAAGGTTGTTGGTATTAGGAATAAAAGCAACCTCATTAAGATCACAACTCCATCCATATAAACAATCATCAAACTACTACTCTTCTCATAAAAGAATTGCATATCTACACCACTTGGACGAATGCAATAAAACCTGAATTTTAGCGTTTTGTTTGTTTTTTGCCTTTCATCGATTTGTTATCAACTCGCATAAAACATCACAAAACATGATAAAACAGAAGAAATCGTCATCAAAACGACGAAATCATCATAAAACAAGTAAAAAGCAAAATTTATCTTATAGGCATCACAAATTCGTTAACCAGACCAGCACACACAACCCACACCTTGTTATGTGCTTCTTTAGATTCGTCAATACTATGTGTGGAAGACCGGAATGGCAAAGAACAAATTTTCCACTTCTTAATGTGAGCAATGACATTTTCCACAACTATTCTAACACTAGCAAGACTATTATAATGGGTCACAAGCTGAGAAATAGAATGTGTCCATTTGGTGAAACAGCAATTAAGATGGTGAAAGTATGTAATCTTTTTTTTCCTGAATATAAACTTTGTTCCTGTCTTTTGTTTGAGGGAGTGAATACTTTTTGTTCTGTTCCGTCCATTACCACAGTCACGAACTTCTTAAAAAAATATCATGAGTGAAACATCAAATTCCAACTTGATAAGTGCTAATTGATTTACTACAATTTTCGTGATTTGCAACGTTTTATTCGTTTTACGCGTTTTTTGAATGCTCATTGACGTTCTATTGCATCGTCCCAACTTGTTGTTGTTCAAATTCTGAGACAATTTGTTGACACTTGGTGGAAAGATTTTGGAACTTTTCCATTGTCCATTCCGAACCTTCATTATTATTAGTGTTCACATTGTGAATGCATTCCACAAGTCCCTCATGAGTAGAAGTGAAAAATGTTTGAGGAATGGAATACGCTTCAGTGAGGAATTGAGTCAAATGAGAGTCTACTTTGGCAAAATTCAACAAAAATTCAGCACATTGTGTAGGTTGAATTTTGTTCACAATGAACATTAAAATGTAAGCAAGGTTAATTTCAGATCCAAGTTGATCGATCAAAGACTCAAATAATGAAGTAGAAATTTGTGATGGTGGTATACTTGTTGAAGAGGCTGTTGACGTTGTGGTAGATGGGTCTTGAGGTAATGCTGTTGTTGAGGAGGAAGAAATTAACATGGAGGTTAGGTCCAATAATATTTGCAAGACAGATCTCAAAATATTTCTGTACTGATTTCCAACATTCAACAAAATAGTTGTGAAATCTGAAAAATTGCTCAAAAATTGACAAAAAGTGTTTGAATACTTTTTCACGAAGGAGCTCAAGAAACAGAGCAAGTTGATGACAAAGAGATCTTGCTTCTCTTCGGATTGTGTAATATAAATAATTTCCCTACAAAATAGCTCCAATAAAAGTAAAAGTTGTTGTTCAACATTTGAAGGGATTTGGCCTGTACTATTCTCTAAAGACTTGTCAGAGGAGAGAGATTGGTTTTGAATAAAGTTGAATGCAGTTCTCCAAATCGATTTTCTTTCATCTGTGTTATTCACTTTTGTTTCCTCAAATTTAGCACACAGAGCAGAAAGTCTTTCAATAATTAACTCCAAAAATTGTTGATTGGTGATCACTGTAAAGTTATAGCCAGGATTTTCATTATACTTGTTCAAATAGACTGGACCAATCTTGTATCCGTATTCACTTTCGAGTATAAATGTATTGCTAAAGGACTGTACATCCAAGGAGTAATCTTCCAATCGTTTTGAAATGAAAAAGTGGTTGAATAATTGTTTCAAATGTTCATTCAAATATGCCGAAAGTAATTCTCTTGATTTTGCATTCCAAATAACCTCTGGATTAACATGATCTTCATCAAAGTAGCTGATGAAACCTTCTACATCTCCTTGCTGAAGGAATGTATGATAGAGTGGGAACAATGCTTGTTTCAATAAAGAATGGACATGTTCAATGGATAATTTCACAAAGAGAGAGAGTAAATGAGTCGCCTTCTTTCTTACGGCCATTTTGTCAAATTTTCCTCCAACAATAGATGCATATAAAAGTGTCACAAATAAACCATTATTCACAGAAAAAGTAGATCTATCGTTGGCATCAAGTTGCGTCTTGAAGAAATTAGCAATGAATTCCATAATATTCAATAAAAGAGCCTCTTGTCTTTGGACATGTTGAGTTTGCTTTGCATAGAAAATATATGTAAGATATTTGTGTAAACATCCCAATACCAATTTGTAGAAATCTCTTGTTTTTTGGGAACCAATCTTGGTGTAAAATTTGGCATAGAATTTGGTGATTCTCGAAAGAATTTGATAGGTCTGATCAAGAGCAACCAATATGTACTCTTCTTCCAACGAGAGGGTATCAAGATATCCAATGAATAAGTGATACAAATGAATCATAATTTGTTGGTATGACTCATTGAAGAATACTAATTGTTGTTCTTGTGTTTCTCTGGTTGGATCTGTAGAATCTTCACTGCAAATGATGAGATGCAAAAGTCGAATTTGGATGGATAGTGGTCTCAAACGATCTTTCATCACAGATTTCTGTTTGTATTCTTCCACCAAAAGTGCATGTAAACTAGAAATTAAACTTTGCACAAAGGTCGTTGAGTTCACAATAGTTTCATTCGTGTGTTCGAAAAATTCACCCAAGCTGCTGACATTACTATCTTTGAATGCTCTGTAAAGACGTTCTGTGTAAATATCAATCACTGGATTCAATAATGGTAAAACTCCTTCAAGTTTTAGACTGTTTGGCACAAAATTTTGAATTATTTGATTGACCATTTCATTGTCATTGGCATTCTTACATGCTTGAATGAGTGATTCTAAATCTCCTCGAATTTCCTTATTCCATACCAATAAATAATCTGAATGATCTGTTCGAATAAATTGATAAAAATCATCAAAGGTTTGAACGTATGGGAAGAGTAAAATGGCATTAGATCTTCTATTATTAATGCTGTTGATTTGCAACAAACAAGTGACAATGTTCTTTCCCAAAAATTTTTCTAAATTTCTCTCAAACAGCGAACTCAATTTTGACAATAACAAGTAGTGGATAATTTCAATACAAGTCAGACAAATCGTCTTCATGAATGAAATAGAGTCACTATCGTTGGATTCACTCACAGTGTTTTCAAAAGGTATTGCTCGATAAAACAATCCAAGATTTACCAATTGTAGAATCAGTTTAAACCTGTTATGAATTAATCTTGAGTGGTCCTTAAGTAGCACTGAATTCGAGTTCAACACTGGAGGTACATTTGCTGTTTCTAAATCAATTTGCTGATGTTTGGCATATTTTCTAATACAATGTATGGTTCTCAGAGTAATCTCTGGAAATTGTTGCATGTACGAAGGTTCAAGCAATGGAACAAAGTCGTCAAAGAAACTTGTTGGAACTAACTTTCGTTCTTCATCTTCTAAAGCCACAGGCATCAATACATCAGCAATGGCATCAAGTACTCTCAAACAATTGATCATTAATTGTTCATTGCCTCTGCAATGAGCTTCCTTAAGAATATTCGTGGATGTGAAATTCAATCCTCCCGATGTTATAAAGAGTAATTTGTTTCGGTGTGAAATCTCAGGTTCTGGTTCCAATTGACTAGCCAATAAATGTACCACAACGTTTAAGGAGTTAATTTTTTCTTCAATGTCTTGCATCTCGGTCAACAGAGTCGTGTATTTTCTAAACAAGCTGGAATAACCTTGATATTTTAAGAAATGGATGGAAGAAGATTGACTTGGTGTAAATTTGCCTAATGAGAATTGATAGAAGAGTTTTGTCTGAGCCTGAACGATTAAATTTGCGTTATTTCTATTTTGTTCTTGTTCAAGTGCATCAATGAGTTTGGAGAGAAATAGTTCTGGATCTACAATTTCATTGATGGATATATAAGTTTCCATATCATCACTTGGTACGCTGTTAACAAAGCCCTCCACAAAAATATCATAGACGGATAACTTGTCTTCAATGTCTAAATATTTCACTACAACTGGTTCTTCGTAAACATAAAGATAGTTTGTTGAGGGAGAGTTAGAAAATATCAATTTCGGTAACTTTAAGGGGTCCACTTGTTGCGTCTCTACAATTTGAGAACTCAAATTCAGTCTCTTTTCGTCAAATGCTTTGAATCGATTTTTCAAAGATTCACACAAAAGCGCTCTGTGGTTAGAATTCCAAAAGAGGAATGGTGAGTTATAATCTTTTTTAGAAACAGCAGAAATAAACGTATCTACATCTTTTTCCTTATCACTATTTAACAGTTTCAGCAATTGGCTTGGTAAGAAGTATCTGAGATATGAATAATATTCAGTGCATGCTTCTGAAACTGGTATCATGTGGAAACTCTTTAAGAACTTGGCAATAGTTGCAAGACATTTGGTACTGTGTTCTTCCATTGTAGCAATAATGATGAGCATGATTTCAAATATACCTGTTTTGTGTAAGTGTTGCCTCAAAGCTGACGAGTTATAGAGAGGAGATTCCACCAATGTATGTATCAAGAAAACTGTTTGCCAGATCAGCTCTAATTTTTCTGGTCGATTCGATCGTATGTTCAAATTCATCACCAGAACATTCACATAATGTAGATTGTTGACAATATCAACCATTCGTCTTGGTCTATGATTTAACAATTCTCCTAAAATATAGAGGAGCGATAGAATTCGTCGTACAGCTTCTACATCTGCATACGTCGTACTTGATGTGTGTACATAATTGTGATGTGCCACCAGTTGCTCTCTTACCATATGAAACATCAAGTTATGTAAGGTGTCTTCCTTATCGAGATCATCCATATAGGAGTGTATCTTTTTCTTATTGGACAGAATGGAAGATATTAACAATGTCGTATTATAAAAGTAGTCATCTTTGAAATGCTTCACAGAGAGTAATCGTGACAAGTAATTCATTCGGTGCATAGGAACATTCAAGATTGTTTGCTCGTTAACGTCTGTCTTATCAGAAGGAGTGAGTGGCACATGTTGTCCAAGTCTAATCATTTCATTAAGCTTGAATAGACATCCTAAAATTCTTGTCTTCATTTCTACATCATCATTATCAATGTTGGATAGTAAGAACATTTTTTCATAGAGCCCTTCAAAAGTGCCAACACTGAGCAAATTTTCAATATTGTCCTCACTATTGGAAGAAGCATACTCAAGAGCTCTTTCAATATAAATACCATTCGATTCAATTTCACTAGAAATTGCCTTGTATCTAATTCTGAGATCTTTAGACATGTTGAGAGCGGATGTCCATTGTAAATCATTTGAAATAGAAGCAAGTCTATCTTCGACAAGTAGAATTTCACTATCTAGCGCTTTTAAAAGCTCATCTCTCATTTGTTGATTCCATATCAGATCATACGATGAGGAATCATGTAACAAAATGTTGGCATCAAACGTTTGATTCGTATCCTGTTGCAAGTGCTTTTGTTGAGTAAGAAGTTGTTTCACTAGCTGAGATGGTAAAAGATTGTTGATCAAAATTTCACATGGATTATTGTATAACTTTCCACAATCAATATTACAACACACTCGCAAAAATTCCATACTAATAAGAGTTTGTTTTGTGTAGTGGTCTGAGCTTTGTTGTTGTGGAGACAGTAGTAACCCTCTCATTTGATGTAATAATGCACCGAATATTATAATACACTCTAAAATATTTTGTCTCCCTGTCATGGATGACTCATTGAGAAGAATAAATAGTAAATGAATTGCATTCATCCTAATGAGGAAAAAGACATCAACTTGATGCTCTTCTTGGTGAATTGATGTTAAAGGATAAACTTGACATAATAAAAGAACGGTTTGGCAAAATTTCTTTCTGTCCATAATGGTTGCCTCTTTCTCAAGCCTAAAAGTAGAACAAAAATGCTGTGAGACAAGTGAGTTTTCTTGATCTAAAATTGTTTTTAAGATGTCTAAGGTAATCAAAATGATGTGACAAGAGTGAGTTTTCAATGCAAGCTTTTTTGGATTCTTCGGTTTCTCTCCATGAAGATAAAACTCTAAAATTGTGTAAAACAGCTCAAATCTGATCGTAATTATTAACAAGAATGATAGGACATCAATAAAGTTTCGAAAATACTCACCCTCTTGATTTCAAAGAAAAATGTTGTTGAATTTCTAAAACAGATCCCAAAAAATCTTGCTTCTTTCGTTCACTGATTTTATCCTCTTCGGAATTAGTGCCAGTGTTAGGCGAAAGAAACATGGCCCTACTTCCTCCACCACTAATCAGCTCTTTCAAAAATTTGAGTACTGTTTCCAGAATTTTAGGATTAGCGATAAAGTAAAACGCAGGTTCAATATAATAGTTATAAACTAATTCCTTCTCTTGCGATTTATCTTTTTCGCTTTGTAATAAATTTAGTGCCAGTGATTGATAGAGAAATGGATTTGATAAAAAGTATGATGCTAATTCATAGATACAAATTATAATTTTTTCAATCTCCAAAACAAGCATGGATTGTTGAACCGTAAGCTGTTGTTGATGATGATGATGGTCTAATTCCGATGGTGCATCATTGATCACTCCATGATACACATTATAAATTAAATAGGACAAAATAAATCCCAAATGTTTGAGAACGAGAGCATCTATTTTTGTTTGAACAAAATGTTTAAATTGAGAATGATCAAACAACGGTAGAATAATATCTCTAATTACTTCCACTTGTTGTTCCCATGACGGACACGTTTGCTGTAGTGTTCCAGAATCAAAATGTAGGACTTTCCGGAGTGCTTGTTCAAACTCAGGTGGAAGATTCGAATAGGCTTGTCCCATTTTTTTGGCGTTTAATTACTTCGTCTCTGTTGACGTCAAGAGATCGACACTACTTGAAAATAGCTGATATCCAATTCCGCGAATTTAAGGTATTAAAAGTTACTGACAGAATTTATGACTCTTATCTTTTACTTGCAATAAAGTTTTTCACTTATGTGGAAGCTTCACTTTTAGTGCATACTACATTTCCACCTTGCAAAAATAAAGGAAGGATATTAATCTATTTCGATCAAAAACGTTCCTTAGACATCACTCTATTGTGATGGAGAAGGTAATTTACTTTTATGAGGAGGTTTGTTCATCATTTCAGAAATTGAGGGTAGCAAAACATCTTCGTTTTTTCGTCTCTTCACATTTGAGGACTTGGCATTGAAATATTCTTCTCCACTTCTCGACGATAAGGAAGTAGGAGTAAATTCAGCGCTAGGACAGGCATTCAATGGTTGTTCACTCGACCTTAATTGAGAATTTCCAAATTGATTTTCGAAATACGTATGATTCGAAGGCGATGCATTCAAATGATCTGCATCATTATTAATGTTCCTACTAAATGTTGTCTCTTGATAAAAGGAATCGCTATATCCTCTTTTTCTTTGCAATTGGTCGATTCCACTAATATCTAAACTATTGTTCGATGAATTAGAAGACGAAGGAAGATGATGTCTGCCAGATGTCAAAATATCAGAAAGTGGAGATTTAGACTTAGGTTGTCGAGAAAATGTAGAGTAAGCTGATGAGGTTGAACTTAACGTTATTGAAGTTGAGGAAGGAACATGTGATTCTTGTTTCCAAGATGGCAAAGATTTCTGAGAGGTTGAGGATTGACCATAAGTAGGAATCGCCATGTTGCTTGTATAAATTTGAGGAAGTGATGATGGAGGAGATGAACGAGAAGGAAGCGGAATTATGGTATTATTATTTACATTGTCGCCAGCATAGATAATCAATGATGAAGAATGACAAGTGGCAGATGCATTATTGTTGACGAAAGTAGGTTTTTCCAAATTTTGCATATTTGCATACTTTTCTTTCAAATGCTTTAATGCCGATACGGTGTTACCTCGAAGGGAAAGAGATGTTGATTCTGATGTTGTACTTGAAGAAGTTGCACCGGAGGGAAATGACACAATGGGTTGTTGATGACGATTCATTTCATGATCAAACCTGTGGGGATTTGATCGAGATTGAGTGAACTCTTTGTGAGAAGATTGCATCAATTGATTTGGAGTTGAAGTGGACATGTGGTAGAGAGGAGAGGAGAATGCTGAAGTGGTGTTGTTGGTGACCATGTGCATGTGGTTGGTGGTATGCTCTTCATGTTGTGGTGGTGAGGATGTGTTTGTGACCACCACATGGGATGCTGATGATGGATTGTAGTTGAATGTCACATGCGATGGTGCAGTCCCAGCAACAAGTGTAGTACTTGGCGGTGATCTTCTTTGGGGTGTGGTGACTGAATGTTGCTCGACATGTTGTTGGTGTGAATAGGAGCTTGAAGATGGAAAAGACCGAAGTGCTCCATAATTGTTGTCATGCACATGCATTGATTCTGCAATATACTGTTGCTGCTGTGGAGACATGTGATCTTCCTCTCTCGACGGCGGGCTACTTGTTGTTTTATACTGTTGTTGTGGCTGCTGATATGGTTGTTGTTGAAAGGATCCCGTGCTTGTCGACTGGGGTGTTGTATAAGAAGATGAGGAAGAAGGGTTCGTGCCAGTGCCAACAAAGAGATCACGATGTCGCTTCATCACTGTCTCCAACAAATTTGCATGTTTGATTATACACTCGTTCAAATTGATGCCTTCTCGTTGTATTTGTGAAAGAGCATGCACGAATGCTTCTTCACCATGGGGTGCATATTTGAGGAATTTATCTTTGAGGATTTTGTTGATGGCTCCTCGTCGAGACTGGTTCTTGTCATAGAGTTCTTTCAATAGAAAAAAGTACTATTAGGAAAAGTTCATGCAGAAGTTTAGTGTTGAGTGCCCAATTCGTTGAAAATGGGCCGGTGAAGTGGTTGTTATTGATGGTTGGGGAGATGTAACACGATTCAATGGTTGTTGTTGTTGTTAGGATGAACATGCATGGCATCACACACATGTATTAATTCACCTATACAAATCATTCTTTAGAATCATTAACACTTACTCTTTGATCCATCATTTCATTTTGGGGGTAGCTCTTTCGTATCTTGCATGTTTCGGCGTTACACTTTGTATTTTCGTGTCGCGTTATTGGTGAGAGATGGGTTGGTGGTTGGTTGAAAGTTATTAATATCAAACATTTGCACAATTTTGAAATGGTGTTGGATATTAGTCCGAGTCAAAGACCATCACACACATGTAAGCACCAACGAAATAAACCAAATTACAAACCTTTAAATGCGTCAAATAATGATAGGGACATGTAGTGGGCATGGTACTAGAGTTTTGTTTCAAAATTCAATTCACAATCTTTGTCTAAATTCATCACCGTTCGATTGTGGTGAGAGTGTTTTTAACCAGCTAGCTTGAATGCAAGAATGACTCGGTGCAAATTCTCAGAGCAAGCAATAAACGAGAGAGAGTGAGAAGGTCCAATTGATTTCAATTTCTTCGAAAGTGAAACGCTGGTTGACTCGAGGAGGCCGTGGTTTGTTATTTTGCCACACTACCACCACGCGAGAATCAGAACGATCTTGGTTGTTGTTACGGGGAGAAATGTGCGGAAATGTCTTCCTTCGTACTCAAAAGGAGAAGGCGAAAGAAAGCAAAAGATTACGATTTCGTCCAAGGTGTTTCGTCAACAAGATATGAGTTGCCACCACGAATAATAATGGAAGAGCAAGTGGTGGAGTGTTGACGGTGGTGATGACAGGTATGTTTTGATGTCCCTTCACGTTATACACAACGACGGTTCAAGGGTTCTGAAGTGAGCGTTTTTTTGAGAAATGTTTGGATATTCTGACTCCCATTCAAGGTCTCTCTCGGACCATGTTGTGTGATGACGAATGACAGATCGTTGTTGTTTTGCGGCTGCCGTCTTGTTGTGGTTTGACAGCTGTGTTTCCTTAATATTACAAAGATAGTAACATCCTTCGCCATCTTAGGGTCTGAGTTTTCGCATGCACTTTTTGATGCATCACTTTTAAATGAATCACAGGAGATAATTGTGGTTTGGTCTGACCAACGGTGTGTGATTATGACAACGAGGGAGATGTTTGCATCTTTCAACGTTGATGCAAGCAAAAACAAGCGTTCTCGGTGCTTTCCCAGTCATGGCAGCACGAATAGAGGGAATTGATCAAACTCAGTCCCGAGAAAGGATAAATGAACACCCGTTCGACACATCTCTAATATTCATTGTGAATGGATGGTAGACCCACCGTATTGAAAAAGAGTGCGAAAAGGCATCAGAGGTAGTTATTAGTGCCACTAAGGATGTGGCAGATCGATAACATCATCCAAATCTCTATATCGAGTGCGACTGGGTCTAATTTTGAAAGCAACAGTGCCATTCAACGCAAATGTAGTGGATTAGTCCTAATTGAAACTCGTTGATGAGTGATGAGTTGCTTCGGTTCACAGTTGGTCCATTCTTCCATCCTTACGGCCCGAGCACAAAGGTCAAGCATCATTCTTCCATCCGCACAACACTGGAAGCAATTAACTTCATTCCTTGCATGTACAACAAGAATGTCAGATAATATGGGGCCGTCAACAAATGCAAGATCTTGAAGATGAATATCGTAAACGACAATTATCCAAATGTACTGCTTCTCAAAGGATCTCTTTCAATGAATACATATGGACGAATAAATTGTGTTCCTCAAACTAACAACGCACGCTGTTATTCAGTTATTTCAATACAAACAATGAAATTTCTTGTCCATTCTTATGATGTCGATCCGCTCTACTTTTTTACAAAATTCACAACTTGTTGGGCCAATGCTGTTGAGGTCAATATCGAATAATGATTATACTGAGCGAGAGCTACAACCTTACTCTTATTGGAATATCCTTCAATAAGATCTCGCATAAAATCCGTTTGAGAGAGTTCATTCTTGGGATCAAAGAATGGTTGAATACCCTTTCTTCCCAGATTGGCTTCAGTGTTGGCATCATGATTCACATCCACCACAAGTACATCAATGGCAGAAGTATTAATCGGTGCAGCCACAGCTGGAGTATTGCTGTTAGTATTGCTTCTGTTCAAGTCTTCTGCATGGTTAGTATCTTCTACCTGCTGCGACACTTCATGTTCGCTGTCTGTAATGGATTCGGCTATTTTTCTTGCTCCATTCAACTGTACACAAGATCTCTTAAATAAAGTAGTTTCATTTCTGATGGTTTTCCATAAATTGTCATTTCTCAAGTGATAATGCATACGCTTTGTCACTTCTTCTCTTGATAGCAAATGTGTATCATCATAGTCCGTGTGAGGAACTCTTCCGTTATATTTGACTGTCCATTCAGGATTGGCTATTTCAGGTGAAATGGATTCAACAAATGGATCTATAAATTCTCTCTCGAGTGAGTAATTTGGAATGAATTTGAAGAACCATTCCATAAAACCATGATATGCGAATAGTCTATTGTACAGACCTCTTGCCTTCCAGTCAACCAAGTAATCAACATAAAACAGAGAGTATTGAATAAATCTTTCATGCAGAGGAGAAATCAGTATACTTTTAGAGATGTTCACTTTTCCATTGTATTCTGTTTGTAACAAATTGCCAAATTTGAAAAGATACATTCGAGCTAGCATGCCACCAAATCCATGACCTACAAGAGTGATTGAAACCTTTTCATCGTTTTGAATAATATTGTTCTTTAACACACTCTCCACTAAATTGTGCAATTCAATGCTCATGTTATGTAAATGTCGAGGTCCCTTAACGATATCACTATATCCATAACCATATCGATCATACCTCAAGGCATATACTTTAGATGATTCCAATTCCTTGCTATGCAATAAATGATATTCTAAATTTTGAAAAACTTCTCTAGTTTCAGCAATATCGGGAATGAAAATGACCAACTGTTTTTCATCATGATGAGAGTGGTTTTCTTTGTTTTCTGATGTGTTCTGAATTTTTGATTCCGAAGATGATGTAGGTGAGTCTTTCTTGTTTGCATCTTCATTCGAGTGTAAAGTGTAGAATAATTTCAATTCCTTGCTGGAGTCATTCATTTCAGGAGGTGCCTCCATGTACAACCCACTTTTTGGCTTTGGGGCATTACGAACTGGATCCCAATGTTCATATCGGATGTTATGAGCAAAAGTAAAGAAGTTAATACCAACAAAAGATAGAGCAGTCGTATACACAAGAGTCTTTGCAAAGAATTTGCCTGAAAAGAGTCGTTTCATTGTTTTACGATGAACGAGAAAGTCTTGATAGCGAGAACAAAATTGATTATTTTTTTATCGAATTTATTTCTTTTTTAATTCCTCATCTATGAAATTTCATAGTATTGAAATATAATTATTTCAAAAGTAGTTGTTCCAGTAATCATATTATTCATGGTAATTATTACGAATGTGTGATGGTGGTGGGTAATATTCCGATTAATCAATGAAATACGAATTTTCAGTTTAATCCAAACAGAAATCATGACGATGTTTCACTTACTCTTTGATGTGGTGGCTGTCATGACCAAATTATTTAATCTTTCTAAATGTTGCAAATCCGAAGCTTGATCAGTCTTATATTTAAGAACAAATGTATCATTGGTAGTTTTCAAATTCATTCTTCCTTTCTTGTTACTAAATTTCATAACATATCGGGTATTGTTCGGAAATTGTTTAAACAGAGATTCCGTTTTTTCAATAAACTCTTCCATCGATTGGCATGTATATGAATTTGAATGTTTTGATGATGAGGTTGTGGATGCGCTCATTTTTTGATCGTTCCGTTGTGCCTGCTAGGAAGTCAGTGCCTGCTAGGAAGTCACTACGTATCTTACGTTCGGCTTGTAAATAATGTACATAAAACCATCGAACAACGTTTATCATCGAATAAACCCATCCCTGAATTTTTTGATCGTTCCGTTCAATCATAACCTCCAACAACAATTCCCTCAAAAAAATTCAAAAGATTTCATCATCATCATCATCATCGACATCACCAAGAAACAACACAATTAACAAATGGGATACCGAAAACTATTCTTGAAAGAATACGTGGAAACTAAAGATTCCGATCAAACATTAGTGAGAGATTATAAGAGGCTTGTATTGATGCTGGTACGGCAACTCAATGCCGAAAATATTTCTAATTTATCTACGGTTGCTGCACCTGGTGATATTCAAAATGTTTCAGGCTCGGATCCAGTTTATCATATTGAAATTAATGAATATAATCCGAATACGACATCTACACCTGAAACTCCAGCAGTTTATACAGGTACTTCCAAATTGCATAGTGTTCGCTTTTCATCGGAAGATGTCATTCAAGATCAAACAAATCTTTTGAATTATGAATATAATTGTTTCAAATATCTCAACAAGAATGAAGAAGAGGATCAAAATGAAACTCATCCTCAAAGTACTGTTTTTAATCTAGTTCCTCCTTCTCTCAGTTTACAATCTATTGACAAGTTGTACTTTATACTGAATAACCAAACGTTGGTAACCAATAGTAATTTTAAAGAATTAGTTTGTGAAAAATTGAAAAGGTATATCAAGTCCAGTAAGGTTGTCATTCATGGAGAGATTTTGAAATATGGTGACTTTATTATTCGAATTGGAGTCATTACTCAGAATGTAAAAAGAAGAGGAATTTTGATTGATATTGAATTTGCTCCCTGTGGATATTGTTACCTTTCAGAGAATGTAATCAAAGAATTCATGTCTACATTTATTGACATAGATCCAAATTCTACAACCACTCTTAAATTTAAGATAGCGGATTTATATTCTCAAAACTTTGATTATTCAGATTTTAATCTAAGCACAACCTATTATTCTTTGTCTCATCATTCAGTTCAACTGGTGAGATTGCTAGCTGAATGTGGAATTTTGAAATTAACAGCTGAAATACAAGCAACACAATAATTTTCTCACTTATTCCAAATTTTCATTTGTACCACTCGTGGATGCTGGAGAAATGTCGAAAATGAAATTCTCAGCTTGTGCTTTCTTGGGTGATGATCCATGTTGTTGTTGTTGTTGTTGTTGTTGCTGACCATTTAACACAAAGAAATACAGAGGCACTGGTTGTGCAGAGGATCGAATGAAATCTGAACTTGATGCATGAGCTCCACATCTAGCTTTTCTGTTATTGATTTTGCTGGGAGAATCAAACACTTCTACTTCTGTTTTTTCTGTTTGTTGCTTTTCTGACGGATTCAGTGAAAAGTCACATGTTTGCAATTGTACGACTGAGCTATCGCCAGAATGATTGGATTCAGTTCTGTGGAAACATCCTGACGAGCTGCTCTCCGTTCCGTGTTGATGATGTGGTGGCACTTGTTGTTGTGGAATAGTATTTCGTTGATCGTTCTGTGGTTGTTGTTTGTCTTGTTGAAGAGTTTGTTCATTTGCGAAATTCAATGTTTCATTTGCTTCGATCATACTTGTATAATTATTATTGGGTTGTATGTGATTGGATCGTCCCTTACACATGGTGAGAAGTTCCTTAATAGCAGAAAAAATTCCTCTCGTAGAATTTCGATCACCGTCCACCGTGCTGATACCATTGCGTTTCACGGAGGCAGGAGCACTTTTAATCTTTCGCCTCTTTTCTTTACTCGTTGGAGATCTTGGTTTGGTCGTGTTGTGATTCGTGTTCTCATTGTTATTTGAGGTCATGGTTGTAGAATTGTAATTGCTGGCCACAACTTTTTCATTGATTCTCGCACTGATATCATTGGACAAGGTTGTATTCAAGATGGAGGTGTGTTGATATGTGGAAGAGGATGTCACGACATTGTTTTGAGATTTTTGTTTCTGATAGGCCAAAAGTTTTGGAGGATTGAGCTTGGAGGAAGGAGAAGAATGGGGTGAATTTCTATTCAGAAAAGTCGATTGATTTGAGAAGGTCGTTGTGGAAGTGATGGGTTGTTGAGGAATCCATGAAAAGCTATCATCACTCTCATCTAAGAGTATCCTAGGTTGTGGTTTTTGAGAGGTAGATCTTTCCTCGGAGGTTGTAGTTTCAATATTTGCCAAAGCTTTTTTGTGTTGAATGGGCGTCGATGAAAGGCTTGTATTCAAAGAGAGGGATGGATTGAGACTGGAAATGGTAGTTGGAGGAAGAGAGTCATTATTTTGATTGGTTGTCATGATGATGATGGGATGTTGAAGAAGAAGACCTAGTGAGTGATTGAAGTGATCGCTTGTATGATGATGCGACAAGTCAACACTTGAAAATTGTATTCAGAGGAATATATTGTTGTAACAAAATTACTATTATTATTATTAGGGACTACAATTGAGCGGTAATTAAAGAGAGAATATATTCTTTTTTTTGTTGTTGGCAAGGGAGGGCACCCATGATTTGTTTTGACCACCATTGACAAGTGACAGCATATCTTACACGCGTTGAGAGATCTGTAGAGAATGGCGGTTCCTCTTATGACTATTTAGCCACATGCAAACATGTCTTTAGTATTATTTAGTGCTTTGACACATAGACATCACCAGTGATGATGGCCATTCTCAAAGTGGTGATAATGATCACTATAAAAGAATTTCCTTCAGATACTGTTATTCCAAAACAGAATTGTTCATCATTACCACATGATGATGGAGCTTCTATTTTTACACATAAAGTCTACATTCAACGAGATCTTAATTGTTCTGATCCTCCTTATCATCGTAGGATTATAATATCGATCAATTTCGATTCTTCAAAAGCTCTCAATAAACGTTCTTTCATTCGTTTCTCAGCTTCATATTTGACTTGACCAAATGAAAAGAGAATGGCAGAACAGTATTGACCTGCAGAAAGTAAACGCAATGGTAGAGGATTCGTAATGTTCAGAGGTCTACAATTTGAAATTCCATAATTGGTTTCATCCTCATCAGAGAATCCACTGTTGTGTATGAATCCAATCATTCATGTATGATTAGATTTCAATATTATTATTTTGATATTAAATTGATTGTCATCATTGTAGTATATTTCAATATGATTTTGACAATTTCACATAGCAATAACAACTCACCATTGAAAGCAGTCATTACTACCACATGCAATAATTTGTTTGTGATTCACCACAAACAGGGCATGATAATATCCACAAGTGATTTGAGTAATTCCATCTAATTTAAATTCATAGAAAGCTCCAAAATATTTAATTGTATCTGATGGAGGTGAAGGTAATTTTCCGCATCCATAGACCTTTCCTTGACGTGTAAGAAACATTGAGAAATCATAACCGAGAGAAATGTCCACAATATCATGTTTGAATGTACAAAATTCATTCTCGGTGATGGAAAAGACATTGGAATTATGACCTAATCCGAGCTGTCCTAATTCATTCCATCCACAAACGTAGAGCTTTATATCCGTTCGTTTGTTCACTAAAAACATGACATGACTATATCCTGTATATATTCCATCAATGATACTGGAATTGAAAAATGTAATCTTTTTTGGGCTTTGTCGATCCGATTTCACCTGACTACACAATTCACCTCGATAATTCCATCCAAAGGTGATTAAATTTTCTCGATTTGTTTTGCAGATCGTTCCTTGTCCCAAAGCATAAATACTTGTAATGAACTCATCTTCATCCATCAAGTGTGACAATGGTACTTGAAAACATTTGATATTATACAATCGTTTAAAAGTATTGGTAATGATCGCATCTTCATTGTCCATCATTTGTTCATTACTAATTCCAATTCTACCATTGGAGGTATTACCAAAACCATATAATTCGTGTTGTTTGGTGAGAAATAAACAATGAGAAAATCCAACGGCAACATCAATAACATTATTTCTCAATAGACAAATATCATGGCTCGGAACATCAATGGAAGCCTTGTTATGATGTTCCAATGTTGATGATGATGATGATGACTTGCTATGCATTTTATAGTCATGAAGAGTGAGGAGTAAATTATTTTGATGAGTGAGAATGGCCATTCGATTTCCTCCCTGATGGATGGTTTTAATTCCTTCCTGAAGGTACGGAAAGGCTTTTGCATTGGATTTAAAATCGAGAAGAGTCGGAAGACATTTACTCGATCGGTTGGATAAGGCGAGTTGCTCCACATCATTTCTTCCAAAAACAATGATTTGATCCTCCATGATGATGATGAAGGTGGTGGTTTTGTATTCGGTTGGAGAGAGTTGTTGTTCGGAGGGATCAATAATTTTTTTTAGAAAGTGTCACTTGCACGATTGCCCCATTGTTCATGACATGCTAATTCGTGTCAAACAAAAACTGATCAATAGTCTTGTTAGTTAATATTGAGAATATTCTCTTGTGTTCTTTCAGGTCGAGCTACTCGAGTTTTCAAAGGTGAAAGGTTTTTCATCAAGTCTGCCAATGTTGAATGATTGTTCAATGATGATGAGGGTGATAACGTTAATGGGCTTGACACATATTGACCTCTAAGCTTTGAAATGGAATATTGAGAAAGATCAACGTGATGATTTTTTGAAAATCGTGTCATTGATGGCTCTTCTGTATGTGGTGTTTGAAAGTTTGACAGATTCATTACAACCTGGGACACTCCTCGACGATCCTTACTCAACACATCGATTGGTTCATCATTCTCAACAGGTTGAGGTGAAAGTGATGTTTTTTGTTGGTGGTCTTTCATATGTTGATCATTCCTCGGTTGCTTTTGTGGTTGAGGTTCAAAGTCTTTCAAAAATGCATTTACAATATCCGACTCTTCTTCTGTGGAAGGTCTAACCTGTGAACACACAGCTGGGGGCTCACTTGTCTGGTCATGAGGTGGTGGGTTCAATGGCAATTGTGAATTGTCCATTAAAGATGTATTCGTGGTTGTTAGAACAGTATCTTCCTTCACGTTGCAAGCCAATGTTGGGCCATGAGAGGGTGTTTCTGTTGTGTTTCCATCCACGCAATCTTTTTGAGGTAAGGTTTGTTTTTCTAAAGTGATTGCATCCAATAACAATGTTGTGTTCGATGATAATTGTGTTTTTGCTTGTTTCAAGATCTCACTCGATGATACACTCAATAAATTATCTCTTACATCGAGAAGTGACATTTCGCTGTTGAGTTTCAATAGCTTGATCAAACAGTCAGTAGATTTGTCAGTAATTTTGTTTCCTTTCAGAATGAGGCTATGAATGGAATAATTCATGGATGAAAGCATTTTCATTACGATGTAATCTCCTAAATTATTACCTTCAACATCTAAATATATCACATTCGAACGTTTCAGATCTAACTCAAAGGATGGATCATAAATGAAAGTGTTTTTAAATGAAATATTTTGGAGTTGTTTACATAATTGCAAAAGCTGACTCATTAAAATATGACATCTCTATAATTTCATCTTTAAGTATGAATTTGAGCACTAAAATTAAGCCTACCTTGAGATTGTTGTTTGATACATCAAGAGTAGTAATGGTATTATTTAAGATCATGCCATAGCAAAGTGCCTTAAATCCCAAAAAATCAAAATTATTTTCATTGAGAGAGAGGGTTCTTAGAGTGGTGTTATGTGATATCCATTTGCTGAGAGAGACCAGTCCGAGGTTTCCAATTAAATTGTGAGACAATAATAATTCTTCCAAGTTTCCATTCATCACTTCTTTAGTCAATAACTTTTCACTTAAATATTTCAAAGAAGAGCATCCCAGTTCGTTATGAGAGAGATTCAACTTTCTCACCAATCGACAGTCTTTCAAACATAAAAGAATACTAACATTGTCATCGGATATTCTACAATGACTTAAATTTAAATAATTAATATGTTGGTAATTATGAATGAATGAAGAAAAATCATCCAGGTGATGATAGAACTCAGAGTATTGATTTTCATCACGATTGGCATCTAACTTTCCAAGCTCAAGATTAAAATAAATATTTGAATATTTCTTTGCCATTGGAGCAAAAACCACCATTTCTTCAAATCCAAAAATTTCATCCCGAAGTAAATAACTTCCCTCGTTTGATTCACCACTATTCGAGGGGATGGAATTTTGAGAAATATTTTGCAAACTTATGGACACTCTCGGAATATTTGAAAGAGGTTCTTCTGGAGATGAAATATTTAAAATTGAATGCAACGTTTTCAAGGGAGGAGAAAGCAAAGAAATTGAATAGATGCTATTGTTGTTGTTGTGGTCGTATTCGTCTGAAAAATCATCAATTTTTAAATCATAAAAAGACAGAGACAATGGAATTGTTGGTGGTGCTCTTTGGAGATCATCATCATTAAGGGTTTTCACCAATAAGGGTCTCTTCTTTGAGTTCATTTTTTTACCGCTGAAAACTGCCGTTGACTTTGGAGATAATCTTCGAAAGGATTCCATCACAAAGGGTCATACATATGAACAAAAATCCAAAAAGAGTGTTTCTCATTTTAATTCTGGACAGTCAAACATCAATAAGTCCAAATGTTCCATCCAAATAAAAGTTGGGACCAATAAACCCTCCTGAGGGTTCATGAATGTGGGTCAAGGCATAGGAGAAATGTAATGTCCAAAAGAAAATTTGGCGCCATCAAATTGTAAGTGTTTGGGCGGGAAAACAAGGTTACGAATCTCAAACAAATAAAAAATGTTGTATGCACAACAACACAACAGCAATGCAGGAAACGAACTATTACTTGTGGATAACGTTGATGATGAACGAATAGTGAATAGGCTTGATCACGAAGAAGAATACTATGAGACTTCAGGTCCATCGGACAATGATGAATACGAAGATGTTCTGAATACAACTCAAGATTCTGCATCTTCTTCCGCATACTTAAATCAGTCCAATTCAGACGTTGAGACTAGGGAACGGGAACGAGAGGATGACTCACAGGAAATGTTGGGACTATTCCTCAATTTCTTGAGGGACAATGAACTGAACGAAACCGCAGAGAAGTTAATGGAAGAATTGAAATCGAGTACCAGCCGTAAGTTTTAACTACTCATTGTTTCACTAGTGTGTGTTCTGACAGATTTGGATAAATTCACAGGACGATCATCGCAAGCCAATACACCTCAAACAACATCAAGTCGACCATCCATGAAAAGCTATTCTTCGGAGAAGGAAAAAATTGTAGAGCCCGAGTTTGAGCAGGTTGCTGAGGTGGTCAACGACGTGGTTCAAAGTGTGGTCTCCGATTTTTATAATAGCCATCCAGCAGATACTAAGCATTACAATCACAGAATAACCCCCACCAACAGCGCAAAGAGAGTTCTGACAAGTCACTCCCAACATTCCAAGCAGTCTATTGAGGACTCGTATGAAGAAGAACTAGAAAGACCAGATAGCTCATCTCTCATGAAAGAATTACAGGATTTTGCACACATGTATGACACAGCAGATGGAGACGTTGCTCCTCTTAACACCGATGATCTCTATGAAACTTTTGAACAAGATATTGAGAAAGAGTTGAAAACGTTAGAGATGAAAAACAAGGAGGAAACTCAACCTTCAAAACCAGACAAGGATGCAAAAGACGATGACTATGCGAGCGACAGTGATGAAGAGGGATACAGTCGATGCACAGATTTCACAGAAGAAGACTTTAAATCTTGGGGCCCAACCTACATTGAAGAAGAGGTATCCGAAATTCAAGACCGAAGAACAAAATGGAGGCCTCCTGTGGAATATGAAACAATCTATTTACCTGTCATTAGAGAAACTTTCAAAACAGGTTTTGAGGAAACCAACGAATTCAAAATTGAAGTTGATTCAATTATTGCTGAACGTTATCAAGTGGTTGAATATCTTGGAAGTGCAACATTCAGCAGAGCAATTCAATGCTTGGATTTAAGAACCAACCAGAATGTCTGTATCAAGATTATTAAGAATGATAAGGATTTCTTTGATCAAAGCTTGGATGAAATCAAGCTTTTAAGATTCCTAAACAGTATGGGAGATCCAGATGCAATGAATGTGATCAAACTCCACGACTTTTTTTACTACAAGGAACACTTGTTCATTGTGTGTGAACTTCTGCGTGATAACTTGTATGAATTTTATGTCTACAACAGAGAGAGTGGCGATGAATTGTACTTTAACTTACCAAGGCTTCAAAAAGTAACAAGGCAATGTAAGTTGAACATTCGAACTAGGTGTTTGATCAAAGAATTCCATGATTTTGAAATGTCGACTTTTAACAATTTTCATAGTACTGACGGCGTTACAGTTTGTTCATTCCCTGAATTTGATTCACTGTGATCTTAAGCCTGAGAATATTCTCATCAAATCATACAGCAAGTGTCAAGTGAAAATCATTGATTTTGGTTCTTCATGTTTCAAATGGGACAATTTACCTCTCTATGCGCAATCAAGAACTTATAGAGCTCCAGAGGTCGTTATTGGAAGTGATTACGATGAAAAGATCGACATGTGGTCGTTGGGATGCATTCTAGCAGAATTGTATACTGGCAAAGTTCTCTTTTATAATCACTCGATTCAAACCATGCTTGCCAAAATTTTAGCATTATGTGGTCCGTTTAAACTTCATCAACTCCAACGAGGAAGATTTGTGAAGGACTTTTTCAGGAAGGTAAAGGTCGATGGAAAAACAGAGTATGTCTTGTTCAGATACATTGACAGAGACACTGGAAAGACCATTCCACCCTCAGGTGTTGGTTCTATTACACCAAACGACAATGTTTATGAGGAGTTGCTGATACCACAATACAAACAAAACTTGAAGGAACGGTTAGACAATTGCCAAGATGATGAGTTTGTTGATTTTATAAGGCAGTGCTTACAAATAGATCCACTTGACCGACTTGATGTTCAAAATGCGTTCAATCATCCTTGGATGAACAAGAAATATGAAGAGCAAGTGTAGTAGCAAACAGAAGTAGTTGTATTATTGTGTTGATATCTTTTCAATGGTTGTCCCATTCTCATAGGAGACATAAACAAAACCATTACTGTACTTGGCACACTCTATTTTGTTACCAGTATTGACACTCCACTGTGGCAATGGTGCGGTCGTCTTTTTGGATGGTTTTAAGGGTCCTTTCGATTCATAGTTCCATATTTTGATGGTACCATCCAAACTTGCAGACATGAATTGCTGTTGTTGTTGCTCATTCATCATGAATTGAATATTGTTCACAATATAGGTGTGAGCATTGTTGAAAGCAATGAATTTGTTGTAAGGAGATGCACTCAAATCAAACATGACGATGGAACCATTCCCAAGACCCACTACAATTGTTCAATTAATTGTTGTTATATGGGTTGAAAACATAAAGCATTATAATTTTGGGAAATTTCAAACTACTAGAACACAATTTAACACTTACTGACACTCCTTGAATCTCTCTTATTGATATCCAAACTGTGAATATAGGGAGGATTGATGACTTGTTGAGATGACTTGAGAGATTGGACGAATTGAGATGAATCTCCTTTAAATAACACGTTATTGTTTTTCCAATTTTGATGAATATATTTTTGATCCAAACCACCACTAATGACTATACGTTTGTGAAATGTCATTCATAAAAATTCATGAAAATGATGATGAATAAAATTCTCCTCGTTGCTCGAACATACCTTCACAGCTGGTATTTGGTCTCAATTTCACATTCATACAAATATTTTCATGTGAATGTGTTAATACTTTTTTAATTTTCATTTCACTTCCATTTAATTGATTAGAAAATATATAAATATTTCCATCATCATCACATGTACATGCATTCTCACCCACAATATCCAATGAATTTAATTCATTGTCATCATCTTGTTCATTCTCTTCAAAACATTTTAAAATAAATAATTCTCGAGAGATATTTCTCAAATCATAAATGTGAACACAATTTCCAATGATGGCATAAATATATTGAGAAGAGGAATTGGAATATAATCTCACATGAGAAATATCAGAAGTGGATGAGACATTCATGTGCGAAATGGGTTGTTCATTGTGTAAATCATAGATTCGAATGGAATGATCATAACTTGAGGTGCAAAGAATATTTCTAACATCCGTAACTTGGGAAAGGTCAAAGGAAAGAACGGCATCGGAATGACCTGTATCAATGAAATGATGGTGATATTTATTGTTGGTGGTGATGTTTGTTGTTTTGTGGGTGTGCTGCATGATGGAACTGTGTGTGTTAATGAGGAAATGAAAAATGGTCTAAATCCAATTATGATGATGATGTATTTTTTTCTTCTCTCTGGGAATTGAGTGGCTAATTTCAATTTCTTCTTGTTGTAAGGTCTCAAATATATCATTAAGGCTCTTAGTGAGAGGGATTAAATCTCATACACAATTTCATTGTTGAGAATTATATTTGAATGGATTCAAACTTCTTAATGGCTTCTTCATCCAATTCAGTGTGAGTCTCAATGGATCGATGTTGAAGAGCTTGAATCTTTGCAAGTTTCTCCCGTTGTTTTGCTTCTTTCTTTTCTCGTTTGGTTAATTTTTTTTTAGATTTTACATCTGAAGAGTGAGTTAGATGATGATTGGATCTTTTTGTGTCTAGTTGTTGTTGTTGTTGTTGAGAAGAGCCACTTCCATTTTGACTTTCAAAGGATTCTGATGTCATGGATAATAACATATCAATCACTGCTTCTGCATTGTAATTATTGGATGTAATTAAATCTCTCACCAATTCAATGTCATGACCACTCTCATATCCAACAGTAGACATGACTAGATCAAAACATGAATCTAACAAGTGATCTCCATCATTGTTGTTGTTATTGGAAAGCAACATGGAAGAAGAGTCTAATGTTGATGAGGACGAACTCTGTAAGAACTGTCGACTACTACTGCTACTCTTACTATTGTTCAAAGAAAAGGAAGAGGAGGAGGTAATAGCTTCTGCCGCATGGGAAGAAGAGGATCCAATAGTAGTATTATGATCATCAAAATCTTCATGACTCTTTGCATTTTCATAATATTTCATTTGGCATAGAAAATCAATCGTAGAATCCATATCTTGATTAAAATCTTCTAATGTATTTCGAATCAATGTGAGATCTGTACATCCAGTGGATTGAATGATAATTTCTTCCTTTTTTGAAATTTGTGAATTTTTAGAGCTACTATTTTTAGCAGTTTGATACAATTGTTTCACACTTTCACTCATGTAATGAACTGAATTGTAATGTTCACCTAAATGATAACTCAATTGAATTAATTTGCTATTTGGATCATTGTAATTCACAATATCAAAAGATGGTTTAGCTAATTGATGAACTCTAATGTTCACATTGAATGCTAAAGAAATTGCTTGAAGTGTCAAATTATCACCCCATTCTGTGTCCTAGAGGAGTGTTGTTGTGTAGTTGTTGTTGTTCAAGTGATCAACGTATGATTGAATTCAAGAGATCCATATATGAATTTTCAAAAAAGAATTTCAATGTTGGTTTGGTGTACACCAAAAGAGAATTTCAATAAAAGTATTTCAATAATTATTATTATTTGCAATCATCATCAACCCCATCACTCACCTTTTTCATATTTTTACAATAATCTTCAAAACTTTCATCACAAACAAAAGGAGCAAACATTTCAGCATGTTGTATCATATATTCCACACATCCCGTTCTAATTTTCTGATATTGATTTTGATCTCCATATAATTGATCACTCACAGATCGAAATTGACAATTTCCATCTCCAGTGACTTTTTTTAAATACAATCCAAAAGGTTCTAATTGTTGGTTCATTTGTTGAAAATCTTCATCTTGTAACTTGTTGGACTGACCTGCCCGTTTCTTTCTTCGGGACTTTTTATCATCTTCCTCATGATGAGAAGATAACGTTTCCAATCTCTTTTTTTCTTGTATGGAATATTCATAATCATCATCACCTCCTCGAGACGATGAAGCCTTTTTACCGTTGTTGTTGATATTCTTTGAATATGACGATTTTTGTTTGTTTTTGCCCATTTTTTTGAGAAATCAAGAACAACGTACGTGATCGAGCCACCCTTTGCAAACTCTCTCCAACGTGTAAGAAGATCTTTGAAGGTGTTTCTTGAAATTGAACAATCATGATGATCCTTTCTGCTGCCAACGTTCAATCCTGCTATTAATTAACAGCTTCTTCACAACTCCAAAGAACACCGATCCGATTCATCAGGTTGTGATGATGAGGTCGATGAAAAGTTGTTGTTGTTGATTCAACAAAAATATTTTGAAACAAAAAAATTCTCTCTTCATCGTTTGGATCATTAGGATGAATTTTTCAAGTCTTTCTTCGTATCATTACAAATTGTGTACCTTCCTTAGACAACAAAGCACGGAACTAGATCTGGGTAGTAACAATGCATCAGAAGGAGGAGGAGGTGATGATGCCTTCTATTCCTTCCTAACAAGAAATATTTTTTCAGATATTCCTGCTACACGTGTTGTTGTCAATTCGGGAACAAACTCTTTGAATTCCGCGTCCTCCTCTTCATCATCGAATGACCCTTCTCAACCCCAACAACAAGAACAACACATTCAAATGGCACTCGAAGAAACACAAAAGAAAACAAAAGCCATCTTTCATTTATTGAAAGAACATGTGCATTTTAATAATAATGTTGATCATAATAAGAATAATAATAGTAATAATAAGAACAATAGCAATATTACTAAAAATGTTCAATACAACGATGATAACATTAGAACTATTTTTCAAGATTTGTCATCCATTCCGACAACCAATGATGGTGATGACAATGAGAATATCATCATTCTCAATCTTAAAATCATGTTACTCATCTACAGATACTGTGTGAATCGAGTGAAATTAGGAAAAGATATTCAATTCTCCTTTTTTGAAGAATTTTTTAATCACATCATGCATTTAGATGAATGGTTTGGTCCAAATTTAACATCCTTGAAAGATCTATTGACATTTCATTTATCTCTTCTTTCCATTGATAGTAATGAATGGATCATTCGATCGAGTCGAGTTCAACAAATGCTTTCCAATTGGAATTTATTATTACATTCCATTCGATGTCCAGCTTTACAACAACCAATTCCAAAACAAATACCATCATCACAACAATCAAATTTATCACCACATTCACAACATCATCGCATTCCATCATGGAAATTATTACTCATGTATTTATATACAAGTTTATTAACAGAAATATTACCATGGGGTGTGAAATATATTCATGAATTTGGACAAAAACCATCTAAAAAGGAACGAATATTAAGATTGATTAAAAAACAAAAGAAAAATGTCATGAATGAATCTACTTACAGTGCTGGAACATTTCAATATGCTCCATTCTTTCAATTCCTTGTATTACAATATTTTGTGGATATGAAAATGGAACATTATACCAAACAAGGAAATTTGTTATTGAATCAGAGTAGTTTGAATGGTACTAATAGTCATAGTGACAATCCTAATAGTAACAATTATCATCTTCTCTCATGGCCAAGAACTATTCTCGAAGATAAACTTTTAAAAGAATCTTTAACTTTTTGGGCTGTATTTGTCTCAACCATGACAAGTACTGCACGTGAAGAACAACAAATGACGATGGATGAAGCTGAAGAGAATTTGAATGATGAAACTGATGATGAAATTGAAATGGATTTGAATGAGGACGATACTACCACAACCACTAGTACTATTCGTTCAGCAACCACTGGCATTACAACAACTACAACCACCTTAGAAACTTCAAAAAAAGATCCTCTTCAAACTCACATGACTGTTCAAGAGATTCGAACAGTTAAGAAATATCTTTCACATATTCTTGCAGAATATTTATTGAAATCACTCGTACAAGTATTGTATGAATTAGCAGAATATGAATGTAAACCAATCTCTCAGACCAATGCAAATACTATTAATACCAATGGTGCTACTAATGCCAATACCACCACACTCTTTTATTTTGAAAGTCCATTACGTTCATTAGAGAGTATTCGTGCACATGCTCAAACAGTCATTAGTTCACTTTGTAATTGTTTTGGATTACAATTATGTAATATTCTATTACCAATGGTGAATGATGATCTTGCACAAATTGAGAATTATTCAAAGAGTGGTGGTAATAAGAGCGTTGTTGATGATGTTAACAATTCTTCCTCACCTTATGGACCTATCTTTCTTGAACTTCCCGTTAATACTGCTACTACTATTAATACCATGAATACTACTACTACTGAACACATTCCCTTAACCAACCATAGCGTTGATGATCCATACCTTCATGGTGGTGACCACAACAACTCTTCATTTCATTTACAACCTCATTCACACCAACAAAAACAACAACACAACAAAAACTTTGGTAAACCCATTTGGATTGTTCGACAAAAAGTTCTCAATACCATTGGAGTTTTATTAAGAGAATTACTTACTACTAATATTCAATATGGATCTGGAGTGAATGGTCAATTAGTGGACGCACAAACGATTATTTTTTATGTATTGGTACACTTTATTCAAGAATATTGTGAATTGGTATTGAATGAAATTACTTCATTACCTCTTCCAACATCATCCTCATCATCACCACCACCCTATGAAACCATTCTCAAACAAACAGCAACATTGGTCACATTTGCATTTAGCAAATTATTTAGTAGTACTCAAGACTCGATGGAAGAAGGTGGTGGTATTGTGAATAACAACAATTCCAGTAATAATTTGGCCATTCTTCAACAATTTTATGAACTTCAATTGCCACCACTCGAACCACCACCACAAGTACCAACACTCTCAAATTCCTCTTCTTCAACAACAACAACAGATCGATATCGACATGAAAGAAAGGCACAAAAAAGTGCCACTTATTTATTACATGAATTTAAACCAAACGTATTGAAATTATTACAAACATTAATTATGGATGATGATTATTCTCTAAGAGATTCAGCATGTATTTCATTGTGCTCTTACATTGCAGATATGAGTTTAATGGACATGATGATGGGAAGTGGTCACGAACCACAACAACAAGACACACACCACCACACGGATTTCATTCTCAATATTATTCATGCATGTGAGAAACATGTTCAAAATTTTGTTCGATATTCCATGTTGATTAGTGCCATTACAGACAAGTTACAAAATGCCATTTCTTCAACGATGATGAATCCTCAATTCTCTCAACTCATACTATCCTCATCATCAACAACAACACCATCGTTACCCTATGAAACAAATGCAACTCTTTCAACTCCTACTACTAGTACAAATCACTCAATTGCCACTCATTCCACTACTAATTTCGCCTCTCTTCTCTCATCAAAATATTCTCCTCATTTCAATCGATTATTTAAACATTTATTTGAAATGATTTGTGTGAATCGTGTGTCTTTCAATAACGATTCGTTAGACCAAACACTCAATGTACAACTATCTGAAGAAGAACAACAACAACATGAACTCACCTTAGAAAAAAAGAGACATTCTCAATTTGTTGTGTGTTTATTTGATGCATTTTATGATTCTCTTGATTTTATGAAATGTGATACAGATATTGAATTAATTGAAACATTTTTAGTGTATGCAAAAGAGAATATTTTAACATTGATCAAGAGTAATAGTGGTGCTAATAGTGGTAATAGTGGTGATGTATTTTCACAACAGCAACAACAACAACACTATTCACTCGAATCACAATCATCCTCTCAACCCAGTGATGAAATTTCGGCCTTTTCAACTTGCATCAATGCTATTATTAGAAATACGGATCGACAAGTATTATTGAAACTCTTCGAAAAACATAACATGTTCATCTTTTTAACACGTTTGTTAAGAATGTGTTCCAATCATTCTAATTTAAGAGTTAGAGATTGTGCTGTTCATACCATTGGAAATATGAGTAATGCAGATTTATTTGACAAGTGTCCATTTGATGTCATTGAAGAGAGACATGAGATCATTCCACAAGATGCTGATCATGATTTATTATTTGATTTTGTGTTACCTCTATTAGAAAGAGAATCTATTGTGAGTCAAAGTTTCTATCAAGAAGCAACTCTTGAAGATGATGCCACTCTCAAAAAGAAAATTATTGTCTATCACAATGCAGTATGGTCATTGGGAAGAGTGATTTTAAATATACAAAGAAAGGGATTTAGTGGGAATGAGAATAGTAGGAAGACTAGTGGTAATACCAACAATAGTAATGTTTCTCAAGACAAATTTATGCAATTTTTAGAAAGAATTTCACCCAAACTCATGAATATCATTCGATTATTTGCAAATAGAGATTTCTTTACGACTGAAGATGTCATTGATGATATTACAGGTTATCTCTCTAATGTGTGTATTACCATTTCATACATTTCATTTTCTAGAATTGACTTAATTGCACCTTATTTCCCTCAATTCGGAGATTCATTTATAGAACATGTTCATGCAGATTCTAATGAAGATTTAGATGAAGAGAAAATGGCCATGTGTGTTGCTATATTTAGAATGACTGAGGAATGGTTGAATCATGCCACGAGTATTGGAAGTGATGATGATGATGGTGCTTCAACATGGAACAATGGAATGATGACCACTACTACTACTAGTTCTGCTACCACTAGTAGTGATCTCGACAATTTCAATAATAATAGTAGGATCAATCCTCATGCAACCTCAAGCTGGGATGAAATGAATGAATTTGACATTGAAACATTCATCTTGTTAGAAAATTTATTGACCAGTCCAATGTTTGAGAGAATTTGTTCAAACTCTTATGTGTATGCATTGGCTTTAAGAGTGATGGAGAAGGCTCGTATTTACATGACCATGACTTCACGTTTATAAGTGAATTTTAATTTTTAATGAAACACCAATGATGACAATGGGTTATATTTGAAAATTGTATTGGCGTATAGCTAAAGAATTTCGTTCATTATTTCTCTTTGATTTTCTTGGTTGTATTTCTGTTTCGCTTAACCACGTCATGTCTGTCCATGAATAGTGCACGAGGTTTTCCCTTGTTGGAAAATCGAATTCTAATCAAAATTGAAACGTGTACGTGACCTTTGGTCCAAAAAGAACGTCAAATAAGGATGTGACATATCTAGAACGCAGGTATCCATCTGGTATGATATCTACGCAAGCTCTATCTATGGATTGGTCTTCCAAACCACACCAGAAGCCAATAACTAACCCACTGCGGTGTGTTAAAGATTTCGGGATTGTGGTTTGGTCCAGCGATTTAATGGTCTGTCTCATTCAGCGCTCTTGCTTATTTTTCGATCGCTTAAAGTGGAGAGGCTTGTGGTTCAGAGAAATGGCATTAAAAAAAATTTAAGAATTCCATCAATTCACAATTTCCAAGTGTTGTCAATACAATTTTTACTGTCGATAATAATTCAATAATAATTTATTAAAGATCAGCCTTCTTTTTCTTCTTTTTCTTATCGGTCGTAGCTGTGGCAGTAGTAGTATTAGTAGCACTTGTTGTGGCAGTAGTAGTATTAGTAGCAGTGCCAGTACTGCTGGTTGTGGTCGATGAAGAAGGCTGTTTCAATGATGCACTCAAATGATCTCTCAAAATATTGAATAAATGACTTTGAAATGTTGCCAAATCCTTATATAATACAATGGTTGAATATTTCTTGTCTTTACCATTGGTTACACGAATCAAACATCCTTCATGTTGAGGCTGTTTCTTTTTAATACCACCACTCGATGATGATTTCTTTGTACTATTGAAATGTTGTTGTTTTTCGGATTTTGGTTTTTGTTCTTTCGGAGTATCTATTTGATGGTGATGATAGGAGGATGAGAGTGATTATCAAAAGATTATGTCGGATCGGATCAGATAAATTAATATTATTTCATTTGATGAATAATCATGAATCGAATATGTATGAATAATTAATGAAGATAAGAACCGTGAACGTATTGAGGATGTGTAAAATTTCAATCCATAATAATATTATTGATAATATTCATGATGTTGATGAATCAATTAATATTCATCTACATACATTTTTTAAAAGTCATCCATATCGAATGTTTATCCTTTGTTTCAGAATATAATTGCGATACTTTTGTGATGAATTCGTGTTTGTTATTGATATAGACCATGATGGTGATGAGTCCGATATAATTTCAACGATGATGATGATGATGAATCAACAACAACAACAACAACTCGCGTAAGCTTATTTTTTCTCTTTCATCAATAAACGACAAAGAAGAACGACGTGGTGTGTGAGTGTTGGTTACAAAAAAAATGAATTGGTATTTTACGGAACACGAACTTTCTTTCCTTCCATCATTACTTTGTGAGAATAATCCTCTCAATAAAGAACAAGAAGCGGAATATAGAAGATCAACAGCATCATTTATACAACAAGCAGGAATACATTTGAAAGTGTATGTTGATTTTTTGATTTTTTGGATGATGTATTCATTTCGGAATGATGATAGTCCTCAACTGACTATTGCAACCAGTCTTGTATTCTTTCATAGATTTTATGCAAAATATGAATTTCAAAAACATGATCGATTTGTAAGTACTCTAGAGAATCAAATATAGGTGATGATGACAATTGCACTTTTTTCCAACATGATTGCGCGTATAATGATCGGTCATCACTCTTTAATGCTTGAACGATTTTTCCGATGACGAACGTTTATGGTGGTGCGATATTCCTCAATAATAATATTATTAATAACAACGACAACACGTTCCTATCGTTATCAATATTCAATATTGAATGAATTGAAACAACAACAACTTGTTAAAAAACAAACACAGACCGTTGCTGCTGCATGTCTATTTTTAGCAGGCAAAGTCGAAGAAACACCAAAAAAGATCAAAAATATTATTGAGTCGACAGAACATGTCCGCAAAATTAAATATTCTCCAAATGAAATTGATAATTTAACCAAAGATATCATTGAAAAAGAGAAATTTCTCCTTAGGTTATTGAATTTTGATTTTAAAATTGAACATCCCTACAAATCAGTCATGCATTATATTTATAATTTAAAAAAAGATGAAAAATACAAAGACAAGGCTAAAGAATTGGCTCAATATGCTTGGAATTTTGTCAATGATAGTTTTCAAACACATTTATGTTTACAATATCCTCCTAGAAAAATTGCTGCAGCATGTATTTATCTCTCAACTACTCAATATATTAACATGCAATTACCCAATGGATGGGAAAAAGATGAAGTATTTCGAACAACCAATGAAGAGAATGAAAAGATTTCACGAATGATTTCCTCTCTCTATGGTAATACGAATCTTCAACAACAACCAAAGAGCAAATTGCCATTTGCCATGATTCATGAGGATGGTGGAAGTGCGAATGCGAGTAATGCTAGTGTGACTCCTCCTCCGACAACAACAACGAGTGGAAGTGCTGCTGCTGCTACTTCTGGTAATAGTAGTGAGATAGCTACCACTGCATCATCCAGTGGTGGTGGTGGTACTACTACTACGAGCAGCAATGACAATACCATGTTCAATAATAATAGCTCAGAGAATGCCAATGCTAATAATGCAAGTGGTGATCATAAATGATCACATATGACAAATTCACCCATGATGATTCACACACCCATATATGGGATGACCAACCACGACGTGTTCACACCCCAAAAGACCCAACTTGTCGAACAACCATCTGACACACACACTCCAACTCGTCAACAACCATCACTACCCATTTTCCCACCTTAATAAACCGTTAAAGACCGCCGGCGGGAATCATTAAGGCTGATGTGTGCAGTACACAAAAAAAATGTCATCGTCCATCCTGGTCGTGTCGAATTCGAGTGGTGGTGGTGGTGGTGGTCGAGGAGGAGGAGGAGGTGGTGGTGGTTCCCATCATTCAAGTCATCAAGCATCGAAGATGATGCATCCACGTCCACATCATCATCATCCTAATAACTCGAGAGGAAGTGTCATTCACTCTTCTCATGACCACCACCAACATCACTCTTCTGAAAGGGCGTCCACTCATCATCAAGCATCGTCTTCCTCTCGCTCTTTCCACCCTCAGGATGTCTATCGAAATGCCTCCAATCCTTTTAATGGCAACAACCACAACAACAACAGCAGCAGTAGTGGTGGTGGTGGTGGCACGGATTCGAACACTTTTCGAGCTGTTACCTTTTCCTCCAGTAGCAACAACAACAATTCAAATCCTCTCACTCTCTATTATTCGACTGGTCAAAAGAATCCATCGAGTCAAAATATTCATTTTTCAAGAATTAAGAATGGTCTCGAACATACTCCAAAAGATTCGAGAGAAAAAGAGTCCTTTCGATATTATTGTCCAATTTGTATGATGTATTTCAAGTGTAAGTGATTGCCTGAATTCATGTGAATTCTTAATCATGTCAATAGTCATTTTCAAAGTGGACTGTTGTTCTCAATACATTTGTAAATATTGTATGGAAGAATTGTTAGAAAATATTCATTCCAAATCATCTAGAGATTGTCCATATTGTTTACAATCGAATGTGAAATTTAAACAAGTAGAGAGTGATGAAAAAGTAAGAGATTACAATGATGAACCAATTCAACACTCCACACCATGCAGAATTCTAAAATTCACAGGAATGGAGAATAAGGTGTCACCCTTTCCATTGAAGTCATATTTAAGAAAAACGAAAAGTGAATCCCAATTAATAATCTTTGATAATTTATTTACATTGTCCAATGACGATGTTGAGACCAACAGTCATGCAGAAGAATCTTGTAATATCGAAAGAAAATTATCATTTCCAAGTCAATATTGTAGTAGCAATGGTGATGATGAAATTCAAGAAGAACACAATCCTTCAAAACAACAGGAGAACCCATTGGTCTCGACTCGAGAAACTCGTTCCACACATTTCATTAAGGTCAAAAAGAGGCAAACGAAATCTGCTCCTTCCACTCTCTATTCAAAGTCACATCAAAGAAAACAGCAACCAGTCAGTGCTATGGATCATTCTATCAAGAAAGATGAATCTGTTGGTTCTGATCAAGCCAAGAACGCTGAACTCCCAGAACAATGAGGAAGCACAAGAGAGCAAGTTGTTACATGCCAATGGACCTATTTCACAAATACCACCACCTTCATTGCAAGCAAATGAAGACTCGAATGATTCCACTCTGAAAAAGACTCCAAGAAATGAACGTCACCACCACTGGTACCAACAATTGCTCTTGACACGTGGAAAGATATCAAAAAAGGATGGGCAGAACAAGGATCAACAATCTCACTGTTGTGTGATATTATAAAAATGTTTCATGTTTTTACTCTGACACTCGAATTAAACTTGATCATTGTCTTGTACAGAGAGAGATCTCTTGTAGGTTGTCGTTGTTGTAGGAGTATGCAAGTTCGAACTTGTTCCCTCATTATTATTGGACAAGACAAGTGTATTATTTTCATCGTCATAATGACGAGTGGTTGAAGTGATGGTGGTCGTCTTGTTCGTATTTTTCATACCATATTCTTCATCGTACAAGTTTCCTCCATCAATTGATCTCGTTGAATGTAAATTCACATTATATCGATTCAATGGTAAATCGCAATTCCATGAAAAGAGAGATGGATAATTCAAGAAATAACAACATGGTGCAATGAATAATCCCAAGACACATCCACCCAAGATATCACTAAAATTGTGATGATAATCCAATGTTCTTGAAATGGCAATAAAGGAAGCAAGTGCTAATGGAGATAGACAGAGTAGTAATTTCCATAAAGATGCATTTGCACCATAATGAGAGATACTTTTCATTGTTGTGGATGGAGATGGTGAACTATATAATTTAAATTTGCTCATCATGTACAAGACACAAAACATCATGCATGCAAAGCTGAGTGAAGAATGTCCACTTGGAAATGATAATTGACCATCTCGAACCAACGAACGATTATCTGTCATTGCATTAAAACAAAAATAATAATCCATTCAAATGATATTCAAATAATATTCAATGAAATAAAAATAATATTCAATATGAAAAAAATAATATTAAAATAATAATATTATTATTTTAATATAAATTCAAACACACACAACACTCACCATTGGTGCATGTTCCATCCATTGGTGATGGCACACATCGACTCAAAAAATCAGGTCTCAATCTTCCAGCTCCAACTTTCATCACATCAGTCACACAAATGGTTAATGAAAATGTTTCAAACCATGTTAATATTCCATGATGAATATCATGAATACTTTTATATTTAATTTGAAATATTAATATCATGAATATTGGTATGAGTGTATTGAAAGAGATGAGCATGGAATCTGGAACAATACTTTCTACACTTGGAAATGAAATAGTGGAATCAGGAATATCTTTATAGACTTTGTATCGTTGTGGTGGTTCAATCTGATTAAATAATTTCAAAAATAAAAAATCATAAGATTTTTCATAAATTGAAAATTATAATAATATATATATAATAATAAACAAATTAATTGAAAATGATAAATATTATTATTAATGATATTCATCTTGATGATACTCACCCCTCCAAAATATGCACCAAACACCAATTCAATCACAACCACTCCCACCAATGATAATATCCAATCAAATAAATAATACATGGAAAACCATTTTGATTGTTTTAAAGATGATGATGATGAAGAAAATAATTCTTTAAAAAAGTCCATCAATAGAGTCCAAGAAGAAGAAAATGTTGAGCGATAGTTATGGTTGTTGAGCTCATCAACAATAATGGGATCTATAAAAAAAATATTCGGAATTTTTAAAAATCAGACGATTAGAACATTTACAAACAGAAGAGGAAGGGATGATCAATCATGTGAATTCTGAATGGATCATCTTTCAATCACCTACCACTCATTCTTTCGTTTTGGATGTGTGAGGAGGAAGAGAAGGATGGTGGAGATGGCATTTTTTTGAGTTCGTCGACGATGCTAGGAAACTCATTCATGGTTCCATGATGGATCGTTCAAATACGATGAATCATGAATTTTAGGAAAAAAAAATGAAAAGAGCCTTCTTCTTGCGTCTGAATAAGATTCCTTCTTCTCTGCTCTTTCATCATCACTCGGACCATCACTCGACCCGATCATTGAATCGAGGGTACAGCTATTATTGTTATGATTGTTACTATGATTACAACTCTCAGTGTTATGATTATTGTACGACCACCCTGACGAATGCAATTGGTATAGCTGCTGATACGAATTCTTCTCCGAGTAGTAGTAGCAGTACTAGCACAAGGAGGAATCATGAGTTGAATAACAAAACTCTCAAATCATCATACAAGACAAGTCGTAACAAGTCTGATATCCAAAACAGGACCGAATATACTCCTCCTACTGCTAGATCTAGTACTACAACTAGTAATAGCCATTCAAGTAATCACCACCGGCACTCTAATATCAACCACACGTCCAACAACAAACAACATCCAAATTCTTCTTCTCGTTCTAAAACCATGAACATTTCATCCGAAGAAAATATTGGAGACTATTTATATAAAAATATTAAATTTAATTTTTCAATCGAGCCTTCAACATCATTCATTTCAGATACCATACGTAATGAAATTCTCATTCATGCTCGAAAAGGAGATGTTCGGAAAGTATTGGAATTACTCTCTTCAATTAAAGCCTCAGAGACATTCTCTGCTAAACAAAAGGAAGAAATTGATGCTGAAAAGGATTTAATTATTCATACCTTAATGTTAGCCTATGCTAAAAAAGGAGATTTATCAAAGACTGAATTTTTATTTAGGAAATTAAAAAATCCAGACAAGAAGTGTTTCACCATTTTGCTTGGAGCCTATGCCGATAAGGGCATGGTTGAGAAAGCAGAACAATTATTTAGCAAAATTGCAAAACCCGATGAAGCATGTTATGTAGAATTGATGAGAGTCTATTCTAAGAAGGGATTATACAACAAAATTCAAGAACATTATTCGACCATCTATCAAAAGTTATTGACGATGGAATCCACACAACAAGAACGAAATGAACATGGTATGGCATGTGACAAGATTCAATCAGAAGATTCTTTCTCATCATCAACCTCTTCTTCACTATTAATGGATTTATGTGAAATGGTCAAAACAGAATACATTTCAGAGAATCGTGTGCAATCGGATGAATATGAATATTTACAAAAAGTATTCATGGTCATTGTTGCCTTTCGAATGCATGGAATTTTAAAGAATAAGGACTATGGATTATTAGATGCTACATTTAAAAGAGTTTCAAAATATATCATACCATCATTGAATGATTTCTCTATTCCTAATTGTTCAACTACCACAACAACTAGTATAGGAAATGGTACTATTATCAATACTAATATTAGTAATACTACTTCTACTAATAATACTTTTAATACTACTACAAATAGTATCAATTCTAATTTTAATACAACAAGTAGTATCAATTCCATGTCAACGAATCTCATCTCTACGACACCCAAAAGTCATTTAAATATTTTAAATATTTATTTGCAATCTCTCATTCAAAGAAAAGCACCATTGGATCGAATTGAATCATTTGTTAAAAATTACATTTCACAACCAGATACAGTCACCTATCATTTACTACTTGTTTATTATTTTCAATCAAATATGCATGATAAGGTTGATAAATTATTTAAACAAATATCAAGATTAGAAGATATGAATACAAAAATGAGAAATTATTTCGCAAGTACAATCATGACCATGTTTTATCGACATGGAATGTATCACAAAGTTGAGAAAATATTTAGTCAAATTCAATCACCAGATTATTCATGTTATAAAATATTAATGAATACCTATGTCCAACAACAGGATACATACAAGATGATGCAATTGTTTAAAGAAATACCAAATGACATGATTGATGATCAATTGGTGGAAGATATGATGGCCATGAGGCGCGTGATTGCAAAAAGTCACAACAAGAATAATATCCATCCTACGATTATTGATATTCATCCTTAGAGTCATAAAAAAATAATAATACTCCAATAACAATATTATATATAACGAATGATCATGACCATGTCAGAGCTCTGATATTTTTTATTGTAGTGTCCATACAATCCTTTTCATAAACAGTTTCTGCTTGATGCAATTTCATGGTTTCACCATACTGGTTTTGGAAATTGACAATCTTGCCATAGCGAAAAGGTTTTTTCATAATGATGTACTTGACTCTTCTCTTCAGCACCAACATGAAATTTTTCACATTTAAATCCTTATTGAAGAGAGGAAAATAATACATTAATAATGGTTTCCAAACATGAAGTTGAACGCTTCGAAAAGCGTCGTCTTCTTGAATCTTTTCCTTGTTCATGAATATACTTCTCAAAGAAAAAAGGATCGTCTTCTCGTTTCGAAGATTGCGACACATGATGAAATTGGAGAGATGAGAGTGACATTGCGAGAGACAGTTCAGCGTTTGCAAATCCATATAGGTCGCAATTTTCAACCAAACTTCAAGAGGAAATACAACTGACAGACGTTGTTGATTTTGACAGATCAGGTCATCAGACTCGTCCTTCCGATCTTTTGATCGGTCACTAGAGGTGGAAACCATCATTTTTTTATCGTTATGATGAATTTGTTTTTCACAATAAAGAACATGTTTATCTAAAGGAATTACTTGAAAAGCAATTCTTCAAGTTTCTTTTTCATCTCTTGCAAACGAGTTTCTAAATAATCGTTCAAAGCAAGTGCCTTTCCTTCAACAAAAAGTCTTCGTTGTCTCAAACCTTCCTCCAAAATAAATATTTGATTTTGAAGAGCAACTTTAAATCGTTTCAACAAGTGATCATGTTCAGGATGAGTATTCACATATTGTTCCGTAAAGAATGCAGAAATATACTTGTCTTGACCACCATTCACAGCAGCATCGATAGTACCATTCAGAGACATGGAAAGAGCATTTGTATCTGGTTGTTGATCAAGATGGTGATTAATGACAAGTTCTTCCAATTCATTGACCTTATCTTCAATATCTTTGATAGCATTTTCAAGAGGACACAAATGCAATAATTTGTCATTGGCAATATAGGATATTTTGTTGAGATCAATGCATGAAGAATAATCCTTATATTTCAACTTTTCACCCTTCAATAATTTTTCTTCATAAATCTTTAAGGCATCTCCAACAAGAACTCTCTGACGTCTACAAATGGTTGGGAACTTTTTAGGTGTAATATAAAAAGTAATTTCTCTGTGCATGTCCTTATATTCATTGTTTGTCTTTTCTTTGGATTCTCTATATCTTGATTCAGATTTGAAATAATTGACATTGTGAAGTTTTCGATAACATAAAATCTTGGGTGAAATTCTCTTATCTCGATGCATGAAAATATTTTCCCATTCAGTTTCAGAGCTTTGATCGACGTGGAAAGCAACAAAATATCTTCCTTCTTGATTTCTATATTGTTCAGGATCAGCTGGTACCTTTTGGAAGAGTTGAGCTTGATACTTGTCTTTGAGGCCATTCAAAAAGTCCATAAAGTTTTCACCCTCCACACTCTTGTAAATGTATGGACCTTGTAAACCCATTTTAAGGAATCCTTTACCCATAAAATTCACATAATAATAAGAGGCAAAGAAACGTCTCTTGGTCATGATGAGATTATAAAATTCACCTTCACGTTTCAATAAATTCTGAGTCTTGGCATACTTGTAATTATGCAAGTAATAATTTCGAAGTTGTCGTGAAAGTTCGATAGCTCTCTCCCAATCTTTACCCTTATCCAATAAATCAATCATCTTTTCATAGAGTTTAATTTTACGTTCAGCCTCAGATTGTTCTGGATATTCATCGGAATGATAGGGCAATTTACGTTCATCATTCCATTGAAGTCGTTTGGCATGTTTATACAGGACAAGTGCTGCTTCAATAAAGTTACCATTTCTTTCATGAACAGCGCTCAATTTGTCCACATATTGATAATAGAGATCATAATTGTGATTGACTTTGAATGATCTCATGACATCAATACAAGCTTCACAGAATTTATGTTCATCCTTATCTTCATAGGTTTGAATTTGTTCGACTTGAGAAATCAAAGTCTCTAAACGATTCAATAATAACATTCCTTCCTTTCCAAGTTCTTCTTTTTGAGCATTGGAAGAGGAAAGATTTTCTTGGAACATGGTCTTTAACTTGTCTGTGAAATTTTCTTTGAAAAGACTTCCAATCTTGGAACGAACAACTCGACTCTGAGTCACAGCTTCGCATTGTGCCAATCGTTTGTGATTCTCAAATTCAGTTTCGAGAAGAGCATAGTAGAGTTTGATGGCTGGATCATGCAACAATCGATTATCAATATTGAAGAGACTCATAATTTGGTGAACAAGTTTGGGTACAAAGATTAATTTGATATCCTTCTTCATGTTCTCGTGTTTGTAGACCTTTTCATACAAGTGATGAAGGAGAAGGAAACGATAATCTTCATGACGAGATTGTATTTTGATTCTCTCATAGGTTCTCATCTTTTCAACTTCCATCCAATTAATGAAGCTGAAACAATGTTTGAAAAGAAGGTCCCACAATTCCTTAAACTCGGATGGAACACTCTCGGCAGTTTCTCCATCGTCATTAATATTATTCACAATATTCGTCAAACTATTCTTGTAGCTCGTGAAATGATACAACAAAACATTACAAGTGGAAACAAGAGATCTAAAGAGAGTATTGTACATGAAGAGACGGAAACCAATCCACTCACGAGGAATGTTGTTGTTCTTACCAGTAATCAATTCATGAAGATATAAAATATTCTTCACCGTTTGTTGAGATAAACCAGTAGCAACATGTTCATCTTGGATTAAATGTGAAAGTAACAAGACAGAGCTTCCACTGTACATTTTCACAAAACTGATAATGGAACACATTAAATCTCTTCTATTGTTTTCAATGGTATCGAGAGATTTTTGTTTGTCATCAATTTCTTTCTGTAGAGCTCCCTGGTTCACATTGGTTCGTGTAACACCACCTCCTCCTCTTCGAGCTGCTTGTTTGGATTGATCCGATTCATTTTGAGATTCTAATAAGAGTCTAGTCTTGTCATCAATTTCCTTCTTCAATACTTGTGATTCAGAGGTGAGCAATTCGTATCTATCTTTGATCGTTTGGAAGAGTTGATAAATTTCATAAATGGTCTTTACGAGTCCATCTGTAAAGTTTTCTCCTTCTTGTGGAACATTAGCCTTCATCCATGATGCGGAAATGGTCTTTCTCTTCTTTTGGAAGGAATAATTTGGAGAGTTATAATTTTCAGTCATACTCTTGATGAATGAGGTTGGTGTTGAAGCACTCAAATTGTGTTCTTGATTGAATATCAATAATTGTTTTCGATTGGCTTCAAGCATTAACTTTTGAGTGGCGTGTAACAGTTCATTGAGAAGTAAAATTCCAGATTCAAGATCGCCTCCATTTGTTTCGAGAATACCATCACGAATGACATCAATCACATAGGGAAGTACCACTTTACGGCAACCATCACGATTGAACACTGTGGACTTTAACACACAACTCAGAGCCAACATTCGATTCGAATAGGTCTTTTGTTCTTTTGATTTCTTTGTATCTGTTTTACCTGTAGAGTCAACTGCTGCTGAACAATTATTCATGGCGAGAATGAAATCAACCACTGCACGACCCATCTTTTTATCATCCTTAAATACTCGATTCACTTCATCAAAGAATGAGGAACTGAAAAATTTCAAAAAGTTGGCCTTCACACCAAGCATTGCATTTTGTGGGTGCTGTAATAAAACTGTAATCAATTTCATGAGAATGGAAACTTGTCTTTCAAAATCTTTTTCATCCTTTTCAGTTTGTCCATATCTTTCAATATAATTCTCTCGAGATTTAACAATAAACTTGGCCCAATAGTCAATACACTTAATAGATTGAGAGAGAACAGGAACAATTTTAGCAAGAGAAGCCGCAGGAACTTGAGTCTCTTCAAGAATTCTCGAAGAAATGGCGTTTGTAGTAGAGTTGGGTGTACTTGTTGGAGTGGAAGAACCATTTTCAGAATTCATGGTACCATTTTCTTGTTCCAATTCGAATGGCATCAACTTATCATAGGGATCTTCTCTGAGAATTTCATCTTCCTTTCTCGATTGAATTTTACAGAGATCTGAAATGAGGAATTTCAAGAGCCATTTGTAAGCATTGACAGATTGGAAGTAGTTGGTAATGTACTCATCAATCACACGCAAGAAAGGCCAAAATTGTTTTTGAGACAAAATGTTGTTAATGGCCTTGTAAGTCACTTCGAAAATCTTCTCAGGAACATTAGCCTTGTCTTCACTCGCGCTCAAAATATCAAAAAGCGCACCAAAGATTTCTCTAATGAAAATGGCAATACCCATCACATCTCCCATGTTGAAGGTGAATTGATTGACAACATCAGAAACACTTGTTTGGGTCTTCCAGTCTAACAAATTCTTCATGTCGGGATTTTGAGTAATTCTTGTACTCACAACATTGAACGAAACAACAAGTTTTTGTCCCTTCGTTCTATGAGTTTCTCGTTCTTCAGGATTCTTATGAAAATCAAAAATACCTGAAAAATCTCCTCCTTTGAATTTCTTGGTGACCTTATAAATATTCACTTCGACTACAGGCTGTTTGTTGTTGTCATTAAAGTTTGCTCCACTATTCGCGTCTTGTTCACTCTTACATGTGACATCCAACAATCCTGTTGAATTGGTCATCTTCCAATAAGCAAATCCAATCAATTCTTTAGTCGAGTGTCTCGATCTGCAATTATAAATCTTGAACACAACAATGGATCGATCAATGAGATCAGGTTCAACACTCATTCTAAATGAGTCTTTCCATTTAGGATTCTTGATGTGATACAATACAATTGAGCTGAATACCTTTCTCTTGTGATTTGGAACTGAAGAGGGTAAATTACCACTATTGTAGTCCTGAGCAAGGTTATTGTTGAGTGGAATCATGGGTTTCACTTCAGCAGGAATTGAAGGTGGATTTTTAGCGGTTGAAATGGTTGCCTGATACAACTCAACCTCTACCAAGACATTCTTGTATTCTTTGGCATTGGCCACCAATCCTTCAAGAGTAATGTAAATATCATTACGACGATCACCAGGAGAGACTGCACTAGGGAATTTGAGCATTTGAACGACTGGTTTGGATCGAAGGTTATCCTTTGAGAAGACCACTTCTTCGTATTCACCAATGAGCATATTGAGAGAGAGTCCGAATCGAATGAGTGAATCTGAAACTTTGGAAATATCTCTTGGAAGTTCATTGGGAATTTGACCTGCATGCTCGTTGGCAAGTTTGATGAGCGTCTGATGGAGCGCATAAAAGTTTTCTTCCTTTGCTGTTTGATACACAGAAAGATTCTCAAAGAGAGCAGTCTCACCACTCACAATGTTGTTAATCACTGTTGGATTCACATCCGCAATACCGACCCAAATGGGTCTCTTGACATCGACAGTATCGGTGTTTGGTGTGTCCTTATCTTTCTTTTTAGCTTTTTCTTCTAAAAGTACAGGTCCAACTCTATAAAACTTAGCGACAATGTACAAATCCTCCTTAATGTCATTGCTGGTAATATCTTTGATGATACATCTTCTCTCAGAGAAACCTTCTTTGGTCTCTGCAGGAATTTTACCAAGTTTTCTCTCTGATGGAGTCAATAAAGGAACCATGAATGGTTCACTCACAAATTGCTCTGATTTCTTACTATACAATGAAAGATCCATTTCAATTGCATACTCCGTGTCAATTTGACAAAAATCAAGAGCGAGTAATAATTGAGTGTTACCTTCTGGTAAGTGATAGAATTGTTTGGTATCATCACTTCCAAGAGCATGCGCTGGTTCAGTATCAAAATCAGGTAAATGGAAAGGTAAACCCAATCTTCCAAGAGCACCACCTCTACCACCTGCTTCTCTCTTGTTATGATTTTTTAATCTCTTTTGTCTTCGCTCTTTCATTGCATCAATTTCACGTTCCAATGTTTGGACATAGGATCTATAGAGTTTAACAATGGTAGTTACTGTTGATGAAGAAGAGAGAGCGGTCGAGGAAATTTCGTTTTGAATCATATAGTTCACAATATCGGCGACTGTTTGCGATGGAGGTGGAAGAGCAAATGCATTTTCTCCATTTTCTCCCAATGACAATGCATTCTTGTCGACATTGGCATCGGTTTGCAAGATTTCATCCAAAACTTTACCCTTCTTTCTCACAATGATATCATACAAGAGAGCATTACAACCCTCTTCAACAAGCTTAATTACATTGTTTTGAAGCTTGAGCAATTTGTTTTCAGTTTTGATCAACCCATCATTTGGAGATACTAGGGCTTCTTTCAATCTCTTTCTGAGATCAAAAGCCTTTTTATATTCTTGCAAATCAAAGAATAATTTTGAGAGAATATCATAAATTCTTTCAAATTGATCACGATCTACAATATCCATTCTCTCTTTAGATCCATCAAAGAAAGAGAGCCATTCTTCAGTTACCAAAAAGATATTAAAACAATGTTCAATTTCAAAGTCCTTTTCATCGAAGAAGCCATACTTGCTCTCTGCAAATTCATTACCGTCCACCTCTTCAGAAAAGTTCATCTTGGGGTTGGATCTCAAAACACCTCCGAGAGCAGACAATGGAGCAATCGAGTCTGTACCCGATTTATTCTCTCTTCCGATCATCATGGAGGAGACTTTATCCGATGAAGTGGTCGCATTTTTCTCACCCAATTTTAAGGCTTTCTTTTCTTCGATGCGTTTGATGGCACTCAATGGGAAGAAGCCTTTGGGAATGGGAAAGATGGAGATTCCACTCACATTGAAATCGAGAGCAGTCTTAATGTCGGTCAATAAATTGGCTCCACCTGTTTGCATGTCGTCCATTGAGAGTCCTCCACTTGGAACACCTGTCGTGAGTGAATTCAAAGAATCCATTCCCGAATTGGGGTTGTTGTTATTGTTCAAAGATGCAGCAGCAGCAGAACCGAGTTGGAGAGCGTTCATTCCTCCTCCAGATCCTCCTCCTCCTCCTGCATTGTTGGGGTTCGAGAGATTAGAACTCGAGAGATTAGATGTGGAGGCCGACGAGGATGCACTCGTGGCGGTCAAACCTGCTGCTGAAGATGTGTTGGACGATGCATTGGTGTTGTTGCTGTTGTTGGATTGTGCCGTAGAGGTTGAAGAGATGGCAGAAGAGGTATTGTTGGAAGAGGACATTTGTTGTGCTTGTGAAGAATTTTGCATATTCAGTGATGCCAATAATTTGGCAATGTAACGATTTCGAAAGACACTTCCTTTGGCCCATCCATCTTTTTCTGATCGAATGTACACCAAATCGCCAACATTGAGATCGAGATGAAGAGGATGTTGTCTGATGAATGGTTCAACGACTGAATTCAGTTTTGGATAGAGGTTTGGATGATGGTGGCGGTTCATGTGGTATTTGTTGGTGATAGTTGTTGTGAATATGGTTGTGTGTTTCATGTGGAGGAGTTGGTCATGGTGAGGTCGTCGTTTTCGTTGTAATGGTGTTCATATGGAATTTGTCGACATGGACATGGTTGATTGAGAATGTAGTGTGTATGGAGGTTGTAGTATGAAGATCATCATGATACACAAGTCAGACACCAACCATGGTTGTGAGACATTCATTGTTCGTACAAAATATGTGTGTGTGTTTTTGATAACACCATGTTAAACACAGGTGAATGACCCATTTGTGCCATGATCCAAAAGTTCAAGAGGATTGTTGTTGATCATCGTTATTACAAGATGGATTCGAATCAATCCACACATTGTATCCATCCATCATGAATGGAAAGCCGAATCATGATGATGAGAGAAAATGAATGTCAAGTGATGATTCATCAAGAGCAACAACAACAACAAGTTGACAACAAATCATCAAATTATCATCACACAATATATATTATTATAAAGAACGAACCAATCATTCGCAACACCACGCATTCACACTCAAAATTATCACACTTACCAATTCCATACTTGTTCACAGGAATCCACTTGGACATATTTCAAAAGATCTGTTGTTGTTGTTGTTGTTGTAATTATCTTTTTCTTAGAATCACACACACTAATAGTACTCTCTACTATTAAAAACAATAATGTAGGTGATGATGATGACAGGAATCTCCTATTGAGAAGAGTCTTGTTGATGTCACAAAAGCAAACGGAAGATGACTGTCTCTCTCTCTCGACCAGGTAATGGCAATTTTTTAACGTTTGATGTATTTTCAAATGTCATCATCTGCTCAAAAAGTGGTAACAGATCGACTTGCTTCAAAATGATGAAGTGTTGATCAAAAGATGGCCAATGTCCATCATGAGATTTCAATGTTCCATTGGCCATAGATCCTAATTATTTCTAACGGCCATATCTCTTCCCAATCATTCGAAAATCAAAACATGTTGATATTAGGAGTGAGCATTAATGAAAGAGCAGTTCAACTGGATGGGATTTAAAAATTAATTTTCAATTAATTCAAAAAAATTGTGTTCCTTCTTTTCTTGAACACGCTCTGTGCGCCATTCCCCTCATTCCTTCTTGACTGGTGGTAAAACTCTGAGTTTCGAAATGAATCACAAAATGAACCACTCCGCAACCATGTCCATGATTGATTTAGTGAAAAAAACGACACAACATGTTTGCGAACAACCCTCCACTCATGTCCGAATCAATTCACGAGCTCTTGAAAAAACATGTGAAATTATTTCTCAACACATTCATCAAAAATTGAAACAACAACAACAACAACAAATTGGAACACTCACCACAAACTCAACAACTCCCTCACTCATTGAATCTCTCTTCATTGAATGGGACAATGATACCTTACATTACAGAAATTTACAAGAACCATCTCTTACTTGCCAATACATTCTCGTTCTCTCTTCCATTAATTTCTGTTTTTGGCCACATAATGATTCCAATCCCAATGATGAATTTGAATATGGACATTTGGCAGGTGCCTTACGGAAAGTATTAACACAAGATCCGAATGCCTTTCATGCTCTTGCTCTTTCACAATTATCCGAGGAGAAATTTATTCATGAATGGATGAATGGAGTAAAAGTTCCACTCGTTTCAGAACGTGTACGATTGATACGAGAAGTGGGTTCTGTTCTATTGGAACATTTTGAAGGAAGTGCTTTTCATTTGATTCAATCTGCTCAAAAGGGTGTCAAAAAATTGGTCTCTCTCATCACTCAATATTTTCCAGGATTTAGAGATTCTTGTATTTACTCGAAAACTGGACATCAAATTCATTTCTATAAGAGAGCACAAATATTTTGTGCAGATATTTATGGATGTTTTAGAGGTGAAGGAATTGGTGAATTTGAAGATATTCATGAATTGACCATGTTTGCGGATTATCGAGTACCACAATTATTGAGTAGCAATATTCATTTCATTGAGAATATGAACACTATTAATGCTACTGTTAATGATATGACAAATATTAATGATGAGGATGAGAATGTAGTACTAGTCTATAGTTCAGAATTGAAAGATAAAATTGCTCGACTACAACCATTGGAGTATAGTTCCCAAATGGAAGTTGAAATTCGAGCATTTACCATCCAAGCAGTGGAACAGATGAGACAAATTTTACTCGAAAAGCACAGGATCAAATGTTTGAGTATTGAGATTGATTGGATGTTGTGGCAAATTGGTGAAAATGCAAGAAAGACCATCAAGCCTCATCATCGAACACTTTCCATTTATTATTAAAAAAAGTTAAAGTTGTGTTGATACAAGGTTTGTTGATGGGTGGGTGGTGTATATCATATCATTTGGGTACAGTTGTCGTGCTGCTTCAATTCGAACATGTTGTTCTCGGGACGACTCTTAAGGCTCTCTGTGACACAACACGCTTGAACGAGTGTCACCAAGAATTCCGCAACACAAAAAAATACCGCACGCTCTCGTTGTGTTCATCCACTACCAAAAAATAACGCACCAGAGCGTTCCGATATCACCAAAGAGACGAACCGCGTGTTATTGTCTTCTACAAGAACTTCATGAGTGGCTTTCAAGAGAAGGTCATCATCATTGCTTCTAATTTGATTGTAAATACAGTATCCTCGTGCCCATAATATTTTTATTCAAGACATCCTCTTCATTCCGTCAGTTGCGGACAAACCATCTTTTCATATATTGTGCTAAAAACCAATCATCATAAACGCACACTTTCTCAGCACGTCTGACATTCATTCCGTATTTATGTCCTCTATCCCATCAACAAAAAAAAGAAAACAACAACAGACTTCTATTGACTTTACAAAGCAATCCGATCAAACCAAGAAACTTAAACCTTCAAAAATAATTCAAGACGAAGAAGACAACGACGTTGAGATTATTGATATTACAAGTGTTGCCTCATCAAAGCCTAAAATGAAAGCAATGGCAGTAACATCATCATCTGCAAGTACAAATTCTTCTTCATCACCAAACAATAACAACAATTCAACACTAACATCCACTTCGTCATCTTCAGGAGGATTTACTAAAAAGTCATTGACTCCATCCACTGGAGGTGGGTTGACCAATAACAACAACATGACCACCTCCCCCCTTCCATCAGCATCACAAAAAAAGAAAATACTCAAAATTAAGCCCTTCACCATCAAACCAACCGTTGATGAAAATTTCGAAGAAGAGACTTGGAACAAACTTAAATCAGCCGTAATAGCCATTCAACAAAAACAATCGATTTCGATTGGACAAGAAGAGCTTTATCAACTTTGCTCTGATTTGTGTAGACACAAAAAATATGAAAGCACTTTTAACAAATTGAAAGAATTATGTAGCCAGAATATTGAAAGCATTGTGGATGATTTAACCAACAAAACACCAGAGCATACTGCTTTCTTGAATATTGTTGTGAAAAGCTGGGAAGACTTTACAGAACAATTGAAATCTATTCGATCAATATTTCTCTATCTTGAAAGATCCTATGTGGTTTCCTTGCCAGATAAAACCATATGGGACATGGGATTAAAAATATATAGAGAATGTCTAAAGAACAATGAACAAGTAGGAAAAAAGATAATTTCTGGTATTTTATATCTCATTCAACAAGAAAGAAATGGTGAAAGCATCGATAGGTCCATTGTGCAACGTCTTGTGAGAATGTTGATGGCCCTTCAATTATACGAAGATTATTTCGAAAAATCATTTCTCGAAGAAACTAGAGATTTCTACTCTGCAGATGGACTAACGCATGTGGACACGCTCAATCCTCCAGAATATTTATTGTACGTTGAAACTAGGTTAAGACAAGAATCAGAAAGAGTGAACAATTATCTGTCAAAGACAACTAAACGACCACTCATTCAAATTACAGAACATGAACTGATCAAGAAACATGCAAAAACCATTTTAGAAAAAGGATTCTATGAAATGATGGAATCTCACCGAATTTTTGATCTGAGTCGATTGTATGGTTTATTAAGATTAGTAGATGAACTGGAATTACTCAAAGAATATTTCACAGACTATATGAAGGCAAAAGGAAGTAGAATTGTTAAAGATGAAGAAAATGAAAAGAATATGGTTCAAGAGACTCTACAGTTAAAAAGCAAGGTCGATGAGCTGTATGAACAAGCTTTTCACAAGAATGAACAATTCATGTATGCCATAAGAAAGGCATTTGAACACTTTTTGAATTTGGTTCCAAACAAACCAAGTGAACTGATTGCAAAATACATTGATTCGAAATTGAAATCTGGTAACAAGGGATTAACCGAATCTGAATTGGAGAGATGTATGGATAACGCACATGCCATTGTCAAATACATTCATGGAAAGGACATCTTTGAGGCATTTTATAAGAAAGATTTAGCAAAGAGACTCTTATTGGGAAGATGTGCGTCCTATGATGCAGAAAGGATAATGATCGCTAAACTCAAAACAGAATGTGGTCCTCAATTTACGAACAAACTTGAAGGCATGTTCAAAGATGTCGATATTTCCAATGAAATGATGGCAAACTTTAAGAAAAGTAAGGAATACAAAACATTATGTTCCGAGTTGGGGGCAGACGACTCCTCGACCATGCCTTTCGAGTTAAATGTCACCATACTAACGAGCAGTAATTGGCCCAATTACACTCCAGATACTCTAAATTTACCAAAGGAAATTTCATTGGCTCAAGAGGCCTACAAGGATTTCTATGTTAACAAACATTCTGGTCGTGTTCTTAAGTGGATTCACAGCCTTGGTCAATGTACTTTGAAATCTCTCTTTCCTTCGGGACGAAAAGAGTTACTTGTATCCTTCTATCAAGCCCTCACACTCTTACAATTTAATAACCAAGACAAAATCCCTTATACAGAACTGAAAAAACTCACAGGTATCGAGGATGCAAAGGAGTTTATGCTCACCATGCAATCCCTAACATTACACAAAGTGAAAGTATTGAGAAAGGAAAGAAAAGGAACAGACATTAAGGAAGATGATGTGTTCTTTGTGAATGATGAATTTACTCATCCACTCACTAAAATTAAGGTCAACTCTCTGCAACTCAAAGAAACTAAAAAAGAAAGAGCAGAAACTACTGAAAAGGTTCTATTAGATCGAAGTTATGTCATTGATGCTGCCATTGTGAGAATTATGAAGGCAAGAAAAACTCTCACTCATCAACAATTATTGGCAGAAGTGTTAAAACAAATTCGATTCCCAACGACTGGTCAAGATATAAAGAAGAGAATTGAAAGTTTAATTGACAGAGATTATCTGGAAAGAGATACAAATTCACAAGCTGGTAGTTCCTCCTGTACCTACCATTATGTTGCTTAGAAGACTTTCTTTTCAGAGGAAGAGAATTGCTGAGAAAGAGAGATTGAGATGTAACCATTGAATGTATTTGTTGTTGTTGTACAAAGCGTAGTTCCAAAAACATTAAAGTTATTTGAAAACTATTTATTGACAAGAATATATTTATCAACAAGATTTTCTTAAATTGGTAATGAATTATATCTTTGTCTTGTCATGAACACGCAATCGATCGCATCATCTTTGCGCATTCGCGAACTAGTTTCAATAATAGCCCTTGAAGCAATTCGAGCCATGTGTAATCTTGTCCGTTTGTTTGGACAGGCACGGCACGAGTGCTCATGCCTCTTCCACTCGTTGTGTCAGTTATGACCTCCAAAGTATTTTTGAAGTGAAAAAATGAAGAGAAGTTTTGATGAAGCCTTGTTGGGTGATTGCAATCACCAACCCAACAACAGCCACACCACCACCACCACCGACCATCCTACCACCACCACCACCACCAACACGACGACGACAACTGCTCACAACGTCCAAGAAGGTCATCATCATCACCATGGGTTGTCCTCTTCCCCATCATCATCAACCACCACCACCACAGTTGAAACAACAACAACCCTAGATCCGAACACTTCTGCTACTCACCAACCGCATCAAGCCTTTTCCGATCCCTATCATCGGATCACGCCACTCATGATGAGTGCAACAACAGGAACTCATCAACCACCAACACCCTCCTCATCAGCCTCTCCAATGAACCAACCACCACCACCTCAATCACATCATCCAGCACACTCTCAACAACACTCTTCTTCCAGCACACTTCATCGATTAGCCATTCATAATGCCACCATGAACACAGTAGTTCAGAGTCAGGCCATTCAACGATCTTCAGGAAATGCACATTCCAATAGTGACCATTTGTTGACTCAACCACCACCTCTTCTTGGATCCTCTCAGTTGTTGACGCATTCTCCTCCTTCAAAGAAATTAAAACTTACTTCACCAAGTAATCAAACTCAACCCTCGTCGTCGTCATCTCCCTCACCTATTCATGGCTCATCTCAACAATCTCTACCTCCAAATTTACCAAATCTTTTACCAAATTTAATGGGCAATCATTTACCACCTTTGAGTAATTTCTTATTTACACCTCCACCTTTTTTACAGGCTGTGAGTCGATCACGATCGAATTCTTCATCTTCGACAAATTCAACACAAAATTCTTCTCAACCACCCACCATGATGAATCAACAGAGGAATAGATCTAATTCAGCAGCAACTACATCAGCAGCAGTGACAAGTAATTTATCATCTCTCCCTCCTCAGAACATAACGAACCCTTCTTCTCTTGTTAATAACAATCCTTCATCCAGTTCAATGCCTCAAAAAAATCATCCTTCTCATCTTCACTATCCACATCAATCTCAACAACCAGTCATTGGGCAACAACAAACACCAGTATTATCTACTCATGGTCTTTCTTCAAATCAAGACCAAAATGCAAGAAGTCAAAAATTAAAAGAGACCTGGGTAGAAGTTTACAAAAGCTTAAAAAAACTGGAGGCGTTTGTCAGTCAAAAAACAACACAATCATGTACAAAGCCTTGGGAAAATAACGAACATGTTACATTGTTTACTACCATTTATGATTTATGCATTTTACCTGATTCTGTTTATTATGAAGATCAACTCTATATTCTCTATTCTATTTATATTAAGAAATATTTACAAACGACCATTGTGCCATGTTTGAAAGACAAACACTCTGAAGATTTGTTAAATGAAATTGTTTTTATTTGGGGAAATTTTAGAGATATATTTGTGAGATTTTGTTCCTATATTTTTAAATATTTGGATCAATTTTATGTCGTTTCTAATTCAAAACGAACATTGAAAAGTGAAGCTTTTTATTCATTCAAGACAGTGGTTTTTGATGGAATGAAAAATACATTGAGACAAATTGTTTTAGATAAGATTGATCAAGATCGAAAAAATTTCCATTCTGATGCCTCCTTTTATTTGTCACAACGACATTTATTGAGACAAACTCTTGAATTATTCATTGAATTGGATCATTCAAATTTTGTACCAGTTCCAGATGGAACTCATTCCATTCCTTCTCATCAGCAGCAACACCAACTGCAAACACGTGAAAGTAGCAACCACAACAACTCGAGTACTCCAATTGTGACCCCTGTGAACGCCTCTTTTACAAATACGACTAGTTTGGCCAGCACCACACCGTTGTTCTCATCCTCCTCTACATTAGCATCCTCTTCTTCCTCTCCTCCTACATGTCCCAATGCCCATCATTGTGAAGAATATGTGGAAGATTTTGAAAAATTTGCTGAAAAAGAAACGAGAGAATTCTATCATAAAATTGCAGAAGATTGGATTGAGAAATATAATCTTACAGAATATTTATTAAGAGCTGAAGATTGTATTCAACAAGAACAATCAAGAATTAATGCAATATTCCCAACACACTTTTCACAAAATAAGCTCATGAAAATTGTGGATATGGAATTATTGAAAAATAAGGAACAACGTTTATTAGAAATGTCTGGTTCAGGTGTGAAAATTTTAATCAGAGATGAAAAGATTGAAGATTTAAAAAGATTGTATCGACTGATGAATCGAGTTGAAGGAGGATTGGAACCTGTTGCTGAACTCTTTAAGGAGCATTTGATTTTTGTTGGAAACGATTTGTTTAGCAAGTATGAGAGAGCAACTTCTGAAATGATTAAAGGAATACAACCGAATGCAAGTGGTGTACCATGCACTGTTGTGGATTCTACGAGTGCAAATAGTAGAATGAGTGGTGGTGGTGGTGGAATGAGTGACACCTGTAATGATACTTTGAGTGCTAGTAGTAGTAGTGGTAGTAGTTGCGAATCATCGATCATTTCAAATGAAGTGTATACCAAATGTGTGAGATTCTTGATCGAATGCTATGTCATTGAATTGATGGAATTACACAAAAAGATGAAAAATATTGTGAATGGACCATTTTGTAGAAATGTCATCTTTCACAAAGCTATGTCCGAAGGTTTCAAACAATTTGTGAATAAGAATATTTCACTTGGTCAATTTGAAATTCGGGTGGTTCAACTATTTGCATACTATACAGATGACATTTTGAGAAAAAAGACAGATGATAATTTAGATTCAATTGTTGATTTTATTCAATTCTTCTCGGATAGAGATATTTTCATTGAAGAATATAGAAAGTTGTTTGCTGTTCGACTTCTCGTTACAGATTATCAAGAATTGGAGGAACGAATGATGATTTCAAAGCTAAAATATCATTACAGAGGAATGGCAGATATTTACAAGCTAGAGAAAATGCTTACTGATAAAACTATGGCCAATGACATGAGACAAGACTTTCAAAATTATATCACAACACATAATATACAGCTTCCCTATGAAGTGAATGTCACTGTGTTGACGATGGGAATGTGGCCTTTAAAAGCCAAAGAACATATGAAACTTCCAAACGAGATTGCTGAATCACAGACACTCTTTAAACGATTTTATGATGACAGAAATAGACTGAGAGTGTTAAAATGGGTATATTCAAAGAGTATGGTACAATTACTAGCTCACTATGCGAAAGGAAATCATTTATTGGAATTGTCCACTCTGCAAGCATCGATACTCTTATTGTTCAATGAACATTCTTCATTGACAGTGAAAAAAATAGAAGAAATGACTGGTTTGACTTATGATCATTCGACTACATCCCAAACACAACAACAAGCTGAACATCAAACAAGCACTGACGTCAAACCGTTGGCAAATTCTTCCGAATCACAATCTTCTTCATCGTATTCATCCGATATTGATTTGAAACAAGCGATTGCATCACTTACTACCGAGAAACTACCTCTTCTTATTGCTACTAGTACTCCTAATGCAAACAATAGTGGTAGTAGTAGCAGCACTCCTAGTAACAGTAGTGGAACATCTGCTGCCATGACACTCACCATCAATGAGGCATTTCATAATCGACTTTACAAAATTAAGGTACCTCTTCCCAGAGTCACTCAAAAAGATATTCAGAACACACAAGCATCTGTATCCACAGATCGTACCTATATTTTAGAGGCATGTGTGGTTCGAGTGATGAAAACAAGAAAGACCATGAACATTCAGAGTCTATTTAACGAGGTTGTGACACAACTCATTCCAATTTTCACACCAGATGTCAAACAAATCAAAAAGAGAATTGAGTCATTAATTGAAAGAGATTTTTTAAAACGAGATGAAGTTAATAACACACTAATACACTATGTTGCTTAAATCACACCAATTAAATTTTGACCAATCTGCTCACCATACTTTGGCCTCTTGTTTCTGCGATCTCATACGGTGTTTTTCCTGCGTTGTTTTTAATGGACCTATCTGCACCCAATCGTAAAAGCTCCTCTACAGACGCAACCCTTCCAAAATAGCAAGCAATGTGAAGCGGTGTATCTCCAAACTACATAACAATCGTACCATGAGGTTCAACATCTCAACTTACGTAAGCCTTGCTATTGACGTTTAATCCTGCTTTCACAAGCACCTCCAGTATTTCAACATTGTCTTTTGAGGCTGCGCCATGAAGGGGGTTCTTGGTGAACGAAGTGTTGGAAAGAGCTCGAACAAGGAAGGTTAACTTACCCACTGAATTTGGAGAACATTATGTTGAAGCATCCCTTGAAACCATGTCATTCACATACCTCAATCTGATTTGTGTGAGCTTGAGATACACAACAATGACACTTACGAACTAATTCCGAAACAATGTTCCGTTCCTTTGATCAAAATACTTACTTTCTGCAACACATCGATGAGGTAAATCTCTGTTGGGAAACATTACTTACATCCCCTAACTCCAACTTTGCTCCTTTGGAAATTAAGTATGATACAATTTCTTTGTTACCCTTAAAGGAAGCAGCAAATAGCGGAGTCTGGAAGAACATCGGATCTCTCTTACGAAAAAATCAAAACTAAAAGGATGCATACCCACTTTAAGAAAGAAAATAATAGATCAGATTTTCAGATCTTAATTAAGAACCACTTACCTCACTATCAAATATTCCAACATGCATAAAAGCATTCAGATCGGCCTTCCCTCCTTCTACAATTTTTTTAACGGCCGACAAATCACCCTTCGTGGCAGCCTCATAGAGTTCTTTTGTTGAGGGTTGAGACATTTTTTATTTGTTTTGGTTGATGGCAATTCTCGAGTGTGAATGAGTCCCTCACACGGTGATGATGATTCATTAGTGATGGAGGCCAGCCACATCTCATCACAGTGACGACCAAAATCCTTAATTCCTTTTCAAATGTTCCCACTCTCCCTTGAAGGTGTTTGGCTTCCAATAGTATCTTTCGTCATGATGATCATGTCCACATGATTCATCGCCACATTCTTCACCATTCAAGTGCTCACCTTCTTGAGGGTAGTCTTCTGTTTCAAATAGTGGATAATTGAATGGATAGCTGGAGGGGGTGAGAACAATGTTTTCCACATCCTGGTTGCGTCCTCCGAGCAGTCCAGCAGAGTAAATATCTCGTGAAACAATTTCTTGGACTAGTTCCGGAGTTTTAGACAATCGAGGAATCATTTCATTGAGTATAGAAGCTGATAATTGTTGATGTTCTGGTTTGTTCTCATCATTAGTAAGAATTTCCTTCATCTTGAGATAAAGTGGTAAATAAAGTTGATAATTTGGTTTAACTCTATTCTTCTCTTCCAATTCAACAATAAAGTTAAAACATTCATCAAATTTTCCATTCTCAATAAAACAATTCACAATATTCTTGTAAGTAGAATAATCTAACGTCAATTTAAAATCATTGTGGATGGTATTCAGGAGATGAAGAGAAAGAGGTAAATATCCAAAGAGACATGAAATAGTGATAAGTTCTAAATATATTCCTAGAGTCTTTGGCTCTTCGGCTTGAACATATTGATTTAATTTTGTTAGAGAGTTCAATAAAGTAAAATTTGGAGCGTTGGATTTTGTTTGATCTTTACGAGCATTTTGTGAAATATATCGATGAATATACTTGTCCAATTCTTTGGCCATTTTACTGCTTCCTTTTGGAAGGCATGATGAGGTTTTACTCCTCACAGATTCCCATAGCCGTAAAATATGATTTTTTTCAATTTCCGAGGTTTCATCACGAGCAAGGGGTGATTTACTTTCCACTGTTACACCTTGAACAATTCCGAAACTGATATGGTTGGTGCAATAATTGGTCCTTGTGATAGTATAAATGTTAACATTGTTGGTACTACTCGTATAAATCGGAAAATTAATATTTGAAAATAAGAGGGTTCTTGAAGAACAACAATAACGATTTAATAAAGAGAGTTGGGAGAGTTTCCCCATTGTCCCTGTGGAGAGCCTTCTGGGCATCATTTTTTTGTGGTGCAATTCAATTGAGCTTGAATCTTTCTTGTATCCATGAACATGCTGTTTGTATTTGAAAATTAAAACTGAGATGTCTGGGATCATCCTATTTCCTGTCAACAAAGAGACTCCTTGGTTTTCATTGGAATTCAACAACAAGGAACTCGTGCACGGAATCCACTTCCGAACGTGCCATTCCGAAAATTTCTGTTCTATTTTCTTCCTCAAACACAACGAATTGGTTCAAATCCCCCTCTTTAAAAAATGCCAAAATCCAAGTCACAATCCACTGCCTCGAGGTCATCGTCGTCGTCTCTTTCGGAACCCACCACCACCACCAGTAGCCACTCATCATCTACTACGACTTCAAATGCTTCCGTATCGAGCGATGAAGAATCACAACCACCACCACCACCATCGACTACCAAACAACGAATAGTAAAAACTCCATATACAAAGAGAGCTTGTGTCGGATGTCATAAAGCAAAGGTGAAATGCTCACATGAACGACCTTGCCATCGATGTACGGCGAAAGGAATTGAATGTGTGGATTATGTTCCTGTCCAGCAACAACAACAGCAGCAGCAACAACAACAACAAGCTACCCTACTCAATAATAATCATCACTCGACGTCGTCCTTGAATTCTCTCATCACACCTCATAATGTCATTGCAATTCCAACGACGGGAGCCAATCCTTTTATATTTTCAACTCATCCTTCGAATGGAATGGCAATGCCAATGGTTCCGGTGATATTCCCAATGACAGCTAGTGGTTGTAATATGGGAGGTGGTACTAGTGAGGCCAACCATAATAGTAATAATAATAATAACAATACTAATAGTAATCATCATCACCATGCCATGTTATTTGACCCTTCATCATTATTTACGAATATGAATCCTATGGATCATGCAATAAATTCCACCCTATCACAACATATTCCTGCATTGGATTCTTCCTCATCAAACGCTGCCGTCCATCATCAACCTCACTTTTTACATCCACCATTAACAACCTCATCATCATCAACAACAACAACAACGTCATCCACCACCGTCATCTCCACTTCATCTCATGGTGGTAGCAATCACATCACTAATACTCATCATCACCAAGAACAGTGTTGCTCCTCCGAAAACAATCATTTTAACGACTCACTTTCTCTTTCACCTTTTCTTTCTCCATTCGGAAAAGGAAAACAACATTTTGAACCTTTTCCATCCTTTCACACGATGAATGAATCAAACACAAGAATTGAAGAACTTGATTCGAGTATGGGATTCGAAGAGGAGGATGCCGGTGTTGACGAATCCATCATTGCTGCTCATCAACCAGAATTGGATGACACTTCTTCCTCTCGACAACTTTTACCTTACATACCCAATAATACACTTCCTCCATCCTCCACAAATTCAGCAAACAGCAACTCTGACATTGCAAATATTGGTAATTTATTATGTATGGTTATTAAGAAACAAGACAAGCAATCAAGAGAATTGAGAGAATTGAAACAAGACATTTTAGAGTTGAAAAATTACATTTTGGCAAACAGTAGAAATTCGAGTTCGAGTAAGAAAATAATTATTTCATAATAAGCATTTTCGAGATGTGTCACAATAGGGGCATGATCTCAACTGTTGCAGTGAGTCACACTGCGAAACATGTTTGTGTGTACAGACGAGCAATATTAAACAGCTTTTCATAAGCTCAGAATTATTATTAACGTATGAAGAAGAACAAGAGATTGGGAGTGGACTCACTCACCAATCTGGGCTTCTCTTTTCATACGGTAATAGTTATTGTAATCTCAGTGTCTCAACCATGTTTGCCAACTGTCCATTCCGGAACACGTTCTCCATTTCACGGCCTCCCGGAGAGGAGACAAATTTTGAAAAACTGAAAAAATGCAATCAGAAGACAACGTTCCTCCCATCTCACTCTCGGCTCAAAAAGAAGAGGAAAAGCCTTCAAACTCAGCAGCTGCTGAATCTTCTTCTGACAATGGAGGCCATACTCACGGATGGAATGCAGAGAATGTATCCTTCTTGGTGTGTAGGTTTTTGTTCTTGTGTTGAAAGGCTTTATCTCAAAACTCTGAAATAATTTTGTTATACTCCTCACCTCACATTATTGTTGGGTAATTATACCTCATCACTGATTTATGTGATGATATACATGAATGTGTGTTGTTACTCATCATTACAAAAGTGGTGGGTGTTTTTCAAGTCGTTATGGTCGTTCTGTTCTGGGTATTTTTCGATTATGAGCACTCGGTAACGAATTCAGATGAAACCTCACTCAATCTCGCTAATGAAGAAGCACACAAAGATGTGGTTCATTACTACAAACCCATGCTCGATGTCGGTATCATGGTGTTTGTTGGTTTTGGTTTCCTAATGACTTTTTTGAAGAGATATGGCTATATGGCCTTCGGAATGAATTTCTTTATTTCAGGTAAGTGCTTCATGTTCAACACAATTGGCACAATCATCAATTCACCATGATGAAATATAAATTGTGTTTGGCCGAATCTAACCTGATCATCTCCCTGTTGTTGTTGATTTTTTCAAATGCATTCCACCCTCATTATTATCATCATCTCAAAATATTCACAGCTCTCATTTTCCAATGGGGAGTTTTGAACCAGGCCTTTTGGCGAGGCGTTTATAAGGGATTTCCAGTTACTGGAGATCAAGTAAATTGGCCAAATCCAAGATGGATGGTGCATTTTGAACTCCAGGACTTGGTAGAAGGCCATTTCGCTGCTGCTTCTTTCCTTGTTTCATTTGGTGTTTTGATTGGCAAGACTACCCCTCTTCAAATTACTATTGCTGGAATAATTCACACTCTTTTCTATTCTTTGAATTTTTATATTGGTACTTGGGTGTTGAAGGCAAGCGATATTGGAGGATCAATGTTTATTCACTTGTTTGGAGCTGTTTATGGATTGATGGCTTCTTATGTGTTGTGGAATAAGAAGGCAATTGCTGGACATCCAGCCCAATCATCTCGTTACACTTCTGATCTTTTCTCATTGATTGGTACCATCTTCCTTTTCCTTTGTTGGCCATCATTTAATGCTGCTGTAAGTTTTATGAACACATAGTATTTACATACCTATGTACCTATATATATTGTAGTTATGTAAGTTTTAATTTTGCGGAGATTGTTCACATCATAGTATTTACAATGTAACAGCCCCAACTGGTACAACTCAATACAGAGCCTTCATTAATACCATCATGTCCTTGATGGGATCAACTGTGGCCTCGTTCTTCTGCAGTAGATTGGTAAGAAAAGGAGTTTTTGCGATGGAAGACATTCAAAACGGTACTTTGGCTGGAGGAGTAGCTGTTGGTGCAGTAGCTGGTAAGTCTTTTCAATAATGCCAAATATATGAAACCAACCATTGTGTTTGTTTGCATTCTTAATTTCAGATATGGTTATTTTACCAGGAGGCGCTTTAACTATTGGTATTATTGCAGGATTTATTAGCGTTTTTGGATTCAAGTTCTTTACTCCAAATTTGAGAAGATATCTCAAATTGCACGACAGTAAGTTTAATAATTTATTTGACACCACTAATTTCTAATTTAAATGAATAGCCTGTGGAGTTTTGAACTTGCATTGCATTCCAGGATTTATTGGAGGGGTTGGCTCAATCATTGCTGCAGGTGTTGCAGCTGGACAAAGAGTCAATTACGGAGTTCTCTATGATAAAATGTTTGGGTATGTATTAGTATTATTTATAATGGGAATTTGTTTTTCAATACTTAACAACGATTAATCATTCTGAATGAATAGAAACGGAACTCATCAATGGGGATATCAATTTGCCACATTGGCCATTACCATTGGAATTGCACTTGTCTCTGGTTTATTGGCTGGGTTGATCATTAGATGGTTGTTCCCAGAGAAATCTGTCTTCTATGACGAACCTTACTGGGAGGTTGCAGATGAATCATTATTGGTTGATGAAGAACCACCTAAGGAAGCTAAGGAAGAAGAGAAGAACATTGAGCTCAGGGCTGTCAACGTTTAATAAATTTGACATAATATTTTATTACTAAGGAAAGAGACAGGGATTTAATGTCATAATTTTACATCGTTGTAACCCGTAGATACTGGAGTACTTGGGAGAAAATCAAGGCTTCCAAAAAGCTCAATATCTGGAAGATCGAACTGGGCTTCATCTTCACCAACAAATGGTTCAGAAAAGGAGAAAGAAATAGAATCCTCAACATCCAAAACTTTTGCATTTGATTCAGAAAAAGATTCACTCAAAACAAAATTATGTTGTCCAAAATCTACATATTGCACATTAGTAATCACAGGTTCGCTTTGTGAGGTTTGAGCCATTTGGCTGTTCTTTTGTTGGTGAGTTGAACTTAAATACTGAGTAGCGCATGATGCAGGAGGAGATAAAAATCCATATTGTGTGTTGCTGGCACGTGCAAGTTGTTGAACGCTCATATTGTTGTTCGAAACAGAAGGGGGCATAGAAGGTTGAGAAAGGTCTTTTTTGTTTGTAGTTTTTCTCTTCTTTGTTTTTTGTGTTTCTTCTTCATTACAAGTACTAATTTGAACGTTGTTATATTGAATGAGACCGTTAGGAAGCTGTTGCACTACGGGAGGAGGTTTGGTTGGAACAATGGATGTGGATGGCTGCTCTAAAGGAGGACTATCAAATCTGAGAATGTTTTTGGTATTAATGATGTTTGTGTTGTTAGATTTGGAATTGTCCTGAGCAGTTACAGTTGTTTGAGATGATGGATATTTTGATGGAGCAGTTGTTATTTGATTATTTGTCATCATCGATACTTGATGTTGTTGATGAATGAAAGGCTGAGAGTTTGATTGACGATGATGCATCATCATTGGTGGTTGTTGATAAAGTGGAAGTCCTCCTTGCTGCTGCTGATGCTCTGCATGTTGTTCTTCATGCTCGGTGTGAGCGCCTTCAGCCTCCTCATTTTCGGTGCTGCTCATCTTTCTCTTCTTTGGCATGCTGATCACAAAGTAATTTTGTTGAAAGTTCTCGCAGGTTTTCAATTGCTTTCTTAACTGAAAGTACTTCTTCTCTTTTCTAATATTGGACATACAAGGCTCCCATTCGCTAGTCATGTCCACGAATTTAAAGGATGGATCTTTCTTCTTGTTCTTTCCCGAAGATGAGGATGAAGGCTCTACTACGTGCTCATTTGCAATTTTATCAGACTTTTTCTTCATACCCGAGTGAGTGAGAGTAAGTGAGGAGGAGGAGGAGGAGGAATTGCGATGATGAGGATGGGCGAATTCACTGATGTGGTGGTGGTGGTGGTAGGACGGTTGTGTGTGAGAGTTTTTAAATTGCTTGTAAAGAGACTATTTTTTTTAAAAATAAAATTCATAGAAAAGGCCCAAGTCTTTACAAATTAAGAGTATTAGGTGCTGTTTCAATATTCGAGCATTATGAACGTTCAATTGCAATTGGTACATTTTCACATGTGTGTCTCATCACACCGACATATTCATCATTAAGCAGGATGGAGGGCCAATTTTATTGAAAAAAATCCTCCTTACCTCTCAACATGGCAAACACTAAGTTGAATGACACAGCACATATGTGTGTGTCATACTTAAATGTGTTGTCACTAATGCATTCTCATAAACAACTCTCAGCTGACTCTTAATAATGACAGAGTTTTCATCATCTACTTCTCTCTTTGAACACTAAAAATCACACAATGATTCACTCGTTATTAGAGAGTTCCATCTTTTTGAACCAATTAATTGCTCGATTGAGGTCTTTTCAAAAGATTGAATAATAGATTTGAATCCTATTAGAATTCAATCAGAAAAAGCATGCACCTCTTCGCTCCCAGCCAGCACCAAAACAATCCAATTCTCCAAAAACGAGCTTTGGGTGATGGCCCGTCACTTGCCATCCACAACAAAAAAAAATGTTCAATCTTCGTTACTGGCTTTTTTCATTGTATCCCTCTAACTTTTTGTATCCGCCCATCGTTTGGCTACTCGTTCCAGTATGTCTCTACGGTACAGCCATTTTAGTTGGTTTATTGGGTGGAAGACAAATTCCTCTCGTAACCGTTCTCTCCAATGAAGATTTAATTCCTGCCTATAAATTCTCTGAAGAGAGAGCAATGCCTCATTTGAAAGCAATTTCTTTTGTACCAAATCCAGGACAAGAGAATGTTGGAACGTCTCTAGTGAGAGTGGCTGGTACTGCATCGTATTTTAAAGCAAGAGATTATATTTTGAGTCAAGTGAAGAAGGTTTATGGTGTAAGTGTTAATTGTTATGTCATTGACAATTGATGTACGAGAGATTAACATTTTTGTCAATTTTTCATCCAATAATTTATTCTTGTTCTTCTTATTCATTCTAACATTATTTTCATTTATTATTATTCCACTTGTTCTAACATCATGATTTTATACATGTCATCATGATCATCATCTTTTTCATCATTATCACACATCATCACTGTCAAATACACACAACATCAACTCATCATCATTAGTATCAATCATCAACACTTTGTCGAGTCGAATACGACGTTCAAAATGTCAAACACTACAGTAACATTATCGTACGTGTGAGTCCAAACAACATGACCAATCCAGGTGATTATTACTCCTTCTTGTTGAGTTCACATTACGACACGGTTGAATTCAGTGCTGGTGCTTCGAGTGATGGTACTGGTGTTGCAGTCATGTTGGAATTATTAGAAAATGTTGTCAACACTGTCGATAATGTCATTAAATATCCAGTCATCTTCTTCTTTGGTGGAGGTTCAGAATATAATTTCGAAGCAACCAAAGAATTTATGAAGAATCACGAATGGTCCAAGAAGTGTCTCCGTTTCATTAATATGGATTCAAGTGGAAGTGGTGGTAAATCGATGGTATTCAGAGTGACTGATAATTCAATTTTGAATGAATACAATGACGCTCCTCATCCTTACATTTCAGTCATTGGAGAAGAAGTGATGAAATTGAAGACCAACTATGACACTGATTTCACAGTCTTCTCTGACAAGACCTATCGTAATCAAACCAACACATTACCTAAATACTATTTAAAGGGATACGATTATGGCTATTTTTGGGATGGATATTTCTATGGTACTCAATATGACACCTATGATCGAATTTCACGTGGAACTTTACAACATTTAGGTGACAATGTCTTGCATCAATTAATGAAAGTTGTCACCGATGATAATATTATGAGTGGTACTGTCACCAATGATGCAGAATCTAATTATTTGGCTGATGAAGTCTATTTTGATGTTTTGGGTGGATTCTATGTTCATTTTAGTTTCCAATTGAGTCAAGCCATTCAAGGTATCATTGTAGTGGTTGATGTGATCTTACCAATTGTATTGATTATTGTCGATCATATGATTTCATTGCGTTATCATGACACATCCTCTGTTTATCAATTATTCAAGAAGAGTATTAGTGGTTTACAAGCTCGTTTATTACTCATTTTCCTTTATTTCTGTAGTTATGGATTGTCATTAGGTTTTGGTATTTTATTGGCTGCATTGACTGGTTCGATTGTGGATGGTATCAATGCCATGCCATGGTATCGTGATCCTGTATTGGCTGTCTTTTTATTTTCCACACCAACTTTATTGGGAATGTTTATCAGTCAATTTGGTGTTCACTTGATAATCAATGCTGCAATTTCTTCATGTGGATGTTTCAAAATGTATCGAATTAGTTTGAAGAGCAAATCAGAACTTAAACGTGGTGAAAATACTGCTGCTCAAACATTGATTTATGCAGCTGATAAGGAAAGATATCTCGCTTTGACTCTCTTTTGGGGATTGTTGACAGCTGTCAGTTTAATGACTCAACTCAAATCATTTTATATTGTTTACTTTTGGTCATTCTGTTTGAGTGGAATGCTTGTCTTACTTCTCGTTGTTGACCGTGTGATTATGTGGTCCTATATGATTATTCGTAATCAAACTCGTGCCAAAGCATTGGAAGCTGCAGGAGCTGACATGAGTGAAGAATTGACTTCTGCAGGAGATAATGTCGACAAGAGAAAGAAATTCTTGGAACTTCGTAGAGCAAAGAAGAAGGATGATGAATTGTCCAAAGAAGATGAAAAGTATCTTGGTAAATTGGCAGCAAAGAGAAATATGAGACATGAAATTGCTGCAAAATTGAAGGAATTTTCTATTAGAGATTTCTTCCATGCTGTTCATTATCATCAATTGTATTGGGTGATTGTCATGTCTATTGCTTGTTGGCCTCCAGCAACTGTCACAATTGATATTCTTGATCGAATGATTCATTTGATTATTCCATTGATGTCACGTGCTAGCTATCCAGTGTGTGGTGCAATGATTGGATCTGTCATTGGTTTATTGATTTACTTGTTAACAATTTCATACATGCCAATTATGCATCGTGCTGCTAATTGGGGTAAAGCAATGATTTTGACTGGTATTGTCATTGCCATTGTGGGAATTACTGCAGTTTCAATGAGTGGTTTCCAAAAATACTCTCCAAGAAAGGTCAGATTTACTCAAGTGAACAAGGTGGGTCCTCTCGATAAGGATGAGATCTCAACAATTCCTTATCCAATGGCTGCCACGAGTACTGCTCCATTGAAGTTTGATCAGAGCTCTTCTCTTGCTACATTTACTATGGAATCTTTTGATGGAATTGGTATTACTGGTCTTTTGAATCGATTCAAAGGTAATTATGGTGCCAATGGTGGCTTTTTCAGAGAATATTGTAAGGATTCCAAATGTGAATTCATCATCAGACGCCCAGGTGCAGAATCCTTTAAAGCATTGGAATATCACTTACATTTGAATCAATTGACCATTGCAAACTATGGAACCCAAACTGAGAACGATGAAACTATTGCTTCCTTTGATCTTACTTTGACATTGAAAGAGGGAATTACTTTGGCAGATTACACAGGATCACTTTCTGGTGACGGCACGCTTCAAAAATTCCAACTCGCTTCTAGTGATCCAAATTACAATAATGTGTTGTTCTATGTTGACGACAGCAAAACCTCCAAGACAATTCACAAGTTTGGTGCTCCACACACAACCACAACCATTTCTGCTTCTGTGAGATACAAGACTGCTTCAACTACCAAACCAACTCTTTCGTTCAATGTTCAGCTCTATGATTGTGACTTGAACGCTTCGGAAGTTGTCAAGAAATTCAACGACCTCTACGTGAACGGAATGTACTACGTCACCCCTCTAGGATCAACATCCTGTAAACTCGTTACAGAACAATCCACCATCAATATCCAACTTTAACAGACAGTAAATATTATATAAATTTATTTATTTTCATCCACAACATCTGATTCTTCCTCCAACTTTTCAAATTTGACCTCGTTGAGCTCCTTCTTCTTTTTAAGGATCACATTGAAAAACAGGAATTGCATCAAAATTGTCGAGTCCATGACCAACACTCCTGCACTACCAATTATCCATGGAAGCTAGATGAAATAAATGAAATGGTCGTCACAAAATGCATTGGAACATGATCAATACTTACTCTTGAAACAATAAATTGCCAGCTGGAATTGTAGAGGAATAAAGATGCGGCGTATGTGGTATTACTAGAGAAAAAAGTGTCACACATTCAATTTTCAAAATAATAATTCAACTTACCCCATGAAAGCGCAAATAAACAAAATTGGAGACAATCCATCAGTTGACATTCTACGGAACTGTTTGGAGTGAGTTGAACAAAACCTGACAATATCAATGAACTTACATTCTTAATGATTTGTGGGACTCTAGAGCCTAGATATAAGCAAGTGCTCACCGATCCAATAACATATCCAGCAATATCCTTTCCATAAATTGGCCAGTATTGATCATTGTAGTCAATGTAGTCCTCAGAAACTGTTAACAATTTTCTTCCAACTCTGTTAACACTATTTTCAACAAGATGGGAAGAGCTACTGAAACCAAATGATTGCAGCCATAATAAACCAGCTGTGAAAAATAAAGCAGAAACACCTAAAATTTTGCTATAGCTTTTCATGTTGGTATTTCCGTTATCATTATGAACAATGAGAGATTGAGTTTCATCTGTACCGCTATAGGTCACTGACACTTCGTTTCCATTAGTTCCATTTTCGTCGAAACCAATATTAATATTAATATTGTTTGCTTTCTTTTGTTTTATCCTTTCTTTGATTTTATAATAAATGTATTGGCCAATTAAAATAAAATCCATAAGAACGTAGTACACTGCAGTTGCTATTTGTGTCGGTAATTGATCTGCCAAAATTGAGCCAATTAAATTCAAAGAGTCTCCCAAAATCCACTGCAGAAGAAATGCAGGTGCTAATGAATCCGCATTTGATTTTCTATAATTTTCAATAATTTGAGGAAGGTTTGCGAAAAGCCAAAAACCAATACTACTCAGACCAATCCAAAACGAGGCTTGCTCTAATGGGGTTCGGATGCAAGCACCCAACACTGTGTACATCCATGGAATGTAATGGTATCCCTCAAGAACAAGAGGAATACAATTGGCTGTATCATTGGTGGTATTGGAAGAATTATTAGAGTCCATGATGATGGACAACATCGTTGGTACGATGGGAATGGGATGAAAATTGATATTCATAATGACAATACCGAAGAGAGAGATGAAAATTGCCCAACGTTACGAAATTATTGATGATAATGATGATGAATGACTAATGGATGATGTCCGAAGCAACAAACTCCGGGTAAAAGAGGTACAAAATTTTTTCGAAGAGCAACCGACCTTTCCATTACAAAGATTTTATGGAGAGTTTTATACCAAACAATAATTTCTCTTTTGAGGAATTATTAACAATCGTCTGTCTGTTGTGATGAAGCAAACTCATTTCAGGTAAATGAGCATTTTGCTTTGGGAGCATGTCACATGCATTCTCAAAGAAAAGCATTCCTCTGTTAAGAATTGTTGAGCATTAATACTTTTGAAAGCGCTCTCTTTACACACCCACAATGTATCTCCTCCTTCTTCATGCAAAATTATAACATTGTTGAATGGGCATGCTTGCACTCTTTCAATTTTCACATGTGTTTGGACCAAAGAATTGAACGAGATAAATGTCAATTTAACTGCATCTTCGAAATTGGTCGCTATGCTTCTCCAAGGGCCTTTCTTTAACTTTTTAGCAAGTTCCAATGGCATAATTAATCCATCACTATTTGTTTTCTTATCATCTTTACCAAATTAAGAGAAATAAAAACAAAACACACATCAACCTACACACATGCAACAAAGGAAATTGTCTGGTACAGACCATTCCCTTCAAGTGAGAGGAATCATGTATGGTTAGAATACATCGCATGACTCCCTTTTCAATAACAAAAATGTCCATAACTTTAGAATGTTCTTGTTCTCTCTCAAATGTAAACCAAGTAGTGGTCTCAGTCGTCCCAATATGCAAAGGAAATGACTTTATCAATGACCCTCTTATGTTCTCCGAGTTATTGAAAGGTTTAAAAATTAAATTATCCAATAAGGTCTGTAAATCAACCACAGACGCTCTATTCCTTGGCCCAATGTTGCCATATGTGTTTGGGCCACATACTCTTATTGGAAAAGAGTATGACATGGTCGTATTGGCACCCAATACTTTTACTGGACCATTGATCAATAGTTTAGTTGGTTCGTAAATGCATGTTTTTGGACGTATCCAATCTTCTGAGGTTTTAACATGGCAACTCAGCTGGTTCATTTCATTACTATTTTCATGCTTCAATCAAAACAGCAATCTTCTCGATCAATAAACCTACCTCCCACATCCATAGATATTTCCATCTTCACATTCAAAAATACTATGACTAGCTCCACAACTCACACGTAAACATCCTCTCTTTTTCTCAATATCAAAAAACTTATTTTTGTGAGCATAAATTCCTTCAATTTCTTCAACCTCAAAGCCTAAACCAATTTCTCCCTTTTGATTACTGCCTAGAACGTAGACACTTCCATTACTTGAGGTAATAGAATTTATGGTAAAATTTAAGAGATACAACAAAACAAACCTGAAAACAAATATATAATGATCCATTCCACTTTCACATTGAATCAACGAAACTTCAGGAGGGTAGTCAAAGAGAGTTTTGTTATCTTCCTTCATGACTTTGTGCCTTATGCTCAACTCTGGAAACTCAATGGTCTCCACTTTGCTACACACAATTTTGTCAGTACCCTGAGTGGAAAGTTCGTCGTATGATATTAATTTACAAAATAGTGAAGGTGTGAAATTATCATCAAGGTGAGAATCCAACGTAGATGTGCTCTGTTGAGTTGAAACGTTTGATGTCATGGTTGTATGATCTTTCCTAGGTGAAGCACCAAGTAAAAGTGGTGAAGATTTTAGCAATGCCGTGTGGATTTTAAGGCTTCTTATTCGTTCCGATATAGGGGAGGATGAAACAGAACTCTTGGATTTTGGATCTTTGCTATCGTCATTGCCACCTTGTGGAGAGCTCCAAGCTAATTTTGAGAGTGATAAATTCCTTCTATTCCTTGTGGTTGGAGTGAGTGGAGAGAAACTAGATGAGGCCGTGAATGTGAAGTGGAATTTACTGCCATTCTCGGATTGGGTTGGTTTTTCTCCTTTGTCCATTTCAACACCACCTTCTCCTTCAGGTGATGATGATGGATATTGAGGGAGGGCATGTTGACTCATTTTTTCCTTAAACAAAAAACAGAGCTGGAAGCCACAGCTGTGTGCGATGATGGTCTTGAGATGAATACAGTTCATTCATTCTTGTTGTGTTGTCTGTTGCTGTTGGTCTTGATTAGATGTTGTTGTTGCTGCACTTCCTTCCAATAAAGCCTTCACCTCTGCACTGAACTGCTCTTGAATCTCGACCAATGACGAAGATTCAATGACATCCTTGATAAAACTCGCACACCATTTCGTGTCTCTAATAAGAGAGTTGGTAATCATGATGAGATCAACACCTGTATTCTCTTTCTGATACTTTTGAATGCAATTCAATATACCCACTACAAATTGAACTCTTGTTGTGGTTGCGAATTGAGCAATTCTTCCATAGAGTTCTACCAGTTTTGTAAAGAATCCTTGTTCCACAAATTTCAAAAGGTGGGAGGAATCTGCGGAAGCAGAAAAATTAGCCACCATGTATAATCCGTCTGTCACAACATTCTCATGACTTGTCGACAGTAGTTTAAAAACCAAATGAAAGATATCAGGATCAGAAATGATTCTCTCGCAACATTTGACACTTCCAGAAACAATGTTTGATAGAATCCACAGCATTTCTCTTTGGACAGCCCTCTTTGGATGTGTCAACAAATTGATAGTGTAATCCAAAAATCCACTATTCAATACAATTTCTTCACTATCATCCTCAAGTAGTATATTCCCGAATGCTCTTATCGAAGGTACTAAAACAGATAGCGTTGAAGATTTTGTTGCGAGTTCAACCAATCGACGTATAAAACTAGGATTTTCCTTCATTAAATATACGCATTCAAAAGACTCAGCAATGTAACTCAAAGCCCAACATGTGTCTGTTAACACTTCTTCATTGTTCGAATGAATAAAGCTGACAAAAGCAGGAAGAGCTTGAAGAAGATATCGTGTGTGTGGTATCGGTTTCATTCTCACGAGATTAGAGAGACACCAGGCCACTACAAATTCCCATATTGTTGAACATGACATCAGTCGCTGAATCCATCAAAAAAAAAACTTACCATTTTTCAAGTCATGCAAATCGAACAAACTAAACTTTTCTTCTCTCACTGCTTGTACAATCTTTTTAATTGCTCCACTTTTCAATGCCAAATCTCTTGCAAAAGGACTATCTCCAGCAAAATTACCAATGCCCCAGACGGCTTGACTCATCACTGGAAAATCTTCCACAATCTAATAAATCAACCATTCGTTCAATGCATTTCAATGAAATAATGTATCGTGTGTGGTCTGTAGTGCCACTTGCAACATTGGTTAAGGCCCAAGCAGATTCGAGTTGAAGAGCGAATAATCGACAAATTGGAATTTTAGGAATCTTTCTGACAATGATATTATTGTCAGCAGTAATCTCAGAGGCTGATTGGTTTTTCAAATCCTCATCATCACTACTTGTTTCAACAAATTCAAAATAGTGTTCAAGATAGTTTCTTGAAAGGAATTTTGTCATGTAAACACAAGCACCTTGTTAATGTAAATAAATTCAACAGACAAGGACAATAAATTCACACATAGATTTTTGTTGTTAGCCAATTTGAATGAGAAAATCTTCCAATTATATCAATTCTACCTACCTGAATCAATGACTTGTTGAATGGGTGGATTATTCTCAACAGAGAGAAGTCGTCTGATGATACGAACTGATTCAAATATAATATCCAGTCCATTCCACTCGGGATCAAGAAGCAACACAAAATAGGGCAAACGATCAAGCAGACACTTTGAAGGAATATTCTTCCTGTGTTTCATACTCTTTGAAATTCCTAGAGTTTTGTTTAAAGACAGGTTCAATCGTCGATCTCGTTCCCTGAATTTTGCAACTCGGACACGAACCAACTGTTTGAGAGGATCATCGTCATTTGATGTAACTAACGGAGATGAAGAAGAACTCGAGGATGCATCAGAGCTAACACTTTCATCATCATCTTCCTCCATGATTGACTCGTAGTCTTCATCAGGAGGACTCACGAGAGGGGCAATGTTCGCCGACTTTTCCTCTTGGTTTTCTCCAGAATTTGAGGGCAACATTTTTTCTATTCACTTCTTGAACTTTGACACAAATGTGAACAACAGAATCACGTGTTGTTTATTATTGAAGTTGTTGATTATTGTGCTTATGTACATTGTTTTGGGATTTCTTACCTAACACGACGACATTGAACGAGAAGTTTTCCAATCTAAATTCTTTGGCAAGCGTTTTTCGATCCATCACGAAATTGGGCTTCTTTCTAATAAAAACATAGACATCCAGGATGCGACCATTTTCCAGTAATTGAGCCGATATCGTGTGATGAGACCGAGGAGATGATTCCAACGCTTGAGCCATTCTAAGTTGGTTGTGTTTGAGAACTTTCAAAACAAGAGAAACTTGCTGTTCTTGGCTCATCTTGACAACTTGTTTTTCTTCTCTAATTGCAACGTTTTTAACATAATTTTGAAAGGCTTTCTTTTGGTGCTCGAAATCAGTGCTGCTAGCAGTACTACACCCAGATGATGAAATTTGATCGTTAGAAAATTCATGATTCGTCGTAGATGATACAGGAGAGGTCAAATTGCTTCGGTATGAATCTATTAATGGAATTTTGAAAGGAGAGCTGGGTACAGAAGTGGTGGAGCTCTGAAGGGAATACATTGGTGGTGGCGGCGTATGTAACAAGGCAGAAACAGGAGGGAGAATAAAGTCTTCATTTCTGTTTTGTGGTTGCTGTTGTTGTTGTTGTTGTTGTGGGTCGTTGCCTGCATTCGGCATGTCCATATTTGAAGCGGCGGTAGCAACTGGCACAGGTTTATGGAGGTCGTTATGATGATAATGAGGGTGTGGTTGAGCAACCTCCGTTGTAGTAATAATATTATTCGCAAAATTGGTGGTGTTCGTTGGTTGATGGTTGAAAGACTGTGGCAACAAAGGAGGTAGCATCACGTGGCTTCTTGTTTCATGGGGTGGTGAATGATGGTGTTGTTGTGGGTTGAGGCAATCAGAAGAAGAGATTTCAGTGTTGGAGAGAGGTTGCAGTTTCGTGGGAGGAGAAAATGCCGGTATAGACGGTACAGACGTGCTGAGTCGTTTCCCTTGGGGACTATCTCGTACAATAGGTGCAACAGGGTTGGCAGTACCGAAGGAACTAGATGATGATGAGGAAGACGTCGAATAGAACACATCCATGATCTCCGTAGGTGAGTGTGGGTAGAGTGAATGAAGGCTGCTGTGAGCGAGAGAGAGGAGGACAAATGGATTTTTTGTTTGAAAAAATTTGATGGCCCTGTTTCGAATCAAGAAGGTATCGTGGACTGAAAAGGGTCGAAATGACGGGTAAGGCATTGAAGATAGGTTTGAATTAAGGAGTTGATTTGGAAACAAGATGTTTCCTTTGCCATGCTGATCTGGAGATTCTTCAAATTAATACAGATGGGTAGTGCATGGTGGAGTCCGTAAAGCCCACATATGTGTTCCATCCTTTAAGTGAGTTGCTGCTTGTTTTTGCCAACCCGGCTATTTTCGTAAAATTGCTTCTTTGAACAAATAGAGCATTTCAAGATGTTAAATAGAGGGGATCTGGAGGAATGTTCATAAAGATTGAATGATCCGTGTTTGTGAGTTGATTCGTCTTGTACAAGTTGTTATAGTTGGTTCTGCAATAAAATTTATTAATGATGACATTTTCATTGGGCTTGAGAACAAATGGATTACAACACAAAGTGAGATTTGTTGATACCATCATAGTTACTTGTGCTGCGCGATAAGGATGGATTCAGATTTCTGCTAATATCAGTACTAATGGTGGAGCTTCGTGTAATACCACTTCCGTATGAGCTTGTACCACTCTTTGTAATAGAGCTAATGGCATAATTACTTTGGCTAGCTTTGATTCTACGGGCCTCTCTTCTCGTTTGAATGGTGCTTGGCTTTCGTTCTCTCTTTGGTAACTTATCTTTGTACTGTTTTCTCACTTTGTAGCCACGAAGGAATTTTTGAATACAGATAGCAGCAACTTGTTCCTTCAAAGTGACACAGTCCTTGTAAATGAGGGAGGCAGCACGGCGATTTTGTACATCTAAGGCAGTAGCATCTCTCAAAATTTCTCCAATATTTTTCTCTAATTTTGGATGATTCAACAGTGGAGAGAACTTGTTGGAGTAACTATCATTTCCAAGAACAACTCTTAAAGCGTCAATGAGTGTCATGTTTTGTGTTTTGAGTGTTTTGATATCAATTTTGTGATACAACAACAACTGTGTCATGACTGAACCAACACTAAACACATCGGAGAGAGGGTTTGCCATGGAAGATGTCTTATATTCTGGTGCTGAATAATCACTCTTGACTACGAATTGAATTTTTTCATCTTTCCTTAAACAAAATGCAAAATCAGAGAAAACAATGTTCAAATTTTCGTCTAAAAGAATATTGCCAGGAGTGATGTTTCCATGAACCCATCCATTCTCACTCAAGTATATAAGACCCTCAAAACACTGACAAAGTATTTTGGTAAATAATACTGGAGTTAAAACAATCCTAGGCTTTTTTCTCAAAAAGCATTCAATTAAATCTCCAGTAGGATAGTATTGAAGCACAATATGCTTGGATATGTGATCTGTGATATGATCTTCGTCAGTGTAATCAAAGCTGTCAATATATTTTGAGATGTATCTGTTATTCATTTGTTTTAACACCTTAATCTCTCTCTCATATAACTCTTCATTTCCTAGAGTGCACTTTTTCATTGCCATATTATGTCTTGTTCTTTCATCTTTCACTAAAATTATTGATCCACAAGCATTTCTTTTCAGTAATCTTTCACAGAATAGTGTTTCTCTCTTCTTTTTACCTTCCAATACTAAAAGAGCAAAGCATTAAATAGTATTGATTGAATTCCAAAAATTGTTTCAATTACTTACAATAATCAGGAAGGGCATCTTGTTGGGCTTGATCTATTGCAGGAGTTGCATATAAATCAATCCTGTTGGAGTCATTATCAAGACTATCTCGTCCACCACAAAGGAAACATGCAAATAGCTTTCGGATACCTTTTGGCTTGGATACATTCTCGTCGTCGTTATGGCTGGAATTTGCCTGCTTGTCATTTAATGGATCTTTCATGCTGATATTGATCGAGGACTATTTTTTAGGTTGTTAAAGAGGAATTAAAATTATGTGGTGACTATTCATGCAAATAAACTTACATGTCTACTGCTTTTCCTTCGATCAAACATTTCAGCACTAAGAGTTTCTGATTCTTCATCGTCTTCATCCATGTCAATGACGACCTGAGGAACAGATTCAAAATTGTGCAATTGAAAGTCTTCTCCGTCTCCTGATAAATGAGGCTGATCAACTCCCGAGTGGAAATAATGAGACTCACCATTCCCTAAAGATGCAAAACTGTCGTGATACTCTTCTAATTCTTCCTCGACATGTACTTTGTGTTGTTTTGATGGTTCGTCTCGTTCTGAAAGGGAATTTAGCCGAGAAACTAAATGATCTGAAGATGGTCTAAATGGAGAGAGAATACAGTCTTTTGCAATTGTAAGGAGGGATCTAATAAAGGTAGACGATGCTTTTGCTCCAAATCTTGCTGTGACTTTTTCCTGCACATCTACTTTCCATTCGAAATTTTCAGAATGAGGGTTGATGTCCCTCATTGTCAACATTTTGAGAATAAGTAAACCGAACATGTAAACATCATTTTCTTTGGAGAACTCTGTGTGGTGAGTTACTTCTGGTGCATAATTAAAATCAATTCCAACATGGAGGATATACGAAATACCAATACCTGGAAATTGAAGAATAGCTCTTTTGGCTTGATATTTAGAGGTACCATCGTAGCTTCTATTGTTAACTAGTAAAACACTATGTAGGTATAAATTGTTGTGAGTTAATTCTGATCGATGCAACTGTCTCAAACCATTTGCCACATCCAAGAGAATGTGCTTTACAAATCCAAAATCGTTTAGTAAGTTCACGGAATTGACATCTGTAAAAACGTCCTCCAATGTTTTTAACTGTTGTGATTGATAGGTATTCATGACGTTAGAGTCTCTACATATGAGATAATATGTAGCATCATATTCTTCTTCATCTTTGTATGCTTCATCATATGGAATCACATTAGGCATTAATTTGTTGTTGTCAATCAGTTTTTTGAAAAGTCTTCCAGTTTGCAGTAATGTTCCGTGATGAACAAATACCAAGCAACTTGGAGAGGCTGGTGTATTTTCTGTGTATTGAAACACCTGAACGACATCAGATGCGTGTTGATAAATCAATTTTGGTTGTTTGAAGTGTTCCGTAAATTGATCAAAAGTCATCAATTTGGAATTGCTTCCAGAGAAGGATTGAAGACTCAATGATGATGTACTTCTCATATCTATCATTTTCCAATTGCCTTTAGTAATAGTTGACTGTTATTGATATTATCGGTAGAGAATGATTTTAGGGTGAAAATGAAATAAATATAAACTCTGATTTCCCAAATTAAATTGTTTCGATGATATTTGTTATAATTATCTTCGATTATCGATAACAAATATTTTGATTGTGATACGGATGGTGATGATGAATTAAAAAAGGTTGTTGCAATGCAGCCCGTAATCACAATTATCAACCATCAAAAAAAGCGCCGTTGTTGTTGAGCTATTTTTTGTGTGGGTTCGTCTCTGGCAGTTGAGACTCTTTTGGAAATTTGTATTATCTGAAAAGGCGTATAGGCAGTCAAAGAGGAGCAACCAAAAACAAGGTTTTACGAACACGCACACACACACTCGGGTTGAGTGAAACACATGTGTGAATCATGACTTTTGGTGAGTGCCAAAGCATATAAATCCTTTATTTAGAACGAGTCTTTGGAACACTTCGACTTCTCCGATTCAAACAGCACCTGAACATTCACTCGACACGAAAACACGTGTGTTGGCCTCTCTCTCTCGTTGGGCGCAAATAGGTCATTTAGTTTCATCGTGGCACGTCAAACGCACACACAAAGAAAAACATGTTTTGCAAAGTGGTGCTTACTTTCTGCAGCCGAGTCTTTCTCATCGTTTTGGGGCTTTTTCTCGTCCTTATTGCCATTCCGTTGAAACCTATCAAGACTCGGCATTTACATTCACTCATTCGATACATTTCAAAGAGCACTCAACATCATCAACTCTTAGAATTGGAACGATTCCGAGTGCAAACCAAATGCGGTTCTTCCAAGCATTTGAATCAAAAACCTTTGAAAATTGTTCAATTTTCGGATTTGCATTACGATGCATTTGAAGAGCCTCCCACACTACCCAAACATTTAGAACAAGAAATGATTGAAAAAGTGAAATTGGAAAGACCTGATTATGTGGTCATTAGTGGAGATTTTGTTCATGGTGAAGTGAAAGTTTCTGCTCCGAAATTGTGTCGAGAGGTATTGAAACCCATTTCAATGGTTATGAAAGAAATTCATGAAGACCATTCAAACAGAATGTTTGGTGTGTTGGGAAATCATGATTTACATGCAGGTCAACGAGATTGGTTAGTCTCCATACTAGAACGAGAAGGAAATGTTCGTATTTTAGATAATGATTTTTATTACAATGAACAAGATCAATTGTTGTTGATGGGACTTCCTGATTATGACAAGGACTATTTTAACACGGCTATAGTGGCACATCGAATGAAAGACATTCCTATTTCACCATGTGCCACACGAATTGTACTCTCTCATATTCCTGATAGTGCTGATTGTTTGCTGTTAAACAAAGTTAAGGAAAGTAAGGGTCGATGTGGAGCTAATCTGAATGCCCAAATTGTACTTTCTGGTCATACCCATGGTGGACAGTTTAGAGTTCCATTCATGAAAGAGGGAGTGATTGCATACATGTTCAGACAGTTACCTGACTCGGTCATGAACTTTCTACTAAATGCCATCAAAATGACCAATCCTGTCCTGCATTGGGAATGGAGTGGAGGAATGTTTGAGAAGGATCCAAACAGCAATGACTTGCAGAGTTATAGTAGTCGTGAATTGAAGCTGAACGACAACAAGACTTATCTTCATGTCAATCGAGGTGTTGGTGGACATTTTGGATTTCGATTATTTTGTCATCCAGAAATGACAGTGCTTGAATTGCAATGAAAGTTCCACTCGAAATCATGGAACAAGAACTCACATGAAAAGTCTCCTCACGAATGAAACACACTTCTGATTCAATAACATGAATCCATGAATGACTGGCTCTATATTGTTCTTGTGAAATATAATGTGTTTGTTGGATCCAACAAGCTCCAAATTGAACTTCAAGATGAGATTCAACTCTAAAATTCAACTTTAAAAAATGAGCACCAATAGGTGAGTGTTGCCGGAGAGTGGTCAGACTCGTTGATCGTGAGGATATATTATTGTTCAATTAATTTTAATAATACTATATGATTCTTCTCTAGCTCTTTTATAAAGATTGGAATTATCGGAAAACCATCATGTGGAAAGAGTACATTATTGAATGCCATTGCTGATGCAAATGCAAAAACAGGAAATTATCCATTCACCACCATCGAACCCAATCATGTAGGTGTTTCTTTGATGATGAACATAGTTATGAAACCAACAATTTTTGAAAATAATTATTTTGATCAATATATTTATGGGCCATTAAAATTGTTAAAAATTTCAATCCAAATGTTTAACAATTTTAACATTATTTGAATCCAAATAGGGAACAGCTTTATATAAGGCCAGTATTCCATGTCCATGTGCAGAATATGGTTTGCAGAAATACTGTAAACCAAAATATGGAAAATGTGCCAATTCTGTGAGATACATTCCAATTAGTGTGATGGTAAGTTGTCAATTCATTACACTCCAATTGTGGTGATGATATTTTTAAAAGGATGTGGCTGGACTAGTTCCTGGAGCTTCTTTGGTAAGAATTCATAAATCATTTTGGATTTTTTAAATTCATAACCTTTTTAATTAATTTGAAATAGGGAAAAGGTAAGGTTTTTTGAACAACTTTTAATAATTAAAATATTTTAAAAATATTAATAAGGTTTGGGAAACAAATTTTTGGACGATTTAAGACATGCACATGTATTGATTCATGTATTAGACGTCTCTGGAACCACCAATGAAAAGGGAGAAAACTGTGAAGGATACGATCCTATCAATGACATTGAATGGCTTGAAAAAGAAATTCACGATTGGATTTTTAATAATTTATGGAGCCGTTGGGATAGTATCGTAAGAAAGCATCGACAATGCAAAAATACAATTACTGAAACATTTTCTCAACAACTTAGTGGTTACGGATGCAATAGAAAATTTATTGTTTCTTTTTGTGACCATTTAGCTCGAACAATGACTCAACTCATTGATGACAATGTTAACGAAGAAGAAAAAAGAAATCTCTATTCCAAACATATCAAGCCACTTGATAAGTGGTCTGAAGAGGATCTTCATGCATTTGTTTCCATATTTGTGTCATTCAGATTTCCAACTTTATATGCGCTGAATAAGATTGACCACAAAGCGAGCTCCAAATATATTAACAAATTTTATGAAAAGTATGACAATGATCGAATTGTGCTCACTTCAGCCTTAGCTGAGTGTTTTTTAAAGAACATGAGAAAGAAAGGATATATTTTTTACAATGAAGGTGACAGTGAGGTTAAAACATTTGAAGATTTTGAGGAAAACGATGAAGAAAGAGTATGTAATGTTGTTTCTAACATGCATTTTGTATTGGTTGATGATAACATTCCTTACATAGAAATTACTAAAACCAATCACCGATCAGAAAAATTTACAAATCCTTCAAAATATTAAGGATTTTGTACTTGCGAGATTTGATTCGACAGGTGTCACAGAAGCCATAAAAAAGGCTGTAGATCTTCAAGAACCTGTCATTATATATCCAGTGAATCAAAATATTACTCAACTCTCAGAACACATGAAAGATCGAGAAGATGTGGAAGATGTAAGAGTCTTTGAGGATGTGGCTCTCATGAGATATGGCAGCTCTGTTAAAAGTTTTGTGAGCAAATTCTACCGTTCAATTATACCCACTGAGCAGCAAATTATTTCAGAATCTGGAAAACCAATGCTTCCTCCATATTTCGTCGAAGGTATCGATGGAAGAAGACTTGCTGAACATCATCTCTTTAAAAAAGATTGCAACAATATCATTCGAGTGGTATTCACTGGCAATTAATGAATTATATTGTTCATTCCAAATATTATTAATATTTCATAATTTTCAATTTATAGAATATTTTCATTGTTACACACTAAATGTCAACAGAGCAATAAAACATGCAAGTAAGACAGAAAATTCCAAAGTATTTCCACCATTGATGACTTTTCCTCCAAGTGTGCAAGGAGATGGATTTCCAACCTCTGTAGAGCAGAAATAATCCAACTTTTTGTTTTGTTCTGGAACATCCCAAACAGGTTGGAGAGCCCAATTGATTGCACCTCCATCACGTGCCCAACACTTGATATTCAAAATTGGAGACATTTCAAGTGACACGTTCGAAAATAATATTAACATGTTTTCATCGATGAATCATGTCACTCACTGATTTTACACACAAGTTCAGACTGACCACTTACTCCATAGGCGTAATCTTTGCAAACTGAGTAACAAATTTCATATGGAACGATGGTGCCATTACCTGTATTGTTGCAAACAGGAAATGCACGTGCGCATGCAAAATTTTTCCATGCATCCCTACAAGAGGCTTCATAAGGAAGAAAACCTGAAGTACTGGAATAGACATTTGAAATATTTGTTTCCACATCTTTGTAATTATCTTGAATACATCTTTGAAAATAAATTTCATCAAAATTGTGAATAATAATAAAAATAATTAAATTGTGAATAATAATTAAAAATTGAATATTTAGACATCATTCCAATGTTCGACCGAAACACCATGGTGTTACAATAATGTCATCATAATTATGAATTGTTTTTTATCATCATCATCACACGTCCATCCTATTCATCATTATTATGATCCACAACCTACATGTTACTTCCTGCCGGAATATATTGGGCACAAAAACTTAGATCGCTCGGAGGAGCGCCACATGATTTACACGTCGGTAATGAATGAATCATCCAATTATTTGTTATCGTGAGTAACATAAATACACAAACGACTATTGTTGTTGACAGAGCTAATATACAACGTTGATGATGAGCTCTCGTTGAACACTGACAGGATGACATGGTCAGCGGCAATTTTATTTTGTGGCAATTTTTCTGTGGTGACAAGAGGATGTCAAAGAGCTGAGCTACACCATGACATTCCACTCACGTTCACAAGAATAACATACATCTCACAAATATCAATGATGCATCAATGATTATAAATTAATTTTCAAAGCAGAGGAAGATGATGAGGAGGAGATAATGACCTCTTCTTGAGGGGTGTTATTTTCTGGTTCATCATCAGATTTCATTTCAGAACTATTATTCTCTTCCTTGATAGAAGGTTTAAACCAATCTCCAACTTGCACTTGTTTTCTTTCCGATTTAACTGAGGAAGGCACCATGAACCCACAAGCCTTTCCACGAAAACTAACAGCACTTTTTGTGGAATTGGAAGGCAATGTATTTGAATATCCTAATGGTTTAAAAGTAATTCGTTCCAAGCCACAACTAGGAAGAGTAGTCCATGGATCATATTTTGATGCAATTAAAAAGGCCGTTAGAGAAGCCATATCTTGATTTCGTTTCTTCTCTTTGAATATTCTGTGCTTTTCTCTGTAGGAGGCGAGTTGTTCTTGAATGGATGGAGTTTGAGGATTGGATGGTGAGCTTGTTTCTAAAGAAACCAGAGTGGAAGGATTTTCCGTTGATGATGATAGTGTTTGGTTCATTGTTTTCAAAATGATATTTTTAGGTGCTTATATGAATGCAGTACTGTATTGAATTGTTTTTTGTGTAATTTGGACTCGTTGGGGATGAGGTTATTGGGATGGAGAATTCGTGGATGGACTTTCAAGACACAAAGTGTGGACAACAGACCTATGATGCGTTATTCAAAGATGATGGTAATAAGTACGACTTATTGTTTGAAATGGAAATTCGAGTAATAAAAAAACAATATTATTCTCGTCCAACTCCACGTGCGGACTCAATCTCTGAATTCAATGAATAGAATCATGAGCCAAGTTACATCCCGAGCTTCCAGGATGACTCAACTCTTGACGGAGAGATTTAAACCTGTTCTTGTCCTCAATTTGGAAGACCAATCACACAGACATGCACATCATGTGGAAATGAAAAACTCAAACAGCAGCAGCAACGGAGAAACTCATTTCGATTTATTAATTGTGAGTGAGAGTTTTGAAGGGAAGAAGCTAATTGAACGACATCGCATGGTGAACGAAGTAGTGAGCGAAGAATTCAAAAATGGATTACATGCACTCTCGATCAAGGCCAAAACACCTTCTGAATATGAAAAACAAGTTTCCAACAGCAGTAATAAATAATTGGACCTAGTTGAGTATAATGGATGGTTGATTAAACAGTTTCGTTTTTTATATTTATATTGTTTATAGTTTATACAATGCAGATGGTCAAAAAGGCTTGGTGTTGAGCCACAACAGTAAAAAAATTTGCCAATTTTGAATTCCGATCATTTCTTCTTCACGATCTGTCTTGGATTTGTCAATTAGCACTATCATCACGTGGTTGAGCAGTTTCTTTCATTGAAATCTTCTATTGTAAATTTAATATTTCAACAAGTATAATATATCATGTCGGAAACGTTATCATCAACAATTACATTAAATGTAGGAGGCCAATTATTTACAACCACAAGATTTACGCTCTCTCAGCAAGTAGGAAAGAGTGAATTGGAACATGTGTTAGCCTCTATAGTAAACGGAAAGCATGCAATAGAGAAAGATCGTGATGGTAATATATTCATTGATCGTGATGGAACTTATTTTCATTACATATTAAATTATCTGAGAAATGGAGGAAATCTTTCACAAACAACATTACCATCAGTGAGATATCAACCAATAATTGCAAGAAGTTTACAATTAGAAGCAAGCTATTATGGACTTACTGAATTAGTGGATTACTTCACTGTACAACGATGGTTATTGAAAAGGAGATTTCAATTGGCAAATTGTCATCCCAATGTCGTAGTATTAGATGGAGGAAAAACCTTAATTTGCAAAGAATCAAGTGGAAAAAATTGGTATTCTGTGTCGTCTAAATACCCAATAGTTCACATGGATTATTCAACGCATGTTCCTAGCAATGACGGCTCTCTTGACAGATATGAGGAAGAGGCAAAAGAATTTGATGCCGATGAAGGATTTTCCGATGTTGAGGAGGTCAATGGGTTCCCATCTAGCAACAATTATTTCCTTAATATGGCTGGTGTGACATCTGTAGATGGAAATGTTACGGATTTGCAGAACTATCAAGTTCATGTACCATCACAATCAAATCGACAAGCTCCTCAAGTTGATGAGATACAGATCACAGCGTCAAAGCTGTCAATATATTTTGGAAACATGAAGCTGTTGAAATTTCATGTCAAAAACTACTATGAAATAGTCATCGAAAACACCAAGAATTTTAACATTGTACTCGGAATTTCCAAGCAAAAGACATCCTATTTGTAAGTATCGATCACCATGTATTACAGTTTTCTGAAAGATCTTTCTATTCAGCCATGATTCTTGGACAGTTGGATTTATTGCCAATTCATATGGATTCAACGTTTGGTCCATGAAAAAGTACACAAAAAAGACTCAAATCGATTAGTAAGTAATAACTGTACAGTTCTGAACATTCTACAATTTATTGAAACAAAATCCATCGTTAAACATTGAAGTGGAGAACGATGTGAACGAGGAGATCGAGTAGGCATGTATGTGAATACAGCATTGGGTTACATTGAGTATTTCAGAAATGGAAGAAGTATGGGCATTGCTTTTGATGGTCTCACTAAGGAGCTGTCTGAAGGAAATTGGTATGTGGTCGTGAGTTTGTACAATCAAGGCGATTGTGTCACATTAAACACGAACGCAGTAGCTCCTCCCTCCTTAAGAGAAGAAGAATATCTCCATAGCAGCAATGACAACAGCAAGATGGAAGAATTGAAATAAATCTCGTATTTCAATTTATATATATTAATTCTTGTGCCATTCCATAAAAAAATGAAGAGTGGAAAAAGAGCACCTCCTCGGAAACACAATGATGACAATCGGAGTTTAGAAAATACTCTTGACTTGTTGGAACAACTATTCTCACTCATTGATATGATACAAGTTTCCTTCTCTAATATTTATAAAGCCATTTCAATTCCGATTCAATACGTTGGAAGAAAAATTGGAGAAAAAAGCAGTAAAATTGGACCCAACCTATTTGATACATTACTTGATTTATTTACACCAGTGCAAACTATCTTTGATCAATATCAAACATGTATGTGTGATGATGATAATTATTCGGATATTGTTTAAACAATGTTGCAATTTTTTCTATTTAATTTCAAGATTATGGATATTACAGAGGAGCCACTTATTTTAACCCTAATGAATTACTTGTCACACGAGTATTCAATTATTTCGAACGAGTGATTCATAATTTTCAAGAAAATATTAAAAAGAAATTTTCAGATGAGAATGTTGGAGGATTTTCACACTATGTGTTGAAAACCATTATCATTGGAGGCTTGTTTTTGGTGTGGAGATTTTTGTATATTTGGTGGAGATTTAAAAAAGAGGCGAATCAATCAAGCCAATTTAATAGCTCTAATTTCATTGATGGACATGTCATTCAATCATTTGTGGATCAAGTGAGTCTTTCACAACATTTACAAAAGAGGAAAGAATGGGAACGACTCAGAAGAAGCCCATTTTCACATTCTACCTCTGATCTCGCTTATTTAAACTCACCTTACTATCATTTACAAAGTCCTTACTTTCCCCTTCGAATTGGTCCAAACTCAACAAGAGAGAGAAATTTCTTTACCTATTTTCCCTCTTATAGAAATCGAATTGAAGATTTAGAATTCAGAGAAGAAAATGCGCCACATCACACTTCTTCTTCCTCATTATCATTGGATGAACAGAGAACGAACCATCGAGCTCTCTATCCTAGTAGTGGTGGCCATCCTTCTCGATTTTACAATGACATGCTCCGTCACAAAAGTTTGATTGGAATGCGAAGAAGAAATACTCTACAAGGAGAGAGAAATCCTTCTTTACCATTCCTCGGACATGATACTCCGGTGACATCTTCATCCTCATTACCAATGCCCGATTGCTTTGATGACTACATTCGTAGTGGTGTTCTCTCTTCATCCATCACGGATTACATTTAACATGTGTCAAACTCTGAGGAATGGAGATGTAGTTTTCAACCATGTTGGACCATATTGGATGAGAAATTTGATCCGAGATGAAAGAGTATATGATATCATTTATTGAATCTTTTGTTTCAACAAATTCTCCAAATCAATGTCCACAAATGACAATCTTCGAAGACCCTTCGAGTTTAACAGTGAAGAATTTTGGTCCTTGTGAAAATGGAGAGGATGATTAAATCCATGGTGATGACGATGATAGGAATGGGTACCATCCTCCTCCTCTTCCTCCTCACCATTGTCATCCATAGACATGATCGTATTTTCATCAATAATGGAAGTCTGACTACATTGATCCATCAACATCATTTGCTCTCGAATGCCAAAGACATCATCTTTTTCATGATGATTAAAAGCAGTAGTGGCGACAGTATTAGTATTGGATGAATAAGTAGTGGAAAGTGAGGAACTTTTTGAGGTGCTTGTTGTTGTTGTGGATGAAGTAGTCGTGCTGGAAGAGTGTTGTTGTTGTTGGCGTTGGTGTGAAAAAGATTTCTTTTGTGAGTTCAGAGAAGACATTAAATGATGATATTCCGTCGATGAAATGGAATGTTTCCTTAATGAATGAGAGAGAGCGCTTGCAGATATGGGATGATGAGGATGAAAGGTAATCTGATGAGGAACCACTGAAATGACACTTTTTCTTCTCTTCTTGGAAATAGTGGAAGAGACATGTTTCTCATGAGGTAATAATGGTTGTGAAGGAGTGTGTTGTTCATGATGTTCATGTTGTTCATGAAAATGATGAGAGAGTGAATTGGATTCTAACATGGCGTCGTCATTGAATTCATTTTGTAATGTCTTTGTGTTCATCTGTTTCACAGGTGGAAACACAAATTGGGAAAACATGTGATCATTTGGATGTTGTTGAGGAATATCCTCATGTGAGGCAATGTGCTCTTCTTCGTGATGATTTGAAATGCTGCTGTCTTCATCAGTTAGACTTTTTGTAGTACAATTAGTATTAGTGGTAGAAGAAGTATGAGGCCCAATGTTAGGAGAATGATGATGAGGATTGAGGGAAGCTGGAGCACCAAGACTTGCACCTGCTGGTTTCATCATTACCAGTGGGGATTCACTGTATGAAGGAGAGGAGGTTTTGCTGACATTAGTGGTTGCAGTAGTAGTAGTAGTATTAGAATTAGTAGTGTTGGCTGAAGTCATTATTGGAGGAGGAATATTATTGGTCATTGGGCAACAAGGTTGTGGTGGTTTCTTTGTTTTTGCAGAATATTCTGAGATTTCACAAGTTAAAAATTCGAGTATGTACGAGAGAGAGAAGAATTTATCGATTGATGATGATGACGAGGATCGTCACTATACTGCTTTGAATGATTTCTTTTGTTATTGCAAATGACATCCAAATGGACAACGAATTCTACACTTTCTCATTGAAGGATAACACCTTTTTAGTATGTTTTCCTGTTTATTCGAGTGAGGAGACATTGTGTTAGAAAACTAATCAGTGATTTAGCTAATAATGGATTTGAGAGAGCGAGAGTTTAAGATTGTAGCGGGATGGATTGAAATGATTGTGGACTCCACAATATCCATTCGCCGAAAGAAGGCAAATCAATTTTGGTGGAACACACATTGTCGACTGGCGTGTGATAGCAGTTACAACCTTGCAATAACTATGATCATCTCGAGTGTGTCGACCACGAGTGAAAGTGAACGCATGACAACATGGAAACATTTTTAAGGGAGAATAGAATAGAGGAGACGCTCTTAGGTAGTTAAATAATAACATTCAGTCGGACACGTTTTTAAGGGAGCCTCCAATCAAATCCAAGTAACAAGGAAAAGGTGAAAAAGAGAATTCTCTTCATGTTTATTACATCATGAAAAATGACTCTAATGATGGTCGTTAACCTAGGATCACACATTGTCATTCTTCTTTTCTCCCTTCAGCAACTTTTTAACTTCCTTTTGGAGTTTGAAACTAAAAAAAAACGCGCGAGGCATCTCCGAACACGACCCTCTTCTTTTGACTCCACGTGTGCCAACAGATTCATTCTTGGAGGCTTGTGTTTCATCCGGCCGATATATATGCACTACGAAAAAAACAACATCCTTTTGAATTACCACTCGTTCTGCCTCGACCGTATCTCCTCAACATTAATTTTGAAGAAGAATTCAGGAAACATTCACAACATTTCAAGCATTTTAAAACAAGGGACGAATCTTCTGTAGTTTCCGAAGAAGAAGAAGAAGGCAATTTTGATATGGCACGAGTTGATTCTAACATGAACACAAGTATGGACAGTACTGAAAATATACATTCCATTCCTCAACATTTGGAAGTGAAAATTGAACAAGAAGAAGAAGCGGGTCAATTGTCAACACGTGAAAAAGATCAATCCACAATATCACCATTGCCAGAATCTCAGGAAATCTCGCCGAAACAACCACCCACACCAACGCCTCTGCCTTGGGCGAAATTATTCGTGGTCTTCTTTATGTATTTATGTGACAGTTTGAGTATTACTTCTTTGTTTCCATACATTTCTTTCATGGTGGCAGATTTTAATTTAACTGACAATCCAACGGGTATGTGTTGATCTTGTTGTCATGAAGCAAAGAAGAATTGAAAGGATTTTTGAATGAAATATTTGTATATATTTGAAAGAATAGAATATGGATATTATGTGGGATTAGTGGCATCTTCATATTTTCTATCACAATTTATTAGTAGTTTTATTTGGGGATATTTATCAGATTTAGTGGGAAGGAGGCCAGGTACGTGTTATGGATTGAGAAAAACACTTGTTTTCATATTTGTTGGAAATGAACTTGTTAGTGTTACTTTCTGGAGTGTGTTGGGGTGCATTTTGTGTGATGGCTTTTGGATTCTCAAAATGGTTTTGGTGGGCCTGTGTTTGCAGATTTATGTTTGGCTTACTGAATGGGTAAGTTTCCACAATTTTGAGATCAGTATTTATGTTGACATATTACAAACTTGTAGCAATCTTGGAGTAACAAAGAGCTATTTAGGAGAAATCACAGACAGTACCAATCAAACACGAGCGTTTGCTCTGACGAGTATTACTTTTGGCATTTCATCTGTGTTAGGTCCATTGGGTAAGTGGTTGTTGTTTTAAACTGAACTTTTAATTATTGAACGCTTTTCATACACAAAATTAACTGTCTCGACAGTGGGTGGAGTTTTCTCTCGACCTCATGCTCAATATCCTCGATTCATGGAATTATTTCCTGAGTGGATTCAAAATATTTCACGATTATTTCCTTACATTATTCCTAATTTGATCATTTCTGCTCTTGCATTTACTGGATTTACAATTGGATATTTTCGACTTCAAGAAACAAACAAAAATGGATGGTATTATAGAAAATTCTGTAAGACCGAACCAATTGCTGATCTCAATGATGATAGCATGAATCAAGAACTTTCAGAAATGAAAACCTCCAATGTGGATCCTTCCAACAAGAAAAACAATTCTCTAATGACTTCTCCTCCCACAATGAGTATGTCACGTGTGAATTTATTATCTAAGGATGGAAACCAAGAGAATACATCCATTAATGACATGGAAGAATTAGAGGAAGAAACAGCATTCGAATCTTTACAACCAAGAAAAACCCTATTCGAGCGCATCAAACAACGAATCAAATTAATTTTAAGTAATGAAATGCTGTCTTCAGCAGCACCTCTTACGACATGTACTTTATATATGCTTCTTGGAGCGAAGCAAGTCATGTTTGATGAGTGTCTTCCTTTACTTGCAGTCATGCCGATCGATAAGGGAGGAATGGGAATGACTTCGTATCAATTAGGATGTAAGTGCATTGTTCTCTTTTTGAACATAATATTTGTGAAAATTATGATTTTTAATATTGATTCATCTTTATTGAATCGTTTGCATTTAAAAATCAAAGTGGTGGGAGGATTATTAGGATTTGTCATTATTTTGCATCAAGTATTTATTGCTCATCATGTTATCAAAAGATTTACAGCTTTATATTGCTATAGAACGAGTTTATTGGCTGACATTATCATGAGTGTGATATTTCCAGAAATAATATGGCTTGTTGCGGATGACAATGCACCCACTTGGAGAATCATTCTATTTTGGATTACCTTAATTGTGTCACTCTTGTTAAGACAAGTCTCTAATGGTTATTCCTTCTTGGGATCATTCTTGTTTACAAACAATAGGTAAGTTTCTGAAGCAATATTGCTCCTTGAATATAGGTTCATTTTCATGTTGTTCCATGTGGAACATGATGGATTTCACAGTGTCTCTAAAAAGAATTATGGAAAATTGAATGGTACTGCACAATCGATGGTGGCACTCTCGAGAATGATTAGTCCTGTGGTTGGAGGAGCTATTTTTGCAAGTTCTGTTTCATCTTCATTTGTGTTGCGCCATCGTGTGATCTTTTACATAATCGCAGCAATTTCGATGTTCATGTTGTGTCTTTCGTTTGTACTTAACGCAAGTATTAACAAGCCAAAAGAAGAAACTAAATCTTCTTCAACAACTTCCAGTCCAACAACCTCTATTGAAAGTAAATAAAAATAAATAATCAGTGATCATCAACGTTGTGCCAGCATTAATAGCGATATCTTATTTTGTTGATAAAAAACTTAACCTTATTTCCAAAACCGATTGAAAATATCGAAAAAAGAAATCATTCAGTGAAACGACGGCATATCCGTCATCAAAATCATCACTACTTGCAGCAAACGATCGCCCATTTATCACAAACAAAAAACAGCTCTTTAACCACCAGAAGCAGCACACACGTCAAAATGTTCATTCACAATAATAATAGCCATGACCGTCATTCTCGTCCAGATTCATCATCTTTGATTTATAAATCGTTGGTTGTGTGTGCTTGGACAACACTTTTCATCATTTCAGTTGTTGCTGCTCAACTTTGAATCAACCCAATGATAGACCTAGTGTCGGAGAGTGGTACACATTCAATGGTATTAAAAAGACCATTCCAGGATCAACATTTAATCCACTCGGATTGTTTTCCTACGATCGTGGTCATTTGGTGGCAAACAATGACTTGAGACGTGCCACCGATAAAAAGTTTACCTTTCTTGTCATTAACAAGGCAGCTCAGAATTCGAATGTGAATCGAGGTATTTGGCGACATGTGGAACACTCGTTGAGAAATGCCATTATGGATGTTGCTGCCACCAAGAAAAAGAACATTGAAGCCATTGTGGTGACACGACCTCTCTATGACAAGACAAACATGGCTTAACTGTGACCAACAAAAAAGAAAGATCCAGTGATCCAGCTCCACCAATTCAAATTCCAATGAGTTTCAACAAATTTGTCATCATTTCGTATGATGGAGGCATTAAGGAAGTCTTTTGTTTGCAAGTGACCAATCGTGACAATGTGGATTATAAAACGGAACAACAACGAAAGGAAATCGCTGCATCTGTCACTAAAGATTACGCAAATTGTGCAGCTGGAGTGAAAGCAGGAATCGATTTGGGTCCTGGACCATTCGCAACAGGAAATGTTAATACAGAAGTAGTGAAACAAATGGAGAAATTCAAAACAGGATGGGTCAATCCTTGTGGTTTTGGTAAAGTGGATCCTGTGGAATTCATTTTGGAAAAGAATGACCTCACAGCTTCCGAATGGAGACTCAATATTATGAATTTCAAACCATGCTCGAATTCTGCCAAGTGTCATCCTCGTGTGAAATCCATGTCTTTCAAACAAAACAATCATCTCTCGATAAAAAACAGAATGATCAATTCGTTCCACCCAAGTATGTCTACCACAAGACCGTTGAAGGTAAAAAAGATCCTGAACGAACGGTGAATATTGTGGGCACGAAGAAATCAAGACCTGTCTATTCTCAAGTCAATAAGGGTAAAAAATCAAGAGCCAAACAGGATGAACCAGATCCATCGTCATCAGCTCCATTGACACCACCTCCTTCACCAAAAAAGACGAACCCATCGACACCACCTTCCTCTCCAGGACCTCAATTAGTGACACCATCTCCGATTAAGGTGCTCCCAGCGAATAAGGTCGGAGGAATGAGAGTTTCTTCTCCAAAGAAGACCAAAGTGGGAGGAACACATTCATCCCCTTCAAAGAGGCAATAAAAAATAACAATTTGAAAGGCACTCTTCTTCTGTTTCGTTCGTTTTAGGTTTAATCTTCGGAGCAGCCACATGAAACGAATGCAATCTACTGCAACATCTTTTTTCGTCATTTCATTTTTTTTTTTATCACTGTCCATGCGTTTATTTGTTCGAAAATTCAAACGTTATTCATGGCTGTGTGTGCAATTAGTACAGTTAAAGGTGGTTCATGTCATCAAAGTTAGTGTAATTATTGTTGTAAATTTCAATTATTGTTTGTCATCAAGGTTAGTGTAAATTTCAAATATTGTTGTAAATTTCAATTATTATTCATGGTCGTGGGTATTTCATGTATAGTTTAAACTTGTTCAAATCAATGAAATTAGGATTAAAATCGTATTGTTGTTCAAATTCATTCCAGGTGAGTTTCAATTCTTCCATGAAAAAATGATTTCGTTTCATCCACATTTTAGTAATAGATCGATAAGCTTCCTTAGTAAATACTTTGTCCCATTTCTTACCCAATCCAACTTTAGCACCTGTTAGGCTATGGATATCTTGTTTAGTCTTGATGAGGTACAATAGTCGTTTGGAGAATTTCTTGTTATTCTTTGCATATATTGAGATTTTATATAAATTCCTAAACATTTCTTTTCTAACATCACTATAGTATTTACATTCAAAAATAATGTGTTGCATTGTCTCTCTACTACAGCAAGGACATAGCAAGTTCGTCTTGGATATCTTGTTTAAATTTTCCAAAGTCTTCATCACGTTCATTCTAATTTTAAATATTAGATTTAAGGTTTTGAAACCGATTCCTATTGAGGGGTAAATGTTGGTGAACTTTCTGTTCTTGGGAGGAAGGTTCTTTGGCGTATATGTTCTTTTGTGGAGGCGTTGAAATAGAAGTTTGTACATTGTTTGTCTAATGTTTTGAGTGTATAATACATTGTTGATAATAATATACCAATTATTGGATGGAATATTAGTAAGAATATTGTTACAATCAGCACCTTTCTTAGCAGCCCTATCTGCTAATTCATTTATGCGGCTATAGATATCTTGTTTACCTGTATGACTATTAACATGCATAATTTTGATCTGATCCTTCATTTTTAAATAATTACGAATTTCTTCAACATAAGGATCTCTAGATTTTCTGAATTGGAAAAGTTGGTCATAAATACTTTTCGCATCTATGACTATTGTTCTAGGAGTGTTGTTATCTAGCAATCTAACAACTGTGTGGAGCGCTTGAACTTCACTGTTGTAGGAAGTTCCTTGTCCTAAGGTGTGACTTGAGATGGAAACATTCTGATCAGTTACGATACCGTATCCAGCAATATTATTGTTACACGATCCGTCAGTACCAATTAGTATAGCTTTGTTCAAGAGGTTTGACATGGATGTGTTGTTACCAACATATTTGTAGTATTTGCTTTCGTCTTTGATTTTTCCAAAATCCATGCTATTGAGAATGTTGCGAATTTGGGTGACATGATTGGAATGTTTGATGTCATTATGTAATTTCACTTGTAAATTTTTAGGGTCAGGAACCCACATACTTAATCTGTTCCAATCTTTATAGAGCAGGAATTGTCTTAAACCTTTAGGGAATTTTCCATAAGGGATGAGAGTTTTTTCATGCCATTGGTCACTCGAATGCCACAATCTAATATTGGAAGATTTGTTCATGAAAATTATTCTCTTGAGATATTGAGGAATCCATGGGTCTGGTTTATACCAAGTAGGGATTGGATCATTGAGGATGTCAAAACCATGCTCCTGTTTGATTCGTTCACAAAGGAATCTTGTAGAAGATCCAAGACAAATATCATATTGTTCAAGGAACTTTCTGACTTTACACATTAGGTCCGAGTAACTCATTTCTTGAACAGAAATTAATCCAAATCCACCTTTGTCTTGATGAGTATAAAACCACTCGAGAGCTAATTTTCTCTTGGTTCTTAATCTTTCACATATAAAGTTGCGAAAGAATTTATCAATTTGTTTCTCTAGATGGTCATTAGCAAGAGGAATTAGGTGGTACAGTGCATACGGAACAATGTCTGTGTTGATAATTTTGACAATGTTCTGTATTGGAAAATTCCAGCCAATAGAGTTAGTTCTTCTTTTAACTTCTTCAATAATTGAAGTAGTGTATTTCTTTTGTTCCTCAGTATTATTGGTAATATTATTACCAAGTATAATAATAGAATCATTACTTTTGATCGTACTTCCAGATAATGTCTTGATACTACATTCCTTATCAGAGAAGAGGTTAGTTTTGGAATGATCTAATTCCATGTGATAGCCATGAAGATAGGTTTCAATGTCATGCAAAGAATTTTCAATTTCAGGTAGTTCGTTGGAAAATGAGTTCATTTTTCGTCATTTCATTTTTTTTTGATTTTTTTAATTAACAAAAATGAAAGCCTTGATTCAGTGCTGCTCCTTCTCATCATCAAGGCATTTGGTAAAACGATGCACTCTCTTCAAACAAGTCTCTAACCAAACAAAACTATTCAATCAACCCTCTTTGATTATTTTTCAAAATATCTTTGGAGTATCTCTAAACAAGGCATTTCATGTTTCAAAAATCGGAAAGAATTCAGATGACAAAGATTCCGAATTAGCACTGAGAGAGGAATATTATTCTAATAGAGTAATTCAATCTATGGAGGAATTACAATTTTGTGAAATATCGGAATATGATGAATGTAATGAAATAATTAGGAGTACAAATCTTAACAATAATATGGACTCGAAAAGAAGGAATTTGTACATCAATGCCTTGCTACGAAGATGTTTTATTGAACTTTATTATTTAAAGAATTATCAACAGGCCAAAGAAGATTTGGTTGCAGCTTCAGAATTGTTGATTGATAATGGTAACGCCCTGATGTTTACTTCTCGATTAAATTCAATGATTAATATTGGGGAATTTTCAGAGAAAATTGAGCATATACAAAAACACGGAGGAAATTTCCATGAGCTCATTCCAAGTTTAGAGATGAGAGCTCATGAATACACCAGTATCGGTCGAGTAAAATCCGCAATTCAAGATTTAGATGCATTGATTGAGATTTTGGAAAAGCATTATAAAAACCATCCCGAAGATGCAATCAGAATAGAACCACAACTGATAAACGTGTATAAACAAAGAATGGAGCTCTACACAAACATCAAAATGGAAATGGAGCGATTATATGATGTGGCTTCAGAGATCAAAAACCTCCTGAATGCTGACAGCCCCAAAGAAGTCATTGAACATTATTTCAACTCTGTGTCCGTGCATGATCGAAGACACAAAATTAATGCCTCAAATATGGACCTTATTTCAGAGTTCGAGAATGTTTTTGTGAAGGAAGATGAAAGAGAAAGGTATTGGGACGTAACAAACCCTAAAACATTTCGCAGTCAAATGACAACTCTGTATGGACAGGTCGTCCCAAAAGTTGTTCAAGTTGTAGTGAACGATTTGAAAAGAGCTAAAAAACTGGCAAGAGACAAGAACAGTCACGAACACTTATTTTCAGAATACGAGCTGCTCATCAAAGATGACGTTAAGAAAATGCGGGATATGAAGATTACGAAATTCTTGTGGATGGTTGTTTTGATATCAATTTTAACCATAATTTTGCTTGAGAAGATTGGGATTGTTGAGATACGAAAAAAGTAAAAATTTACTTGACATTTCGACAAACAATTGTGACATTCATTCCCTACTTGTAGTAACCTGGCACGACGTTTAACAATGACATTAAATTCTAGTCAAGTCTGGTACCTTCTCGCTTAGCATGATAGAATCTATTTCTGCATCTGTGAGTGCACGCTTCTTCTCCTTATAGAAGAGTTCTTCATCCTCTTGCAGGTATCCCTCAGGCTTGGATGCCTCTTCCAAACTGCAAATGAAATCCAACAAATAATTCCAAAATATTTACGTATGGTTGTGTTCATGTTGTTCATTGACGATAGTGGAATTTCATCCCGGCACAGAACACATTTCGTTAATTTTCATTGAAGGAATAATTAAAAATCATCATCATCAAAACCATTGAATGAATTCACTTACACTTGTTGATATAGAGCACTTAGGTGTAATTGGTCCACAACAAAAGCGTATCGGAGTGGTGATTCTTCCACAAGAGTATCGTTCTTTGGATCATAGGACTCCAATGCTCCATACAGCTGAGCAATACATTCATTATTCATAGCCTTCAAAGAATTGTGTACATATTCTTTCGGTTGTTTGAGTGCTTTTGCAACAGCCACTACAATAAAATTATTCAATCGATTTCTTGGAACAGATTTTGAGAGAGCCTCATCAATAACCACTCTATTTACTGTTCCCAGTCCATTCACGTATGCGGTAACATTTGGTGATGATGATTCATTTCCGAAGGCACGTCCGACAAATTCTTTATTTCTCAATTCTGTTTGTAATCTGAGTTTGGTCATTTCCATAAAGTGTTTAATATCCTCTCCTTGTTGAGGCGTAAGCTTGTGTCCTCGCACCAAAAATCCAATCAGTGTGTGCAAAGCACTCTTTGGTGCTTGGTGAGTTTTGAGAAGTGCTGAAATTTTCATTTTTTTTTAAAAATTTTATATTTTCAACGAAAATTTTCATTTCTTGATTCATCATTTCATAATAATAATAATATACTATCATCATAACCTACTATCATCATGAATGAATGAATTGATTTAAAAAGTAAAATGAGTGAGCCAAATTTTCAAAATTTACTGATTCAGACCATGTTGTGTAACATGGAACAAGGGACTTTCTTGAACTCTCTCAAAGTGCTGACATTTCCATCAAAAAAATGTCATCATCAAAACCAACAACTGGAAATCCACCAGACAGATTCAAATTGGCAGTTGTAGGAACTGGAGCTGTTGGAAAGAGTGCCATCACGTAGGTGTTTCACTTTTTCTCATACTCTTTTGACAATTTTTAGAATTCAATTCACACAAAATATATTTGATACGGATGAAATTTATGATCCGACCATTGAAGATGCATATTATGTTAAGAGAATGATCGATGGAGTGAGTTGTGAATTGGAAATTGTAGATACTGCTGGTAAGAATTTGATTTTAATTTTTCCAAAAAATTACGCACTTCTCGCCCTGCCATGGGCGCAAATATTTACAAATTCATCCTTTCATGAAAATCTGAACAGGTCAAGACGATTATGTAGCTCTTCGAGACACCTACATGAAAACATGTTATGGATTTGCTCTTGTTTTTGATTTGACTTCACAAAGCACTTTGGAAGAATTAAAAACATTTGTCGAACAAATTAATAGAATTAAAATGGAAGAAAACAAACCAGTGAATGGAAATTATTTCCCTGCTGTTTTATTAGGAAACAAATGTGATTTGAATTATTCAATGACTGAAAAAGAAGTCACAAATTACATGAAAAAAGAATTAGAAATTCATGTTCCAGTACTTTTCACATCTGCCAAAACTAGAACCAATATTGAAGAGGCATTTGAAGTGTTAATTCGAGAAATGAGAAATTTCAGAAATGCTCAATCTGGAAAACCACCAAAGAAAGAGTCAGGAGGATTATTTGGAAGTATTTCTTCTCATAAGGATTCTGATCGAGATTTACAAGCTTTCAAAGAACAAGAATAAATCATCTTTTAGTAAACACAAAGAAAGACTCATCACTTGGATTACTCTTACACACTCGTTTAATAGCTACTCTGATTTGGATCCATGTGACAAGTACACCCTGTCAGCAGATGAACACTTTACAACAACTATATTTAAAAAGTTCAATAAAAAAAAATGTATCCACTTGCCGATACGAACCATGGATCTAATCAACTTGCTGCTAATGAATCCAACATCGAATTTCCACCAGTTGTAAACATGCGAAAGATAGATTCCTATAAAACGTTTCCTCCAGAAATTATTTTCCACATTCTAAACTTTGTCATTAAAGATCAAGCTAACACGGAAGCATTGATTTTGCGTTGCATGCGCTGGAGACAACTTGGAAGAGATGCTTGTCGTATCATTCAGGAACAAGTTCGAGTGTTGGATGTTTCATCATTATTTACCAAATACTTGAAATTAGAGGAGAAGAAGAAACCAATCAAGGAAGCGATGGAAATATTGAAACATCAATTCCATGAAGCCTCTGAGAAGAAGACTTTGAAAAATTTAGAATTTGAAAAGAGAGAACAACATGTTGTGAAATATTTGGCAAATATTGTAAAATGTTTTCCAAATCTTGAAATTTTGAATTTGAATTATTGTGAAAGTCTAAATAATGAATTATTGAAAATTCTATTGCATGGTCTTCCCAAATTGAGAGAAATTTCATTACTCAATTGTTTCAATATTACTGAATTTAATTGTCCTCAATTTAATTTCAGAAAAATCTCTGTAGAGAACAATGTCTTATTGCGATGTAACATCTTACGACAAATACGAATCAACCAATGTGAAGACACACAAATTCTGGACGTGAATCAATCATTCAAAGTGTACATTAAGAATTTACTTGGTAAAACAATGGAACTCTACATCACCAATCAAGACACCGTTTACGATGTGAAACGATTGTATGGTGCCCTCACAGATATTCCAGCAGATTCTCAAAGATATATTTTCGCTGGTAAGAGATTATGTGATGAACACACTTTGGAATATTATGGAGTTCAGAAAGAAAGTACTTTGCATGTTGTGCTTCGATTGAGAGGAGGTCAGAATGCATCAATTACTTGTTCATCTGTGGTACTACCAACTGTGATGGAAAGGTCATCATCTCTTGAAAGGATGAACACTTGCTCAATTGTCCATGATAAAGTTGAGAGTGCTGAAACATCGAGCAGTAACATTGTCATTCAACAGTTATTATTTGGAGAACAATATGGATCTTCATCAACATTGAACGTTTATGAAATTGATCAAATGTTGGATGAAGAAATGTGTCACAGGATTGTGAAAGATATTGTTCAAGGAAAGGTCAAACATCAAGAAGAAGATTACAAACTTCGATCCAGTAATTTGTTGTATCAGTTGCAAACTCACATTCAAATGAATATTCTTCCTCAAATCAATTCAAGAAAGTTATTCATGAATGAAAAGCCACTCAGTCGAATTTCTGATCTATTTGTGGTTCATTATAGTCCAGAACAAGATGATGACCTTGTTTTACACATTGATGACTCTGTTGTGACCTTAAATATTTGTGTGGAATGTGTGAATTGTATTGGTAGTGAAATCGAATTTCTCAATTTGGAAGCCCATCCACATTTCAATACTTTGGATTGGAGAAGTGAATTGGATTTGTTGCACCATTCTCTGGAAAAGCAAGAATCTTCTGACACGAACAGTCATTCTCAGCTTTTCTTGGCGTCATTCAATCATTTGCAATTTTATCGAGTGACACCAAAGAAAGGAAAAGCCTTACTTCATTCTGGAAGACATCCTCACCAAACGTTGAAGATTAAGAGCGGTGAACGATTTAACATTGTTTGTTGGTTGGAATGATGAGAAGAATGCATGTAAAAATCTTATTATCCTTCCTTCACCACCACCACCACCACCACCACCATGGAAATCAAGACAGGTATTTGGCATAATTAGAAAAGGTTTCACTTTAGATCCTGTCAGTGGTGGTGGTCCCATGAGTGGTCTCGTTGGAAGTGTCCTTCTTTTTGGTGGAGATGGTTCTCATGAATCCTCCGTTGCAGCCACTTCCAATAATGTTTGGATGAAACGTGAAATTTCAATCGCTATTGCTGTCATCATTTTGACATTTGTCGTTTTGAGTGTTGTGGTATGGATTGTTGCAGTTTGGAGAAGTGATCAAACCTCAACATTGAATGCTTCTTCCAAGAATCGACTCCCAAAGATGAAACTATTGTTTTATATTTGTGGTGTCGGATGTCAAACCTTTGGTGTATTTTTCTTGTACATGTTTGCTGGATATTAAGATTATCTATTGCATGCTGAGTATCATACGAAACCAATTGTTGAGCCTACATTTGAGAGCGATGAAGATCAGCATGTCGAGCAAGTCATGTTATTAAGAAATGTCACATCGACCACTCTGACAGCTCTGGAAAGTATACCTCAATCAAAAATCAGAACCAAAGACTGAAGCTGCCACTGAAGAAAATAATTGAGTGGGGCATGATAGTATCATACGAACCATGTAAAAGTATTTACATTAAAATTGTTTTCATAAGATCATTAAGGTAAAAGAAAGCCGAGAAAAAAACAGTTATCACTAGCGACCACCAAGTTCAAGTTCCAATCAAAATTATTGTATCATTCATCACGAACATCAACTGGTCTATCCATTAATTGATCTTTTTTAAAGCTCTTTGTTTTAAATACTCAACAATTCCCTCCATTTGTGAAGTCATTAATTGCTGTGATTTCATACTTTCACAAATGTCAATGATTCGAGAAAAGTGAGAGGATGAAAAGCACTTTTCAATTTCTTGAAAATGCTGTACTATTTCGAGTTGATTTGGAGTGGCTTCCGACATGCATGTTTCCAAATAATACACTTTGATCGGTTTGTTCCTTTCTTTGACGGTTAAATTGTCCACAAAATAACACACCATTCGACTTTTGACTTTTTCAAAGGTTGTTTCTCCAATTAGAATTTGTGTCCTTAATGCATGATTCAACTCTTCCAAACTCGATGCAATATTTAAAGCATCTCCTAAAACTGTGAAATTCACTCGAGCACGACTATTACTATTTCCTGAAAGAAATTCTCCACTATTCACAGAACATGTAAATGCCACATTTGGATAATTGAGTGTTTTCCATTTAGAGTTGAGAAATTGCATGCGTTCACGAATTTGAATAGCTGTCCGACAGGCCAATTCTTGATGCATACTGCTGTTATTTGCTTCATTCCAGACCACAACTAGTCGATTTCCCAAATGTTTGTCAATCATTCCCTTATTTCGATCAATAATTTCATAAATTTCTGAAAAGAGATCTGTACTTTGAGAAATGAAATTCACTCGATTAGTTTTTTCTGCTAATAATGTAAATCCATGAATATTGAGAATCATAGCCGATCCATACATGTGTGGTGATGTGACCATTTTGTTGTTGTCGACGTGTCCAAACCAATGTTGAACCACTAATTCTGGAATATATTTTGAGAAAATTCTTAAACCAAATCTCATCATGTTCAAACATTGTTGCATTTGTCGAATGTCATACAACAAGGAAAATGACGATTTCCAATCCTCTTGTTTCTCACTTTTCACACTGAATTTCACCAATTCTTTCAATTGTCTCTTGATTCCTCTCAAAGCCATTTGAATCCATTGAACCACTGTCATTAATAGAATGAGTCCCAAAAACAACACCACAACAAAAACCACCACAGAAGAAATACTAGTCTGAACCACTTCTTGTGCGAACCATCGTTTTGGAATTGCAATCACAGATCCCCAATTAAGTCCATATGGATCTGTCATGGTAAATAACACCACATCGAAATGAATGGAAGAAATTTGAAAGACAAAACTTCCTGATTGTTGAACGGCAATTCCTTTCAATCCTTCTTGAGTATTTGAAGAGTTGAAATGATTATTTCTCCAATCACGAATTTGTTGTAAAAAACCTCTTGAAAGGGTTTCATTGACAAGTTGATCGATGAGGTCCTCACTGGATAGGATGTCACTTGTTTCTTGAGACAATTGTGAGTTGTTACGTAATAACTTGGTGGCTGCCACAACCTGCCCTTCTGAATTGAGAATGAAGGAAGCTGCGACTCCTGCTCGAAGGGCAGATTCTGTCAAAATGTCAGAAATATTTTTGACATTCAATTGAATTCCAATCACTCCAAATAAATGTTCGGGTGTTCTTGGAGCGTTCGCATTCCATTTCACACTATTGGTTAATATATTCTTTGAGAGAAGACTCGATGTTTCATTTGCAATATAAATTGGAATACTCGCTGTAATGGATGGAATTCCATTTGTGGAAAAAAAGAATGGACTCCACATAATTTTCGGATTTGTCAAATTCACAAATTGTTGATACCAAGGTCGAGATTTCATATCCAACGTTGCAATTTCATGACACAATAAATTATTGTCATCAAAAACATGATCCAAATCCTGAATCATTCGATAATCGTACAAATTGCGTGACAAGTCATTTGTCAAATTATTTGCTCGTTCCAAACGTCGCGCATAAGTTTGTTCAGCTCCAACAAAACTTTGATCAAATCTTGCAAAATAGGAAATTTGAATAGGTAATTTGCGCAAGTACAATCGTTGTAAATTAGCAAAGAGTTTTACCCAACTCTTGTCATTGTATAAATCTAAATCAGGTAATTGAAACAAGATTTGATTGATGGCATAGGAAGTGGTTTTGATTAATTCGCTTAATTGATAATCAATGACGAGACTCATTTGAATTTTTTGTTGGGATATAGATCGTAGGACAAGATCATCTCCAGTGGTGTAGAGCAAGATAAAAGCTGGAAATACATTCAATTATAAATCTCATTAACACAATTTTCAAAATGACAAGTGATTTACATGAAAACAATCCAAACAATCCCTGTAATACAAACAATAACAAAATGACATTCATGATCGTCATACATCGATAAGAGGGGCATCCATTACTCCTCCTTGTCATCTTTCCAAGGACTGATGAAGAGTGGGTCCTTTTGGAAGGACGTTCCAAGTGTGAACGATCATCTTTGAGAGAAGCACGATGAGGATGATGGTTCGGATGTTGTAGAAAGAACGCTCCGGAATGCATTTCTATTGGAACACTCTGTTGTCCATGATCATCATCACCAACATGGACATCTCTGTGCTGATATGAGGAAGATGTTGGTGATGGAGCAATGGTGGTGGATAACAACATCCTATTTTTATTCAAATGTGAACCTTTGGTGATGAATGTGGAACATGAAGAGATTACTGAAAAGGAACAAGTGGTCATCATCATGAAACATTAGGACTTATTGTGCTCTCCAAGAATTGTTAAAAAAATCAAAATTTCATCTTCACTTCTAGATGTGTTTTACAAAAGAAACCAACCAAACGACACACACCAACTCTCGAATTTGAACCAACAACACATGAAGAGCTCTTCGACTCTTGTTTGATCATGGCTTTCTATTGAGACCACTTAACACTTTTTACAAAAAAGTCAATCAAAAAAAAATGTCGAATCGCTTGCCGACGCTTCATGCCATGAATACCATCACCTTGTTGGAAGATGGTATTTCGGAGGAGGAGGAGGAAGAAGAGGTTCTCAACAATCAGACTCTCATGAGCATCACTAATGAAATTATTGAATATTTATTAAAGATTGATCGACATCAAGAAACAATTCTTGGGAATCCAGAAATGAACATTCCTGAATCGGAACAATCAACATTAAATGGTTCCAAAGATTCAACAGAAACCATTGTACAAGAATCGGAAAATTCGTTGGATCCCAAGACTAAAAAAATTAAATTACATGATGATGATGAAACACGATTGCCTCCATTATTAGTCTCTCCAATTTGGAATTCAGTTCGTAATGAAGAAATTGAAAAAAAAATATTGCATTGTGTGCCGACGGTCTTAATGTCCAATGGATTGGAGCATATGGAAGAAGGATCTGATTTTATTGAACTCTTGTTTAACGTTTTTACGACAAATTCTTCCCTTTCTATTGACTATCATATTGCACTGCTTCAAGAGTCGATAGAAGTAATTTTTTTGTATTATACTTCGCTCGTTGACTCTGTAGGAAGTAGTGCAACATCAGACACAGTCGAAACCTTTGAAAATGTGATGATTAGTAATGTAGTGAAATATTTATTAGCCGTTTTAGGAAGAGTGGGAAGACATTTATCAACATTTAATAGATATCAAAAGGGAGATGCATATGCTGCTTATATATTTTATTATTGTGAGGGAATTCAACTTTTAGACAAATATATACTCAAGTTTATTCCTGACCACAAGATACTGAGTGACCTTAAGGAACAAATTCTTAATTTTACACACATCTTGTACGAATTGATGGTGCCTATAGATATCGATCTTGAATTGGATTTTATTAGAAAACTTTCAACCACCTTTTTAGACACGTTATCTCATATTTCATTTGTAAAACAAACTGTATACTTTGATCTTTACTTGCTTGGAGAGGAACTAAAATCTCACATGAACTTGAAAAGGATTTATCTCGCTTGCTTATTAATTGGTACCTTTCGATTTCAAAACTATGAATCTATAGTGTCATCATGTGTTGACCATGAGAATCAACTTATTCGAGCAATTGCTGTATGGTCTTATGGCAGCATTTGTGACAATATTGAACATTGTATTTTAAGAATGCAAAATAAGCTTGTCACCGAAGAAAGTGCTGTCGTCAAGGTAGCTATACTCAAGTTTCTGTCCACCTACATTTCAAAATCGGATGGTTTACCGAATTCTTTTTATGAGAATTTATTTTCCTCAATATTTACCTCTGTCTGTCATGATTTAGAAAAGAAACAGGTACGTTCTTGTATTAGTTTTATCAACATTATTTATTGAACTGTATATATTTATAACTTTATATATTTATTGAACTGTATTTCATAACTTTACTTCTTGAAACAGCACTACTCACTGACCAAGACATGGCATCTCATTCAGCAGATTATTAAAAAATCTGCACCCTCTCGCCATCTTGGACAAATGCTTTCTGAAATATTTATTTTGTTAGAAAACTCAATGAAATTACAATGCACCACAGGTACTGAAATTGGAAATGTAAATAATAGCTTTAAGGAAGTACATGCCAAATTTTTTAAAATGCTAAGTGAAAAAAAGATACTTTCGCTTTTCACTAGTGACGAAATTGCTGTCATCAAAGACTCTACATTTGTAGCCATCAAGAGAATTGTTTTTTCCAATGCCTCTTCCTTTGATCAAGTACTATTGAATAATTATGTAGATTTAATATGTGAGCTGATGAATAAGGAAACGATCCAGATCATGATCTCTTCACATCAAGTGCTAGTAGTGGCATTGTTAAGAAGTATATCTTTCAAAAAGAGAGCAGGTCACTCTTTCTTTTCCTTTGTTTGTCGACTGGGAGTATATTTGAAAGCGTTTCTGAAATTGCCTGAGATTGTGAATATTATGGTTCACGACATGATTCAACGAGTTCCTTCGCTTGTGGAATCGTTTACAACCATTGACGACACTCTCTCTTTACTATTTTTACTGAATAGTATTGCAGAGCTACTCAAAGAGTATGGACCACTCATCCAAGAGCAAGAAACACTCAGGTCACAACTGTCATTTGCTATTCAAGCAAATATTATTCCAGCAGTCCAAAGCAAAAGCGTCATTATGAACAGTTACAAAGCTTCAGATAAGTCCATGGATGTATTTATGATCATCAAGTCCACTTTCTGCAACATTATTTCAAAAATTTATTGTTACTTTGACCCACAAATAGTTGTGAACAATTTCAACAAAACTCGAGAAACTTTTTTATACTTTGCAGAAAATCCTCAATTAAGGATGGGACTCGAGCAATTGGAATACTTTACAACATTGATTGGTGTGTTAGAAAGCATTACTGACGTTGAAAATACTAATTTAGATTTCAGTTTGTTGCAAAATCCTCTATTGCTAGAAATGACCATTGGAATTTTGAAACGACTGAAACATGCCATTGATTCGTTCTATTTCAGAGCTGAGCTTAATGTGGTATACGAAGGCGAAGAGATGACTGCCGATTGGAAACGGTTAATGATTAAGGCCAATCGATTGAGGTACCTCCTTGAAACACAATCCAGAGATTTAGATATTGCTTAATAATAATTTAGGGTTGGTTTAATAAGTTATTGTTGTGGTTGTTGAGGAGTTTCTGAAGGTTGTGATGGGGTCTTCTCATTGACATATACCAAAACGACATCGTTGTCTTTCAATTTGACGTCATTGAAGAAGAAGTCGTCGATTTCAACTTTGAAAGGGTTGTTGACTCGATCCATTGTGTTGCAGTAGGAGCAATCATAGGAATAAATGTCACCCTTCTTTTGTGTGAGTCTTTCCATCACAACTGACTTCAATTCTTCAACACTCTCAGGACACTTGGGAAGAACAAACTTGGTCTGATAAACTGTGTCTTCGTGTCCACCAGCACGTTTCACATAATATGAAACAAACAAAGAGGATGGTTGAGGAAGTGTTGGTTGTCCAGTAGCATCCTCCCTCTTCATGGTGCTTGCAGGTGAGGATGATGCAATACCACCATTTGCAGCACTGACTGGTGTTGTTGCCTTAGCTTTTCTTCCTCTCTTAGATGGAGTGGTTTGTGTTGCGACTCCTCCTGTGGTGTCGGGCATAGGAACAGGTGGTAAGTCTTTTTTCACTTTGGTAGCTCTCTTGACCTTCTTCTTTTGTGGAGTGGTTCCATCGTCTTCGGTCTTGGTCTCTGCTTCAGCACCATTTTCATCTTGTTTCTCTCCTACCTTTCTCTTTACTTTTCTCTTGGATGGAGTGCTTAATGCTGTTGCAGCTGCTTGATCTTCAGCAGAGAGATTGGTCAAGGTTGGAGTGGAAGACTCACCACCAGAGGATGGATTTGGTGAAGTTTTAGCTCCTTCCTTAAGTTTTGGTGGATTTTTCAAACCTTCTCTCTTATTGACAGCACGACTGTGTGTGGGCGCATAAGATTATTGCAAGTATTAAAGAAGTATTAATTTTGAATCAATGAAAAATGAACGTGACATGATTAAACTTACTTTTTGTATGGATCGTATTGTCCTCGAGCAAATCTCCATTGTTTGTTATAACATGTTGAACAAACGCTCAATGATTCCCCATCCTTCGGTTTTGGAATTTGATCTGCTTGTTGTGGGAATGTCTCACAATAGGTCTTGTAATTACCAGTGTTAATTGTATAATTCTTCTTAAAGTTGACTTGCAGGTTGCTTCTCTTACAAACAACACAATACATGAGTTCATCTTCTGAAAGTTCCTCAGGTTCAACTTTCTCCACAAATTTAACGTCACCTGATGGCATTGGACTGGTTCCAACACTTCTTCTTGAACTCTTCTTACGTTTTGGAGTAACACCTTCGTCTTCATCATCATGCTCGGCAACATAATCATCATCATCGTTGTATTCAATAGCTCCTGCATCTGCAAAATCTTCATCTTCCATCATCATGGTGTCAGCATCTTCATGATGGGTTGTTGAGACAGCAGAACTCGTTGAAGATGCAGCTGCTACAACTGTATTCTTTGCTCCACCTCGTCCTTTTCCTCTTGTTTTGGCGCCTCCTCTCGATGCAGTTCCCCTTACTTTGGGTGTGGAAGTTGAACTTGCTTTCTTTCGACGGCCTCCAGTGGTGGTGGTGGCATTGGTGGCAGCTGTTGACTCGGAAGTGATAGAAAGTTCGCTCTCGAGAGGTGATGTTGTTTGCTTGTTCATGGCAGGAGATGCAGAAGCAATTTTCATCAAGTGTTGTTGAGGTGGAAGAGAACTCACGTGGTCTCCTTCTCCTTCACTGTCTTCTTCTTTGAGGAGAGTGTATAAATCATTCACTCGATTGGCAGCGGGATTGCTAATGAAATCATCATCATCGTTGTCACTATCGCTCACATGATCCATCATGGTGGTGGTGGCTGTTGGATGCAACAACAAGTGATGATGAAAATATTTTTGGAAGTGCAAGTGTGCGAGGGTCAATACGGAGTGTGAAATCATGGCATCACAGGGGAATATTTCAAGGATCACGAACGATGATAATGGCATTCCATGATGAACAATACAAAAACACAATAGGACCATCATGATCAACACCAGTTGGTAGCACCATAAATGTCAGTTGTCATCGTCATCATCATTAAGGATATCATCAGACGGAGCAGCATCACCACAAGATGGGCCACATGAAACAAGGGTGATGATGATTTACGCACACACATCGTATTCACATTCATATATTAATATAAATTACATAATTATATCAAATACAACAAGAACATACCATTTTGTTCGTGATGAGAAGAATGAGCAAGAGCAGTAATTCCCATTAGACCTTCGTGATGATCGTCATGACTCATCGAACCAGGTCCTACATTCTCAAAACATGATAAGGCTTGATCAGCAAGCCATGATTCTGAATTACTTTTCTGAGGATTAGAAGAAACACCGTGATGATTGGAACTTGCAGATGTATGGCTTGATGATGCGCTTAAATCTTGAGGCGATGAGGAAGTGGATGAACCATTGGTCTGAACCTAATCGGGGAGAGAAATGAATTCATCATGATGATAGCAGCAATAGTATTCAAAAATTTGAAGGAGGAGTCGTAGCAGTGGAAGTAGTGGTGCATCAGTAGCAGCAGCATTGGAGTAGTAGTATTGGTCATTATGGTCAACCATCCTATCTTTTTTCAACGTTGATAACAAGTGTACTTACCTGACTACTGTTCGTTAGAGCCGTTGCAAGTGTCCGAATAGGTACTTGGGCGGTCACAGTGCCGGTTTGCGAAGAAGAAGGAGGAGGATTCTGTTGTTGTTGTTGAGGAGGAGGAGGAGGAGTGATGGTGGTGTTGGCGGTGGAAGTGTTCATTTTTTGACGCTTAGTTTGTTTGGTAAGGTTTTTTTTAAAGTGATGTCTGACAGTGAGCGTGTAGTCGCTGAAGTGGTGGTGATTGCGAGATTAAAAAGTTGTTGAGGTGAGGTTTTGATGTGTTTTTTTGTTGTTGGTGGTGGTTCCGTTGTGTTGAGGTTGAGGGGTGACGAGAAGTGGGGTGCGTCGTTGAGGTGGTTGTTGTGTTTCATGTGATGTGATGGGATTGCCACACATTGATCTCATCATCATCATCATCATGATACTATCGAATCCTCATCACCTCAACAACAAGAACCAACGCCCATCATTCATCGGGATGATGTTTTATTTTGAGGTTGGTGAGAGTGACGTATTCGGGAAAGAAGATGTGAGGATGAGTGCGATGCTTTTGAGTATATTTGAATGCTGGTGATGAGGATTAAGTGAACAATGCCTTCTTCGTGATGATGATCGAGAAGACAACCAGAGTTGAAACCATTGAAACCCAAAGTCAACTCTTCCTCCATGGACTAATTGTTCGAACTCAATGAGAGTTTCAAAAGTACGGGCTGATGACGTAGCCAGAACTACTTTTTGAATGCTCTAATTCATCATCATGATCATCCTCATAAATATCACGCAAGAGAATCAGCATGGACTCCCAATGAGGGGTGATTAAATTTTCTCTTAGAAAAGGAAAGCCATCATCGCGCCTCCTTATGAGATGGGCTCGAGGAGGATTTTATGGGCGGTTTCACTCATCATCGTCGCAAGAAGAGACCGAGATTCCTCCTAATATTACAAGGGATTATATTTACTAACAAACGAACAACAAGTTTATTGAAGGTGAGTCTGAACGTTAGTGGGTCACAGGGAGAAATCTCTTTCAATAATGTTCGTTTTTCTTGCATCATATCAGGGAGAACAACGTTGTTCCATTGAAAAAGATCTTTCCCTATCTTACAACTGGAACGATGATTTGGAGAGTTTTTGTCTTTGAATTCCACTTTGCTTTGGTTTCCTTCTCTATTACCTCTTGAGGGAAATTTGCAATTAATTTACTGGGCAGATCATGATTAATACGAACATTGAATATCGGAATTGGAATTTTGCAATGAAAGAATACTTACTAATGTTCAGTTTTTACACTGAATGTTGTGGATGAAATGTCGAGTTCAATTTCTGCAAGATTTTTGGTTTTTGGAAGTCGAATGTTTGCGCAAAGAGTGTCGCTGCATGAGGTAGAGGGATCTTTCTCGGGATCAATACCTAAATAGGCGTCCATTGCTGAAACTTTTTGTTGGTAGATAATGTCATAGCTGTATTAGGGAAAGGAATATCATCATACATTCCTAACAGGCATCTTTCCGATTCATGTGATACTTACTCTGGTATTTCTCGTTCGTCCTCAAAATCTTCCTCCAACTCATCCAATTCTGTGTCGGTCCAAATTCTTGGATCTAATTTTTGTGCCTTCGTTCCAATCAGCTTATCAATTACCTCAATTTTTGTATTTAGCGTTGTGCTGCTGTTACTGTATCGATCGGAATGACATGATGATGAAATATCCTTCAAAATTCTTTCCTCTTCCAATTGTTTTTGTTTCATGTATTTCTCCTCTTCCTGTCTACTTCTTAACTCTTCGGGATTCATCTTTTTGTTAAACCCTTCGCTTTCCTCAATCAAATTGTTGAGAAGTTCGAACTGAGAAGGTTCTGCACTCGCGAATTCTGGATCAAACATTTTTTTGTAAAGTTGTTTGAAATTGAACATACAACAATTGACACCTATCAATACAACTTAATTTCTCCATTTCAAACTTCTTTCCAGTGTTAACGTCATGAACAGGGTTGAAAATATCATTCTCACCATACTGAATCCCAACGTAAAGCTCAACAAGGTTTCTATATATGAAATATGATGCACGAGCCAACATCCATGATACAAAGCAATGGCACTTCTAATGAAATAAATGTAAGGAACAACAACTGTGAAAAGGTCTGCTGCAATCACTGCAATACGTTCCCACAATGGCATCTGAAATGGCTCAAAAAAGTACTTGCTCGACATTTTCCAACAAAAAAGAAATGAATAATTCCACAACACCAAACACAACATAACAAGCAAGGCTACCTTGAAAAACTCCTTGATGACAGATTTAGGTTTGAGTTGAAATAGAACCTTCTTGGTGGACGGAAAGCAAGTCACAACGCATTCTTGAATGGAGGCCTTTGGAGAAAGATCAAAAAAAAAACCATTAAGAGTCAAAAGGTTCCAAAACCACTTGTGAAAAAATTGTGTTTGAGGAGAGTGGATGGATGTTCCCAAAAAGTTTTCAATTTCGTTAAATGCTCTATTTTCTGTAGATCTACATGTGATTGAGCTTGTTCCATTGTTGTTAAAACATGGAAGCCAATATCTTTGAATAATGAATTCTTCAACTTTTGGCGGATGAAAACTGCTAGAGGGACCATACGCAATGAATTGCATAAAATCAAAAAACAAGGCTGAATGCATTTCCAAACGATTGTTCTTTGGTAATGGAACGCACATGTTCTCATAAACATCACAGATCATTATTTTCTTAATTCTTTTCTTGGTGAGAAGATTCATGATGGTAGTTTCATTCTTGAGAGGCTTGTCCATTGTGACCATATCTCTATTATATATCTGACCTCTAATTCTCATACAAATTCCCCTTTTCATTTTCAGATGCTCCTGAACGGTTGAATTCTTATTGGTCCTAAATTTATGAAGTAAGCAATGAGTATGGGTCGAATATTTATCATCTACACAAAATGTCCAACTAATATCCACTGGTTCTTTAAATTCTTCCACAGTGTTTCTAAGCAATTTTAAATTGTTCTGGCATGAATGCAATAGAAAATAGAAATTAAATCTCGACACATATTCAAAAATGAGTGCAAGATCAGGAATAGTCAATTCCAAACAAGATTCATTGTCATTTTGTGTCTCAAATTCCTCCGTTGTTGAAGTACATGCTTGTTCTTCCCCTTTTCTAGAGCATTGTTCATCAAGCCAGGATTTGAGTATTTTAAGTTTGCTTCTATCGGTATACAAATTTCGAAATTGCTCTGGAAAAGTAACAAAATGTTTTGGCTCAATAAAACTAAACTTGTTTTCCAAACTGACTATTTTCAGAAATATTTGTAAAGTAGAATATTCAACAGAATTGATCACATATATTTTTCGAATTAATCTCTCAAATAGTAAATCGGAAAACATTTGTTCATTGTTCTCGTCGTCGTGGTGATGATAAGAATGATATCTCGAAAATACTTTCTTCCAGATTGGAATACATCTTAAATCAAACAAAAATCTGGAAGGAAGATAAGAAATGATCGCCAATATGATCTCCATTGGAAGAAGTGACAACAAGGGACGATTGCTTGATGAACTTTTGATGAACATTTTTTGTCACGAGTTCAGGTCGAAATCTTCGGTCAACATAAAAATGTTTGCATTGCAACAGGCTGGTCACTCACAAGAAACATTACTTCTCTCTCAAGAAGAAATTCACTTCATTCTCTCTCACACCATCTTCGGATCATCCACAAACAGTCACCAAGATGCACAACATGTCGTGGAGCAGGAAGAAGCAGATGTAATGAACTTTTACTCTCTCAGCCAACTGCAGCATGACTACACTGAAGACACAGCTCAACACATGATTCAACTCTTTTCAGCTTCATCAGGACTGGATAAATTTCTCCCATGTTTGCATATTCCTGGCATCGGAACGAGGTATCTACTCTTTCATTCTTTCCTCTCTCAATTACAACAAGAAGAAGATTTATCTCAACTCACACCCCGAAAAGCCTTTCTTCGGTTTGCCAATTATTTGGGAAGAACTCGTTCCTACAGAGCATTGGCACTCACAGAAGACGAGTACAACAAGATCCTACAACAGGATTCCATTCATCCAACAGGAAGACTGAAAACCACTAGAGAGAATGTCGAGCAAATGGTCCAGCAATACGGAATTTGGAAGATTTGTCATGCCCGATTGTATATTGGGCAACGAATGGTCCCATACGATCCATCCCTCTCGCTACATGATCATCCAGAAACAGCAACCTGTATTGCAAAGGGATATATGTCTCTCCCTCACCGAAAAATCTACTTGATGGAATTGCAAATTCCTCTCATTGAGGTATTAGGATTCAAAGTAAAAGATGTAAGCTACACTCCACAGAAAAGATGGTTCTACTTTGGTAAAATCTGGTTTGATAGCTTTGATGAAGCAACGGAGAGATATACCCTGTATGAAATTCCCTTCTTGTCCAAGCGATTGATGAAGGTACGAGTTTTTGAGGATTCGAATGAGGTGGAGAATTTTCTTCAACCCTTTCGAGAGAGTCAAGAGGAGAAGAAAAGACTTTGCAATCATGATCTCGTTGAAGAAGAAGAATCAGAAGAGGATCATGATGATGATGATGATGAATAACAATCCATGAAAATAAAACTGAACATTCAATGATGAATAACAAGGTTCACGAACAACATTGTCGGAAGCAAAATTATGCTTGAGTTAAACCGCTGTGGGAAGTTCCTTGTTCAACTCGTGAACAAATAACAAGAAAAAATGTTTGCACTCTTGCTTGAGTGGCTCAATACTCTTTGGTCCAGCATCATCCATCTTCGTCCACTTGTGTTTGCACTAGAAAAATTAGGCCTGATAAAGAAAAAGCCCACTTCTTTAACTTCCGATCGTTATCAAGGAATTGGCTCAACAGGTCAATCATCCCAAAAGAAATCATCCTCCACTATTGAATTTCCATTACTTCCCGTTCATCCTCTTCCCAAAATATACGATGAAAAAGCTAAAAGTTATTTTGTTCAAGATTTTGATATCGACACCGATGATCCTCAAGAAATTTTGAAATTCTTTAATGACTATGGTGTGGTTGTTTTTAGGAATATTCTTTCAGAAGAACAAATTGATCGCAGTATTCAAGAAGTGTGGGAGGATTTAGAAGAGAGTGAAGGATTTAAGAAACATGACCCAGAGAGTTGGAAGAGAGTCTCTCGATTGGGTATTCTTGGTGACGCTGTTTATTGGAAGCGAACGGGAATGGAAAATAGACAAAATGAAAAGTTAGTGCGAGCATTTGAGCTATTATATGCCAGAAGTAGATCTGAGCTGTGGACTAGTTTTGACCGAGTTGGAGTTTTGACACCTACTCTCAATATTCCAATTCCATACTATGATTATAAATCATTACCAAAATCATGCATTCCAAATGAAACACCCTTATCATCGAAAACTATTAATATGGAGCATTTAAGGACTGAATCTCAGTGGTTGCATTGGGATTGTAATCCGTTTTGTGTTTTAGGCGAATTTCCACCCAGTACTGAAAGTGAAGAAGAAAATATGTCGATTTTAGAATTGAATCCAAATTATTACTTAATCACCGAAAACAACGGAAATCATGGATTATTGAGGTTACAAGGAGTCCTTCAATTGACCGAGTCAAGAGAGGAAGATGGAGGATTCTTATGTGTACCTGGATTTCACAACCACGCTCAAGAATATGTAGAGAAATTAAGTTCTATTCGGCCTGGACCAAAATGCACATTCTTGAGTGTCTTTAGGGGAGACAACTTGTTAACACAAACACAAAAGGTACCAGCTAAGGCAGGTTCTCTGATCGTGTGGAATACGCTACTTCCTCATGCAAACTATCCCAATCATTCAGAACGATTCCGCATTTGTCAATACATCAAAATGATACCAAGAAAGGGAAGTGAATCGTTCCAAAAATTAAGAGCATCCAAGATTCAAGAGCATGCTCGACACTTCTCGTTTGTACCCTCAGAAACTGGCAAACAAGTTTTTGGATTTGAATTACTTGACGAGTACAAACAACTGTAATTTTATTGATTGATCTGTACATGTTTTGCATTGTATATTATTAATGTACAATTATGTGACGCCTTAATAATTTACATTACTATTTTGGACGAATGGTAGAAAATCTTTTTACACAGTTGTAATTCCCAACAGCTTTTGGAATCCTTCATAACACAATAATGTAATACCGAACAGTGGTGAAATAATGAGAACTCTTGGAAGTGTTCCCTTCCACAACAACTTGTTGGCATAGCAGTATTTGGCAGCTTGAATATAGGTCATTCCCTGAGTACCAGAGCTTCCAGCATATTGCTAATGTCAAATTTACCGATAAATAATAATAATTATTAATTTCAAATTTCACTACTGATTTAAAACAAATACTTACGAGACGAGTCTTGATAACATCCATTGGTGTTGCTAATGCTGCAGCAAATGTACCAGCGATAATCGACGAGAGCAATACTTTTGGTAATGGAAGATATTCTTGTTGAGCTTGAGCTCTATAATAATTTTTGATACGAGCATAAAGAGAGAAATAAATCATACTAAATGGCACATCTCTCATCAAGGTGGCTGTTAAACCCTTGTACATTCCAGCCAAGCCGACTTGCTTGATAAATGCAATGGTTGAGTGATTCTTTCCAGCCATTTGAGCATTAATTTTCAAAAGCTCCATTGGAGTTGTTGCCACAACTTGGCAAGCACCAGCACTTCCTCCACTATTGAACAACAATAATTGATATCGGAATGTGTGTCATCCAATTTGGTGTAATTCATTGGTTGATCATCATCAGAAAAAGTTCAAAATCCGCATGTATCGTCATTTAGAGTAACAGATGAACAACATAGAGTTGCCTACTCAGATACTCACCTCAACACTTCGATCCACAGAGGTAATTGTTGAATTTGTCCTTGTTGTTTAGAACTGTTTCCAACAAATTTGCTGCTATAGAAGGATCGGAAGAAATCGTTCGCAGCCAATTTAATTGCCTTCTCAGGCATAATTCCAACTAACATTCGTAGATGCCAATGATGCATTCATAGGATGATAGGATTTAATATTAAACAAGAAATCATCATCATCCATATGGCCTTAAATTCAGCAATACGACCTCTACAAATTCCGTTTACGTACCCAAATTTGGAGCAAGTCCACGATACAATGCTCCCAATCCACCATTATCTGGACGAATGGTATCTCGAATAATTTGTACGATGGATTGCTGTCCCGATGATGATTGAATTTTAGTTTTCAACAGATCAAGAGGGAAAATTGTACAAGCAGCAATGCACCCAGAGGCAGCACCAATCGAGAGATTTTTCAAAAAGGTCGTTGTACCAGTCGATGATGATGATGTCATCTTTAAATGTGTGTTTCGACTTGATTTCGTTACTGAACGAGAGTTTACGAAAATATTTTTTTGAAAAAGTTTTTTTTGGGGATGAAGATTTATTTGGTAAATTGTCGTCACTCTCTACTGCAGTCGATACTTGTTTCAAAAATCAATAACAACTCACAGCAGAGCAAACTTGCAATCATTCGTATGATAAACAATAAGGGTGAATTTCCTCTCGTCACCTGGTTGATATGTCGAGGGAATAATATAGTGTGCAATGTTTGCTTGCAGAGACACAGTAAGGGAAGCAATTCTTTGGAATCCCCAAGATGGAGTTTTTGCATAAACGTTTGAAGGTTTCATGGCTCCTTTAAACACATGAAATCCAACTGCAGCCAGCTTACCGTCCTTTTCTTCTTGACAGAGTAAAATATCAACCTCACAATCTTTCTGAGCTGTCACCAAACACTTTGGATTGTTCCAAAAAGTGTCCACATTGTTGGGGCAACCACCAGCTGAGTTGGCGATCCATTCACTTTGAAGTGTGACTCTCTTGTACACAGAACTTGTGGCCAATTCAAGAGAAATTTGAGACTCTGCAATGCTTGAATTTCTTGGCACATAACATCGTATTGTAAATTTTTCCATCAAAATTCCAAGTTTAAAGGTGCATGGAACAAGAACGTAATTCTTTCCAGTCTCCATTTCGAATGTTTCCTCATTAATATTTTCAATTCTATTTACAAATGGAAGAGGTGGAGCTGCTTCTTTGTTTTCAAAAACGGGTTTAGTTTGTCCTTGATCGTTACCCTTGAGAATGTACATTCCTAAATATTCGAATGGTTCTTTTTTCTGCTCGATGCTGACTCGCACCCTTATTTTAGAGATCTGTTCACTCTTAATGTGTAAAATATATTGAGGATTTAGCAACCACCTCCAAGAATTCATACATCCTCCACTTGTTGAATGGTCAAAGGATCCATCTATGCTACGGACATGATAACATTCATGCTCTGGAGGAAGTAGGTTTAGAGAAAATTCCCTCACTCGTTTGTCCACAAACACCCTCAATATGAACTTTCCAACCTTTTGCTTAAAGTATACGGACGGAATGATTGTATATCGACCTGCACTGAGTTGTTTGAATTTTACAGTATTTTCTCTACTATACTCGAAGGTGCTCTTAAATGCAACGTTTGCCTGTTTAGCAAAAAAGCATCGATGCATTTCTCCTTCCGATCTCATAACATGGAAGCCAATCGGAAAATCCTTTTCTTTGGATTCGCCAAGATATTTCGATGAGTGTAACATTAAGCTCACAATTATATCGCTGGTGTCACTAATGTACAAGTGAAATTGAGGGCCCTTTCTGGAATCTTGGGTGTTGGCAGTGAATAAACCTTCTCCATTAAATTGACCCCAACGGGTCGTGCTTTGCCAGCTTTGTGCTCGATTGGTTTCCTTAGGGTCTGTGAATGTTTCATTTGGGTCATTAATCAATAGACATACATCTAAGTTGGTGAAATATTTACAAAAATCTTCGAGGCAAATATGAAAGGTTCCGTCATCAGAAAAATTGGGCTTTACAATTTCGGTCACCCTGGGATTTTCTGCCCATTCTTTGGAATTATCAGACCATGCTCCGGTCCATTCACCTCGTGCCCAAGGGTTTTTCAACCGAACTAACCTGACATTTCCAACCTCAAAGCACTGAAGAACAGCGTATGCATGACCCGCCATTAGTCCAGTATCTGCAATTTTGGCTTCTCCTCCTGACGAGGTTGCACTTGCGCCTAATAAGGCTGATTGATTTGTTCTTCTATTGAGATAGATCCACAATTCGTCTAATGATTTTTTCTTAATGTCCACCATCTCAGACACGCCCGATGTCATGTCCACTAAAGCATTTCGGACAAATCCTCCCTCAATAGATGCATATGAGCCATAAAATTTTGCAAATGCTTTCTCGATTAGAGGAACCCATAACTCATTTGGATCAGAACATTTTCCAAACACTAAATTTCCCTTAATGTCACAAGGAAGACGATCGTCGATAGTGACATATTCCCACTGTCCATCTCTAAAGAATCTAAAAGTATATTTTCCTCTCGAACGATGCTTGGGGAAGGAAACAACTAATTTTTCAATCCAATCTCTTCTCTCTGATAAGACACAGAGAGCTCCAATGAACCAACTACCATTAAGAATACGATCGTTTGGAATCGTGCTCCTTAATAATAATTTACTTACCAATCACCTAATCCTCCTTGAGTAACGTCCTGTGTCGATGCATCCCCTACAAACAGAGATGGATTATAAACACCATTAATTTGATGAGGTCGGAGCCAGCTCTTGATCCGTTTTGCCCCTTATTTTGTCATTGTAATATCCATTCATTCCATTCATTCGTTACTGCAATCATTGGAGCATCTCTATACTACTCACCTGGTGGTGGCTTTTGATTCGGTTTATAAACACTGGTCATATCTGCTGGAAATTCCGAATCTTCAAAAGCTTCCTCACTTTCATCCATAATTGTTTGTAATTTTTCGAACGGAGGAGGTTCTTCTATTTCGTAATCCCGAAACTATTCATTGTTGAAATCTCTTCATTTTGATCAAGATCTTTGAACATACATTAAATTTGAGGCTTTGATTGTTTGACATTTTTTTTGCTTTATCTCCTCAATCTGTGCATTTAAGGGAAGAGTTTTCAAAGGTCGACATATATGGAGGGCTGCTGGAGACACTTCATTGAACATCAAACAATTGTTCATCTTTCAACTAATTGTAAATATGGTTGGCAATTTTGGATGAAGAGAAAAGTGTACTTGATGTGGACCACATATTTCCTATTTGTCATGTATATCGAACAATAATAATGAACTTAAAGAACTGACTGTAAAAAACTTACCTCATATTGTTGAAACAAATATAATTTGTATTTATTAAGGAGAGAGAGTTCTTATTCGAGAGTGACACGAGAAAATGCTGTTTCCAAATCCTTGATCAAATCCTCAACGTCCTCAATACCACAACTCAATCTAATCAATGTATCATCAATTCCCAACTTTTGTCTCATCTCAACAGGAACTGAGGCGTGAGTCATAATAGCTGGGTGATTGACCAAACTTTCAACACCACCCAAACTTTCAGCCAATTGGAAGACCTTCAAGTTTTCAAGGAATTGTCTTGCTTGTGCGATACCTCCCTTAATCCAGAATGTAACCATACCACCAAAACCAGTTTGTTGTTTCAATGCAATATCATATTGTGGGTGAGCCTTTAAACCAGGGTAAACAATTTTAGCAACCTTTGGATGATGTTCCAAGAATTGAGCAACTGCAATAGCAGCCTCTTGATGTTGTCTCATTCGGACGTGCAAAGTCTTTAAACCTCTGAGAGCCAAGAAGCTGTCGAAGGGAGAAGGAATAGCACCCATTGAATTTTGCAAGTACTTGATTCTCTTGTAGAGTTCTTCATTGGCAGTAGCACAGACTCCCATGACGACATCACTGTGACCATTCAAATATTTGGTAACTGAATGCATGACAATGTCGGCACCAAAATCTAATGGTCTTTGGAAGTATGGAGACATGAAAGTGTTATCTACAATAAGGATAGCCTCTGGGCAATATTGCTTTCTCCATTGATGCACTCTTTCAATGTCGGTAATACGTAAAGTTGGGTTCGTTGGAGTTTCTAACCAAATCATATTAGTCTTATCGGGACGAACAGCATTCTTGAACTCATCTTCCTTGTTCAGATCAATGAAAGAGAATTCCAATGTAAACTTGGAAGCAACTTGTCTGAAATAACGTCCAGTACCTCCATAAACATCATCAACAGAAATAACATGATCACCAGCCTTCAACAAATGAAGCAATGTAGTTGTGCATCCGAGTCCGGAGCTGAAGGCACAAGCATATTTACCATTCTCCAAAGCAGCTACGCATCCTTCAAAGGCATCTCGAGTTGGGTTGGCTGTTCTCGCATATTCGTAATGGCCTGGATAGTGTACACCTGGAGAGACTTGAGCAAAGGTTGAACTCAAAGAAATTGGTGTAATCACGGCACCCGAGTATTTATCTGGTGTTTGACCAGCATGAATAGCGTCTGTACCAAAGTGAGCAAAAGGAGCAAGGTGAGTGAGTGTGTGTGGTTGTTGAGACATTTTTTGAAAATCTGGGCGATGATGATGGACTGGCTGGCTGTTTATTTATCAGGTCATGAGTTCAAATGCGGTCTTATTTTTTCTTTTGAAATTTTCTGTCGAATGAAAATTTTGTTTCCAAAGAGATTTGACCCGAGATTGGAAAATTGTTGTAAGCTCGAGATCAGTTGCGAACCTTATTGAGTCAGCTATTGATTAAACTGGTTGCAAAGCTAATATCTGATTGTAAATTTTGAGGTTTACAGTTTTAAAAAGAGTGTTATGTGCAGTGAACAACGCTCTTCTGATCTCTTACTCACTCAAAGCTAACCTTTCGAGAGCAGTTTCCTTGGTCGTTTTTTGCAAAACATATCTCAGATTTGAATTAATTCGTTCTAGATCATTGTTCATAAAGTCGTCTACCATGGTAATCAAATCTCCATGTTCTTGCAAAATTGATTCATCTTGCACATTAAATAAGTTAAACATGATCATTTGTTGAGATGTGACATAATCACCACCATTGTCATTTACCAATGTCATTGTGGGTTGGACTCTTCTCAATGCAGGAAGAGGACTCTCTCTAATTCTAAATTCGAATGGCTTTCTTCCATGCAATGTATCCGCATCAGAAATCCATGAAAATAGGGCACTTCCGGTAAACTTATTGAATGGATTGAATTCTAACACTTGTACTGTTAAGCTATCTAAGGTGGTTGGGGGTTGAGGAGGTGTTTCTTCTTCGTTTGCGATGGATATATTGTTTTTCAAAACCAAAAAATCTAAAACACAATTTTCATAAGGGATTTGACCTTTCTTTTCTTCAAAAAACTTTTGAATTGCTTCCAAATAGATATTCTTGTTTTTGTGCAAATCTTCAAAATATAAGGCATCAAAATATTGTGATAATGCACATAACTTTCTTTCATAGACAAAACCTCTAAATTCCAATCCAATTTCATGATGTGAAATCCATTTTCGCATTGCAATATATACATTCCAATCGACTGGGTCTTTTCTGTGCTCAAGAGCAATGGATAAATCTTCAAAGACTCTATTAGAAGTGGTCATCATTTCCAATGCTTCAGCTCCACTTTCAAATTTCATCACTCCCACTTGTGACTCAAAAAAGGATATAAATTCATCATTTTGCTTCTCTTCATTTGACAGCAATCTATTCTCTCTGTATTGCATGGATTTTTCATATAACTTTCTTTTCAATATTTGTTTAATTTTTTGTGTTGAGAAGGCAGCATCTTTTGGAGATCTTGTGTTCAATCGAATAAAGGCACATGAAACATCATTCTCTTCATCATAAAATTCCTTCTCATTTTGTAACAAGTCATCGATTTCATGTTCAAGATTTTTCAGTAATTCATAATCTTGAAGAGGAATCATTTCGGAATTTCCTTTTTTCAACACTCGACGTTCGCACTGTCTTTTTAAAACATTAGCTTGCTCTTGTGAAATGGTAATAAATTTAGTGAAAGGAGTAAATTCTGAGCATTGATGATACCATTGATCAATGTCGTAATCAAAGCCATAGCGTTCACGTGCCCTCAAGAAATTCAATGAAAAAGGGATTCAGATTCAAGTCAGCCCACTGCTCTGTTCATGCAAGAGATTAAGCTGCGGCATACTTGAAGTTGAATTGTGCTGTCACGAGACTCCCAAATATTATTTTCCTTTCAGAAAAAATACAATCATTGAAGGTCATACATTGTATTGAATATTAAAACTGAACACCAAAATCAACATCCTCTTAAAATGATCAAAGCTTTTACGGAACAAGTGAATAATACAGATCTTAATGCTCCAACAAAAGATCCAAGAGCCGTTTTCCTTCTCGGAAATGAAGCCGTTATTAATTCAATGTTGCTGAATAATGATTTTTCAAATGAACATCCGAAAGAAGAATTATTTGAATATCCTGATTTAGGTGCCCATCCATACTTTGGTCATATTTCTTTGGAGAAATGGAGATTGAAACAATGTTTGGAGTTGGCAAATGAAAGCTTTCATTCATCAGGGCGAGTCATGTTAGTGATCGGTGTTATTGGCAGTAGAATGAATAACACCATTCGATGGTTGGGCCATTCCGTATCGTTTAATGATCAAGAATTGTTCAATATCTCTCAGCTTGAGAAGACTTGGAACTCGTTAGGATGGACCTTAACAGAGGAGAGTAAGGAAAAGGGGTGGACGTTGAGGCGAGACTGTGAAAGTATGAAGCTTATCCATTTTGGAAGAGATGAAGAAATTCTAAACCCATCTCTCGAATATAAGTATTCTGAGAACTATGAAACAATTGTCGATGAATTCATTAACTCTTCAGTTGAAATTATATCCAAACTTGGAGCTTATAATATTTCCAAAATACTAAGCTTTTTGGATATTGATACAATCAATATGTGTTACAACTCTTGTCGATTGCTGAGAAGGTTGTTGGATTCAAGGGACTTTATAATGAGCCATATCCAAGAAAAATGCGTCACTCTTCCAAAACGGTTTACAGAATATAACTTTGAATTAATAAGGGAAAAAACCATCCCAGAGATGAAAGATATTATTTTTAATTACAGTAGAAAGCTGTCCATTATCAATAATTTTAGTATAACCTGGTTGAACGGCGCGTATTGGAAGAGAGAGAATCGAAGTGACAGCCCATTTAAAACTGTGGCACATCTCGCACATGTTTGGTGGTTTGACATTACAGGAAAGATTACATTGCTAAAAGGACACTATGAAGTCTTTATCATGTACAAAAATACAAGCTCTTACGGCCGTTATCATCGTAGTAGGTTCAACATTCGATGTCTTCTTATTGAGGATGAACAAGAAGAAAGAAAGGCAGATTTTTCTAATTTATGCAGCTCTTTCGTAATGGACGCTGCCCCCCTCAGTTCCAAGCTTCATAAGTTGGGAGAAATTAAAACAGAGACTGCAAGAGAAGATTTTCGTTTCACAATTTATGATCATGATTGCAGCACAATCAAGCAAGATATGGATTTTGATTATTTGGAGTTTGTAAGAAAATAACGGAACCTTATATGGCCACACCATTATAAGTTGGGTTTTAATTTTGTTGTGAGCTACTTCATCAAATCAGGGAAATGTTCACTCAATAATTTGGAACACTCATGCTTTAGCTGGTACGAGTTGTAAATGATTGACAACTCGTAAACTTCCTGAACAATGCGTGAATTTTCATTTTCAGACGGATTTTTCAATCCTTTTGGCAGCTTTACGTTCTTCACATATTCCACTATTAACTCTTCCACATATTTTTTGAGGGGAAACAACAAGTACATATCTGCAGCAACAAATATCTCAACCAAACATTCAACAGGAATGGCATGTTGTGTAAACACTCCCAATCCTCCATAAATATACTTTGTGATAATAAATAGCGAAGTGAACGATAAATTCTCAATGTGAAAGTTTTCTCTGTTGATAATGTGTTCGGTGCCATTGGATTCGTCGAGCACTGTTGGACATTCGTATTGAAACACCTTTCTTAAATATTCGCTTCGTGCTGCTAGAATGCATTTGTGCACAGATAAATGACCCTTTCGGACAAATGTTTCGACAGCCTTTTTGTAGTATTCATTCGTGATGCAGGAATCAATTAAATCACATGCCACATTCGGTATAATATTAAGATCTGAAAACATTCGTTCAGATTGTTGAAAAGCATTGCAGAAGAGATCATGTTCGACACAATTACCCTTCGATAGCAAACTAATTGGTTCATATTTGAGAGGTGAATTGTACGGAGACATGTTGTACAATTCCACACAGTACATGTCCACATCAATAGAATCATAAAGTGAATTAAATTGTGATCCAGATAGGATACCCATTCGTGAAACTTTTTGTGAAGGAAAAGTTTCGGAAATCATTTTAAGAGTTTGCTTTGAAGTTGGATTAGAAAGACAGGATCCCAATTGATTCATATTTCTCACAAGTTGTTCCTCACATTCATCAATAGAAATTTCTAATGCTTTTGCTTGTTTCTCCATGAAATCAACGTCCTGAGAGAGTTTTGAAAATGTGTCTGTATAGATAAATTCCAAAAATTTCATTAATGCCAACTTGGAAATATTCTTATCCTGTCGAAGAATGTAGTAGCCAGGAGTGGATATTTCATGAAACTGATTCTTTTGCTCATGGTTGGTACGACTCTCCCATTTCACAAAATAATCTAAATTTAAAAATCGTGTGCCAGTTCTAGAAGCCACTATAGAAAAGTGAGCTCTGATGTCAAAGTCTTCGAGTTGCAACGTCATATTCGAACTTTTCATATAATTATTAAAATTGAATTGATTCCATTCTTTGAGTTCAGGAATATCCAAAACAGCAATAAACACATCAACAGTCTCACTTCCAAAATTGTCAACTAGTTTCATTTCTACCGTGACCGTGGAATCATTAAACCATTGCTTATTAGCACTCGTGAGTAACATGAAATACTCCTCATTCATGACTTGATCATGATGTAAAACCGTCATGGTTTCACGAATGTGATACAACAAACTTTCCACATCTGGATTAAATAAAACGTCGACCTTAAATAATGTTGATTGAGTTCGAGCGGTTCGTCTCGCTTTTGCTAAATAACTCTGTTCAATGCTCCACAAAATGTGAAACATGGAGTGTGAATTGAGGACTAAACGTCCACGAGAATATTTCGATAATTTAAAGAAAATATAACTCAAGGTGGAAAATAACTTGTCCATGATGATTTGACACTTGTCGTCACTCGATTTGGATTCTATGCTTGGCAGTAAACGAAAAGCATGGAGACATATTTTACATGCATGGTCTAGTCCTGAATACAGGAAAAAGTAATTCTTGTCCTCGTAGTGAAAGAGTAAATTTCCACAACGATGAAGACAATCTTCCAAATTCACAATCAAATCATAATTGATTTCAATGCTCTCTTGCAATGCAACATCTTCATGACTGAAAAACGTTCGTAAAAATTCATCTTTGAGCTGTTCCAATTTTTCACATCGACGCTTCCATTCTGAATTGAGCACTGGGGATTGCATTTTCATAAAGTAGTCAAATGCTCGTTGACGATAAGAGTTTGGAATTTTCGTCAACACTGCGGAGAGAGATGGTCGTGATGATGTGGTGGTGGTGCCATTCGAGGAAGAAGAACCAGCTGTAGTAGTGAATGAGCTACTAGCACTCGTGCTTGTAATTGTGGAATTCTTTTTTCCTCCTCCACCACCTCCTTGATCTCTCAAATATTTGGGAAGATGAGATTGTGAGTTTTTCTTACCCATGATGGTTGTTGTAGGAGGAGAAGCGATTCAGAGCTGGCAATGAGAGAGAATGGATCCGAGACTCGGAGATATAGTTGGTGTCAATTTTTTTAAAGTTCTCGAGTTCGGTTCAACTCAGGTTCATTATCAGAATGGATCCAGGATCAATGTGGAAATGAAACCAAAATCTCAAAAGAATGAAGAACAAGGTTACCATACCAATATGGGAGTGATCGAGCAAATTTACAAAAGTTCGTTCAATCAAATGGTCTTTTCTAAAAAGTGGGAACAACGCAATCTGAGAATTGTTTTGATACAATTTCCTGCTGAAAAGCCAAATTAATGGTATCTGCAACAGAACGAGCCATTTCTAATCGTTGTTCATCCACAACATCGAGATTTTCCTGCTGAGCATCCACCAATAACTTTCTTACAAACTTCACAATTCGTTTAGCAGCAAGTAAATTCATGTCGTTTGCAAGTTGATTCAAAATTTGCATGACCAATTCAACAAACAAGTTGGCTATTTCTGCATCATTGTAAAAATCTTCTTCATTTTCATGAAACCAACTGTATATGGTATCTTGAAGTAACGAAGTATTATCAACTTGTTGTGTTGAAAATAATAAAGTCAGAGATTCTTCAGAAATGGTCGAATGTTGTTCAAGTTTGACCTCTCGAATGTTTTCAGCAAGCTGCTTTTGTCGTTCTTGTTTTTCCTTTTCTCTTTTTTGCTTGGTAAGGTCATGGATTATTTCACGTTTAATATCCCAAGGCATTTGTTCAATGAATGAGAAAGAAATGGGTTGATCGTATCCTCCTTTTGCAATCTGTATACAATTTTGAGATGGAACAAGTTCATAATTATTGAATCATTGAATACATACATTGTCTAATTCGCAATATTCATCCATTCTAAAAGCATGAGCATCTGTGTTGTCATGATTGTGTTTTTTTGATTTTTTCTTTCCAAAATCATTACTCGTGTGATAATTATTGTGGTGTTTTGCATTCTGATGGTCATATTCTGATGGTATATCCTGCGGTGGTTCTGCTGTTTCTGTTTGTGCTTGATTGAGGTATTTTGTTAATGTTGAGGATCCGTCCTTTGCTGGCTGATAATTATTCAACTTTTTAATTTGAATAGCGATGCCTCTAAAATCTTCAGGCTCAATCTTTTCGAAATATTTGGCAATCAGTTAGTGAATATAAATGTGCAATGGCCGGCATTCTACGTACCTCAAATTGTTTGTACAAGTCTTTAACCTTTCTTGAAATCATGTCTACATCATCTGTAAAGTAAGGAACGGAACAAGATTTAGAGAAATTGTCACAAATGCCATGGCCAAGGAACTTGGTTGATTCAATAATTCCCTCTCTCCGTTTTTTTACCTTAAGCACAATCTCCTTTCCCTTAATTTGTTCGCTTTTCAGTCGTCCACTGATTTCCATGGACAATTTATCTATAAACTCGTGAACTTGTCGAAGTTCAGTAAACCTAATTCCATAATTTACCTCAACCCCGACAGATTTCCTTGCAGAGTCATCAAAAAAGCCTCTCTTGTCAACGCCTCTCAAGTAATTGTAAAGAGTTTCTCCTTTTCTCTCTCCAATTAACTCCTTAATTTCTGTCAATGAATACTTTAACAGCTGCGCGCATGAAAAGACACTCATTTCATTGAAGAATTTTTTGGTCTTCCATCCAACAGTGGGGATGTCTTCAATATTCAATTTTTCAATGTGTTTCACGGCATCATTTGGATGAAGAAAATATTGACCATTTGGTTTGGCAACTTTGGTAGCCATTCTTGCCAAGAGTTGATTTGTGGACATACCTGCAGAGGCAGTACATCCTGTCTCTTTTTCAATCTCAGACCGAATAGATGAAACAAACTTTTCCAACTCTTCTTGGGTTCCATTCTGTAATTCATTGGATATCTCAATATACGCTTCATCTATGGACATAATTTTCACTCGTTCACAATGATTATTCAGAATTTCATGGACCTTGGAGGCGGCTTCTTCATACTTTTCGAACTCATAAGGTACAACAATTAATTCAGGGCACAATTCACGAGCTTGTTTCGACCACATTCCTGCTCTTACTCCAAACTCTCTCGCACAATAATTAGCCGAAGAAATGTCACTATTTCCATCATTTGAGTATGACACAGCAATAGGTTTGTTTCTAAGTGAAGGATTGTCTCTCATGGCAATTGAAGCAAAAAAGCAATCCATATCAATGTGAACCACGTAGAGGCCTTTCTTCTCTGTAATAGATCCAGATGGATTTGTTTGCTTTTTCTTGTTTCTCCACGTGCTAATAAAGTGCAAACGACTGTTGTTCATGTAATGGTCAATGAAATTTGGATCGTTTGCAGCACTTTTTGTCAGGAATTCTTTGTTTGAATGCTTGCCATCCTTATTGATATTTTCAAAATTATTGGGAGTTGTGTTGTTCATCAAGTTATTTGTAGTGTGACGATTATTCTCTGAGGATGTGGGCGGACGTTTGGGTGGAATAAATTTCTGGTGAGGTGGTTTAGGTGGAGCATGAAATGATGGAGGTTGAATGAGAGCATGTTTCTGTTGCAGTGGTGGTACTGGTTGTGCTGATTGTTGATGGCATTGTGCCGTCTGTGATGGCTGAGTTTTCTTTTTGATTTTCACAGTTGATCTGTTGGTGGTGGGAGTAAGGGCGAAATTAAATGGAATTTCATCCTTTGTTTGATCACATATGGTTGATGAAAGCGACGCCTCAGAAATATTACGTTCTGAATGAATGGAATGAGAATTCGTCGTGGTTACATCATGATGATGTCCACTACTGCTACTTGTGTCTTCAATCTGTTTTTGCTGAATAACACCATTGGCAGAATTCATTCGATTCACCATTGTGAATGAACGCAAATCCTTGTGTTGAATCGTGTTTCGTGTATGATCCACAATGAGGTAATCCTTTACAGAAAGTAAACATTCTGTTTTGACACAATCCATAATCCATCTAGGATGTACAATAATTGGAGGATGTTTTCGTTTCATTAATTCCTTCAACCGGGAATGAGCCAACTCGCAGGCCAGCAAATGGGTTACCGAGCTGTCGAAAAACTGCCGATACGAACCACCATGTTTTGTTATTAAACCGACGAGGACCACATTCGACGGTTCCGTATATCCATCAATATTCATAATTAATCCATCAAAAAAGGGTTTTGCTGGTGGTGCTGTGTGGTTGCTAGAAACTTCCGATGAAGAAGAAGTGTTGTTGTTGTTGTTCGACGAGAGGGAAGATTGTCCTTTCCATCGTTCGTCCAATTTCATTTTCTTTACTTTGAAATAGTGATCTCTATCGGTCCATCCTTCATCGGCAAATAGTGTTGTAGACGCGTTGTTGTGCTTTTTATTGGACTCAGAAGAATGGTTGGGGTTACCGGTGTTGTTGATCATTATGCTATAATATTGATGATGAGGTTGTAAAATTCGTTTTTTGTCTATCATCACATTTGATGAAGGTTGATGCTACATTCAAACGATTTTTTTCTTACCGTTCGAGCAAACTGAAGAAGAAGACTTTGATCTCATTGAATTGGATATCAACGTCAAACTTTCGTTAAATGAGTTTATTCAGAAGAAGGTTTATCTCCTGAATGCGAAGATTTACTCAATTTATGTATCCATTAATTCTTATCAAAAGCTAAATGAAATAAAATCATTTGAAAAAATGAGTGATTTGAAACGAAAAGAACCTTCAGCATCTTCATCATCATCATCATCGGGATCAACCTCGAATAATACATCCAATGCCCCAACGTTCAAAAAGAGAAAACAATACATTCCATTGGAAGGAACATTAAATGCTTCGGGCGCTGATCAAAAAGTTTGGCTTGTTAAAATTCCAGAATTTATCGATCTTTCAAAATACAAAGATGAAGAAACCATGGGAACCGTACTCATCGAAGAAAATACCTTAACCAAACAAACAAATTTATCTCTTAACATTAATCC